AGGTTCCGCCCCCCATACCCTTTTCATATTACCCAACTGGACAATATGCTAAGAAGGCATTTAATGTACATCTCTTCTTTTTGAAAGCAGTTGGGGGGGGGGTGTTGTAGTGTACAGGTAGGGTGAATTAATTCATTACCACTCCATTGTTTGACCAGCAAAAATCTGTTCACCTGCCATTCTGAGTATGCAAAACTGTTAGTGTGTTTCCCTTTGCTGTTGTTTCTTATACCAGGTTGTGCTAGGTTTAGTAACTACAGCATCTTACTTCAAAGACAAACATATAATAGACTTCCCCAAGCTGGCTGGTATCCTCCGGGTAATTTGGACTGCTGGTATTATCAGCCATGGTGGCTGATGAAAGCTGTATTCCAAAACATCTGAAGGGCACCAGGTTGCAGAAGACTAACATATATTGTAGGTGTAGATGTTACAGTGACAAGACTTCCTTAACTCTTGAGACATGAGGAACTGAGGGCATGCCACACCACAAGATCATAAGAAAAGCCCTGTTGGATTAGGCCAGCATCTTGTTCTTACAGTGGCCAACCAGATTTCCATCCTGGGAGCAGGACCTCAGTGCAACAGCAATGTCCCCACTTGCAGTCCCCAGCAACTGGTGTTCAAAGGAACACAGAAGGTTCCAACAGTGAAGATAGAACAGAGTCATACATGAATAACCGGCCACACTTATTGAAGATGGATGTTTCCCAAGCTAATTGTTTGGGAAAGTTCTTCCAATAGTCAGGAATGACTCTCATTCAACTCTGTAGTGCTAGAAGGCATAGCATTCCATCCAGGGGTTGCAAAGATACACCAGAACAAATTAACAAGGAAAATACAAAGAGGTGAAAAGAGAAAGAGAAAAAGAAATATGTGCAGAATAAAAAGACATAGTAAAGAAAAAAGCAGCAGCATAACACCATTTGGGCTAGAATATTTTACTCAGAAAAATTGCCCCTCAAAATGCTTTCAAGTTCAGCCTAGCAATCAGAAAGAATACAACATCAAAGTCTTCCACTAGTATCAGGCAGACATAAAATAAAAGTCTTGTAGAGTTCTTTGGTAAGACTGAATAAATACTTTGTGTCATAATCTCTTTGTGCCCTGAGACTTTAATCATATTGTTTCATTTTAAAATTAAGAAAACCAGATTCTTTAAACTTCTCTAAATTTTGTTTTGACAGCTTCAAATATCCCTGCCATTAAGGCAGCTTTGATTGATTAGTTACAGTTAACTCCTACAAACTTATTACCTCTATTTCCCATACAGATTTTTGGAAGAAAAAATTCTATAATACTACCTGCATGGTAGCTTGTTTACGGTACTTTTAGCTACTGAATATTAATAAGTTCCAAATTCCATAGTTCCATCAGAACTATGTTAATGTTTACATAACTTCTCCACAAAAATAGGGAAACACAAGTGATTATCCATGACATCTTGGAGAGATCTGAAAAAATCTGAATTGCAACTAGTGGCTCACTGAGGAGAATAACCGCTCATCTGGGGCTCCAGATGGATGATGTTTGCCACATGGCATGGCTGGGGTGGGTCCATGGAGGCTGCCATCTTTCAGTGAGGCCAGGGAAGGGGATGGTCACCTGGTGACACCCATCTTTGGCCTCAATGACCTCTCAGGTACATGTGGGCAGTGCCTGCAAGGCGAATCAGGGGCAGGGGATTGGGGGTTGCACCCAGCCCTGCACCCCTGGTCTATTTAAGGGAGTGGCCAAGTGCAGGCCATCCTGTTGGATGTTCGTCACTGGATTTCCCACCCACCCAATCTGTTAGGGGCACGCTCAGTGGGGAGTGGGTATGGGGCATATGGACCTTGCTATTATTTACTCGGTCGTTGTATTCAGGGCCAGGGAGGAATTTTCTCCTGCAAGCAAATTGGCCAGCTTGCAGGTTTTCACCTGCTTTATACCAACCGTCACAACTTTGGTAGATAAGGCATTGGACTGGATCCTTAGTCACAGGGAGGGGTCCAGGAGGGGTGACTCTGTCCAGGAGCCAAACAGGGAATGATGGGCCAACATATTTCACCCAATGGCAGCCTGTACAGGATCATGGCACACAATCCATGTCAGGGGCGACTTCCCTACACAAGGTCAACCCCACCAGGTTCCCAACAGGTACCAGGAGGGCTGCCTGATGCTGGATACATGCCCAATGCCTTAGCCAAATCTACTCTTTCCTGTAATCAATAAAGTTGTGGCCTAATTCAACCCAATACCAGTCTCCTGTGTCCATTCTTGTGGGCCTCCCTGCACCTGCCGCAGCCATTACGCTCCTGTGCTGGCAATGGCCCATCTTTGCAGCATTAATCCTCCCTTTCTAAATGCCAAGATAATCTTAGGTTATATGTATATTCAAATCTTACATAAATTAATAACAGTACCAGTGAATCAATTCGTACTCTCAGTACCTTCCTATAGCATTTAGCTGCTCACTTTCTCCTTTGATCAGGTTCTTTTTATTTAAGTCCCCCAAAAAGGAACTCACCCAAGTCTCTCATCCCTTTTCTTTTAAAGACAGCTTTAAATTTAGAAGGATTTATCAGAGGAATCCATTCATCACCCATCATTTCATTTGTATGCTGCCTTTTCAAAGTTAAATCCATGCTCAAGGCCGCTTACAAAAGTACCGTATTTTTCGCCCTATAGGACGGACCTTTTCCCCTCCAAAAATGAAGGGGAAATCTGTGTGCGTCCTATGGGGCGAATGCAGGCTTTCGCTGAAGCTTGGAGAGCGAGAGGGGTTGGTGCGCACTGACCCCTCTTGCTCTCCAGGCTTCAGGAAGCTATCAGCAAGCCTGGGGAGCCCGCGGGGGTTCCCGCAGAGCTCCCTAGGCTGCGGATAGCAGCCTGCTGCCCGGAGCGCGGGGCACACTGAAGCAGAACGCCCCGTGCTTCGGGGAGACATCGGGCAGCCCCACAAGCTCGGGGGACAGCGGGGAGGCGTAGTGCCGCCATCCCGCTGTTCCCCGACCTCGTTTTGGGGGAGGAAATAAAGGGGGGGAAATTTCCTTTATTTCCCCCCCCCCCAAAAAAACTAGGTGCGTCCTATGGGCCGGTGCGTTCTGTGGGACGAAAAATATGGTACCCATAAACAATAAACGAACATCAAAAAGTATACAACCAAATTCCACAGAAATCATGATACAAAATAAAAATACAAAAAATTACATCAAAAGCAGCAACAACCTCACACTCTCCAACAATCCACCCCCCCCCCCAAGAAAAACCCCAATACCCCAAGTGGCTCTCACAAATTTTAAACTCATTTGTAGGTCATTTTTCTTCGCCCACACCAATGGTATAAGAGACAGAGTAAGGGGCAGTGGCTGGACAGGCACAATTACGCTGGCAGACTGAAGAAAAGCAGGTATAAAGAGCTACCACCACTATCAGTGCATACAATAAGGACTTAGATGAATTGGAAAGAATAACAACTGTTCAGGCCACAAACTGCAGTGGGAGGCAGTGAGGGCACGGCAAACCTGCCCATCATCATCTTGATCAGCAAAAACACACACAAAGGAGTGAGTACCCTCTCATTCAGAGCTACTTCACATCTTCCACAGAAGTGGTGAATGGGGAAGCAAGAGTGATTTGAGCTTCCAGTCCTCTCCTAGGATTTCTGCAGAGTTGCTCTCTGGAATGGAGCACGTGTGTATGAATCTGCAGATGAAGGGTGGTATATACAAATTTATTAATAATAATAATGGAATGGTTTTTTTGTGGGGGGTGGGGCAACTATGTACTGAATATGGTTCTTAACTCTTGGGTATTTCCCTATACATTTGTAAATCTAACTTTTAAAGCAACACAAGAAATCATGTGTCTAGCAAGGCAGTGAGTCTCTTAACATATTGTTTCATCTCAGACAGAGGGGGAAATGTTAACTAGATTTTCTCTTCATACTCTTCTGTTCTCAACAGGAGTTAGGTGACTGATGAAGCTAAACCTGTTCTATCAGGAGCACCTGACTGGCTCAGCTGCTGTGTTTGCATGTTGACAACCTTGCTTGCCCCTCCTCCTCGACCTGTTGGTAAGCAGCAGTGATGCAACCAACTGAAGGTCAGGTGAGCATCACTTGCCCACTACACCATGTGCTACTGCTAGTAACATGGTTGCATTTTGAAACTGTGAGATTCCTATGGCAGACCTTAGCACCTGGACTGGTTTGACTTTCATTAGTACACTGCAGCAAATGAGATAGCATGAATACTATTTTAGTGCATTACAAGCACAAGAAAAGTAACAAGTTCAGCCTTCCAGGAAGAGGTGCCTTAACAGCTTTCAGAACAAGGAATGACGCACCCTCAGTTTCCAAGCAATACAACAGTACAGGTTCATTCTACTGAAATATAAATGGTTTTTTCTATACTGCATTGCCATTAGGAATTAAAGAAAGAATTAAAGTCAGGCAAGGAAAAGTGACGATGGGCATCTTCTGTTCTCCTTAACAAAGGAAAGCAAAGATGTGCAGCTTGACCCTATGGCTATACTCAAAGGTAAATGAGACTTAATCCCAGTTAAGTGGGTATATGTTTGTTTATGCAGAGAAACATGCTTACTCTGAATTAAGGTCAGAAGCCGGAACTTGTTAGTGTTTATCATTGTCATACAGTATACTGTAAGAAAGCTGCCTTTTTACTTTCCAATGATTTTTTTAAAATGCATGAATAGCACATCATACTTTTCTAAACCTACCAAAATGTGATAATCTGAATGACTAAAGTCATTTCTCCACCTGCTAACCAACTGCACAGGAAGTAATATCCCCCTCCAATTAAATGGCAAAGGGCCTACCTTGAAAAAGGTCATCGTTGCTCCATCTTCAACTGCTCCATATTCGATCTTTGTTTGTTTCGCTAAATCATCTGCTGAATCGATGGGGGACTCCATGCGCTCCACTGTCAGAAAGGCGGCTAGATTAGCGGTATACGAGGAAATGATGATAAGTGTGAAAAACCACCAAATGCCTCCCACTATCCTGGTGGAGAGGGCTTTGGGCATGAGCTCGGAACCTAACGAAAATCAGGGGGGAAAAGATGAATCCAGTGCATAAACATTGTGTTTCTCATTGTTAGAATTCAGTTATTTTGAGTTTGTTTGCTTTCGTCACAGCGGTGAGAATGGAATCACGGAGCAAAAATAAATAAAGTGACAGGCATACATTTTGCTTATACAGACGCAGAACTGAAATTGAAAATAAAACCAAATTCCACTCAAAAGGGAGGGTAAAAAAGCTTTAGGCAAATCAAGCATTTATGGGACCCAAAAATATAGCAATGGGAGGTCCAAATCAATATTTGGCCGTGATCTAGTGCATAACCAGATTATTATTTTTAATGAGCTTTAAATCAAGTGACAATGAAAAAATAAAATGAGAAAGAGAAGACACTTAAGCTGTTCAAAGAGAACTAAAAACAAACAGCAGTCCTGAGCCTCCCAGTAAAATCTTGCAGCAGCTCTTCAAAGCATTTATGAACCACTAATCTGGCAGCTCATAAAATGTTTTGACTTCTGTAACAAATAAGCTGTTGCCCCAAGGAATCAGGAAAAATGTATCAGAGAAACTCTGATACAAAGAGGATGCTACAAACCTGAAAATGTTGCCACCTTAAAAAAGAAAATTCACCATAATGAATCTATATGTAGCAAGCCAATGGTAAAATGAAACATCTCCCATCTCTATAGTTAGCCCCACAGCTTAAGATAAATGGGGTGGTCAAGCTACACATTTCATTTACTAGAGAGCAGTAGAACTATTACTCTTACACCTATATTATATGAAGACAGACTATAAGTGCATTGCTGGAGTTGCCTGATCATGGCACTAAAAACAGAGGGGGGGCTTTAGATATTAATTTGTAATGTACATAATGATTAGTGCTAATTTAGAGCCTAATAATAGTATAGAAGGCACATAGCCTCCTTTTGTGCTTCATCATTAGAAGCCGTAATATTTTTTTCTTAATTTGCAAAAATATAAAATTGTAAATTGGCATGCATGAAATTCTTAAAAATGGAAAACGGAATATTTTACTTAACTAATATTGGCAAGGCAAATATATATATATATATACATATACATTTGTTCCACAATATGCAAAAGAATGTTGCAAGGCATATATGCAACAAGGTGTTTCAAAAGAAATATATCCATAGTGTCATTATGATAAAGGATTAGAAATTTTAATCAGTTGGCAAGGATTTTTTTTTTTCATTTTTGTTTTACTTGGGTAAAATGGAATGAAGGCAAGATGGACTATTTTATTCCTGATTAATTATACTGTTTATTTTGCATCAGTTAAGGAACTGGTCCAGCAAGGTAACACATCTTCCGATGAATGGAGCTTATGCCAAACTCAACATCAATTACAGAACAGAAAAAGAAAGGAAAGGAAAGGGGGGGAAAGAAAAAGAAAAAAGAAGTGGTATCATAACTGGACTATTCGATCCAAAACAGCCCATCTTACCCTGCAGTTCATCTTACCCTTGCTGTTTCAAACAAAAAAAGCTCTGACAGACTTGGACATGACAGCCAACTCCAGCGCCAGACTTTGCCTAGAATTCTGCAAGGGAAAAAGTAGAAAAGTACCTTTCTGATGTAGTCGCTCCTAGGCCCTGTCAGTCAGACACTTAAAAGACACTAAAATGCTAATACTGCCAAACAGCTTTTACTGCTTTCTCAAAAAAATTGACACTTAGGAAAGTCAAACAAGACTTGAGAGAAAAGAACAGTAGAAATGTTTGCCATAGTTGCCCCAATTACCACAAGTTCATATCTTACCCAAGGATTAAGAGAGAGTGCCACCAAAGCCTGTGAAACAGAGCCTGGTTAGGGGCTGACTGTCATGTACCCAAGGTAACGTCATGTCCAGCACTATATCCCACAATTTCCTGGGAGCAGAGAGGTGTGGGCAAGGAATGAATGAGATTCCTCTATCATGTAGCCTCCAGCATTCATGGAAATGTGTTTGGGGAGGGGGGTGTTAATGATGCAGATATTAGTGTGTTTCAAAAATTATTACACCTTGTCGGGAAACTTTTCATTTGAGGTTATTACCTGAACTACCCCATCGGCTTAGACCAGGTAGGTAGGATAATTTATATGCCTCTCCCACACTAAACCCAATACAATGCAAGCCTGTCTCTTAAGGAGACTTCCTGTTTCCTGCTGAGGGAAATGGCTGCTTCCCATGACATTGTACCCCCAGTAGTGCCACAAATTCACTAGCCTATAAAAATGGGGCTATAAAGCATGAAGTGTCTTGCTCGTGTGTGTTTTCTCCCCCTGGTTCAATTCAAATGTAACTAAATGCTAATTTGCCACTAAATGGAAAGTGAGTAATGAAATCAGAGACTGTGAGGGAAGAAGGCAAGGAGAAATAAGTGAATGAGCACAAGATAGTTTACCTTGCACCAAGCTATGGTTTGACATTATGTCTGAAACAAACAAATGAAGGTTCTTTGCACTAATCTTTTTCAGAGGCAAGAAGATAATTATAGGAGGAGGAAGACTATGTTCTAATGGACCTTTGGGACCCATGAACATTTCTTATGAATGCCCCATTGTTCATGGTTTGTTTGGTCCTTCACTGTATGTTTGCCTTTTCTTGCAGATTACAAACCTATATGTCTTGCTACCTCCACAGCAAAAAATGCGATCAGTTCTCTTTAGATGAAACCAACTGCATTCCAGGAATGAAATATAGTGGATATTGGGCATGTGCAGGACTCCTTTCCTCTCAACCTAGTCCTCTCCTTGTGGTATGGTTTGTAGATAGTCCTATGTTTCATAAAATATATTTATTTTATTTCTATTTAGGCTATTATTTATTTACAGGAGTATGGCATGAGATTTACCACTATGCAATATATTTGGCTTATCTATTTGCCAAGTGCTTTTCTAAATCATGATCTGATTGTCGTTTCTGTCTTTTAAAATGCTGGTGCATTTTGTATTACTCATACGAAAGGATGTTTAAGAATAAAATGTTCAGACTGCAAAGAACACACTGGACATGTCAGATCCAGCCAGAGTTAAACATTTTTAATTTGAATGAAAGAGTGTATTTAACTCTTTTCTGTTGAAATAAATGGAAATTACAATTTCGTCTCTCTGACTGGATTGTGCCCACTGCTATATTATATTTATTGTGGGTCTCCACGTATCAATAACTTCAAAAACAACAAGAATCCAGAGCAGTTTACAAGCGTGGTAGAGGTTTAATTAAAGTTGTTCTAACTTCCTGCTCCAGGGCAGTTATGTCAATATGCCCTAACTCCTACATGTCTCCTAAGACATTCTGTCAAGTACATTAATTACTTTTCCAAAAGGAAATGCTGTTATTTAAAATGAAATCAAAATAAATGCCCCCCCACTTGCACAAGATACCCAAATACACATGTCCACCTTCTGTACTTTTGGTTGCCGAAATTAAATGCTGGTTCTAGCACCCAAATGTGTACATATACTCTCCTGCAACTGTCAACTTCTCTTAAAATATCTGTTGAAAAATATGCTCAAGAAGGGGAGAAATGTTTTTGGTATTCCATGGAAATGTGGGTGTAGTCTACTAAAGGCAAGCAATGATAGCATGAAGAACAATGAATTTTAAAATAAGTAATGTTAATTAGATGACAAACATTATACTGCCCTCCTTTTATATATGTCGTATTACACTGGGGGAGAGGGGAACCTACTAACAATTTACTATAGATTATATTGTTTAGGACTACCACTTATATTGCCCTCTTGTAAATTAAACAAAATAGGCACAAGAGGAGTGCACTGTATAACCAAAATAAATAAATAAATACCCTGTTGATGTATTATTATCTGTTCTCAGATGAGCATCCCTATAATTTTAGCATCCATCTTTTAAAATGCATTTCTTTGCACATACCGTACAGATTGTGCTACGTCGTCAACGTTTGCCTTGCCTTTATTAATTTGCATTTAAGGAATCTCAAACAGAACATGGTTGCAACAATTATTGCAAACTGGGATGGCATTTATTAACCATGCAATAAATGGCATCTCATTTCAGCGCTGAATACGGAAAATGAAGGTCTACATCCAAAGTAGACAATAGTAAAGAGGTAATCATGCTTTCAGCTCTTGCTTTGCAAAAATGTCACTGTTTGAAAAATACAGACTAGTGCATCAATTAATGGCAGTGAGATGTACCTATATCCAGGTTAGAAGGAAGTGACCTGAGAATATTGAGGTTGGGATTTCTCTTATTTTGCTGGGTACTCTTTTTCAGAAAGTGGGATTCAAGAATGCCTAGGTGTATTAATGTTAAAAGCTGGTTTATGGTTACATGCACAGAGGCACCCATGCAAGCAATTTGTGCCAGAGAAAGAGAGAACTGTCACCCCCAGCAAAAAGTGGGACATGGCACCCAGGGGAAAGAGCAGGCTGAATCGTATACCTTGCTGCATGAGAGCTCCAACTCCAAACCAGAAACTATTTAGCAAGGTAAAATTGTTTTCCACCACGTCTGAGTCGGGGTTGCAAGGGTGTGGGTTATACCACTCATAGGGACTAAACCTGTGGTAATTGACAGAAAAAAAGAACATATTTAACAAGCAGCGAGCAGAAACTCTATCCAGCAAATTTGCTGCAAAAGAAACAGAAAAATAAGAAAAGTTAAATAGAAAATAGAGAAAGAAAGTTGTCACAGTGCAATTGCAGTATATAAATACAGGAAGCATTACAAGGAGAAGAAAAAATACCAGTGATGAAGTACCCTTTCCTTCATTAATTAATTTGCACAGTAACATTATATGGTGCCAGTAAGTCTTGCAAAAACAAAACAAATCAAATCAAATCACAGTAAAGGACTCGGTATCACTTAGACCCCCAATAAATAGCACATCTTGTAGTTCTTGGGCATGTTGACACACACATAAAAAGGGAGGCATTGCAATATAATAATTAGTGTAAACAGTGTAAACAGTGTAACACTACTAAAAGCTTTGTACAAAGGCTTTCCAATAATGATAATGGAAGGTAAACTGTTAAATAAAAGTGTTAATATGATTTCACAAGACTAGTAAAATAGCACCTTGAAGCCTAGCGGAATTGTTATTAAATTAAACCTCTAAATGAGCAGGATTTCACCTAATAAAATAAAATAACAGTCTTGCGGGCACAGCAAAAACTAACACTTTTATAATGGTGTCAAGCTTGTGTGTATTATCAGATGAATGTGGCTGAACTGGGTAACATGGTCTGGGGATAAGCCACACAGTTAACAGTGAACCATGAAGATGTTGGCCTACTGTTGAATTATGTGAGTGCCTATTGCTGTGTCCCTTGATCTGATGATGTTCCTCTCAAAGCTGAAGTTATGGTGGGTGAGTGACAGAGTCTGGTGGCTAGAAGTCCCATTAGCAATCAATATGCAAAATAATAAATGGACCAATATCAGAAATGGCAAAATGCCACTGTGGGAGCATTTGAATTGACTTTGGAGTTGACATCCTAGAGCAAAGAAACTTCAAGTGAGACTGCAACATGAAACCCCTGAATTATAATACATGAAGAGGTTCAGTGCTATCATTTGTGGACTGAACTGAGTCAATGGTGGGTTTTTGTTTGTTTGATTGACTGATTGATTGCTTAGGACACGGCGTGTGTTCATTGGCTTACTGATGCCTGCATGCCTGGGATATCAATAACTGTTTTGTGACTTGCCAATTATACAATTATCACTTTCTGCGCTTTTCTGCATTTCATTTCCCTCCAACCTCACTGTCTACAATGCGCCCACTACCACACACCCTTAAATCATCCTCAATCCCTGAATTGATAACGCCAGTAGAATCACAGTTCACTCAGCTGGAGAAGGCTGTCTGGAAGTTACAAAGAGGCAAATCACAGATTCTGAGAAATGGTACTGACCACATAATGTGTGACATTTACATCACTGATGGCTTCTGGTCTGAAAACTTGTTTGTCAAATTGTGGCTAAAACATGCAAAAATGTCAACTCATTTTTCTTTATTGTTGCCTTGATGTAGACACAAGACACTTGGAAGCAAGTTTCACTGAAATAAAATGGGATTTCCAAGCTAAATATGTTTGAGATCAAGGTGTTTGATATAGGCTCCTCTGTTCTTTCCTTTTTTTGCCATGTTTTGATAAATTACTACTGTGGTGCCATATTATTATTTGTGCTTTTGAGGACAAAACACTCACACAAAATATGCACTTCAGGCACACAGCCTAATGATAGGAGATAAACTTCCTTTCAAATCATGTCTTTTAAATTTTTTGCAGTATGTGAGGATCTTATGTTTAATACCCACAGCACACTAGAAAAAGCAAACACACACAACATAATGCACAATGGACCATAACCACCACAATAATTAAAGAACTCATGCAAGTTTAAGTGCTATACTCATGGTAATGATTTTTTTAAAAGAAAAATAAATTTCTCAAGTCTTTAAAGCCACTCTGTTTGTTACAAACCCAAACTGGAATATACACCCATTATTAAAGGGGGGGGGAACTATCATGTAATTAATGTTATCTGAATAATATTTCTGCCACTTCAGAGAATGCAATTTTCTTCCCAATAATCTTTTCAACACATTAAAATTCAGAAGATCAAACAATCCATTTTTATCCTCTTAATACAATGATAGAACACCTCCTGTCTTAAAAGCCTGTGCTTGAGAAACAAAGAAATGTTTCATTTGCTTCTCAAAAGTAAAACTGACACGCTGCTCACGAAAGGTTGATTGGGTTATAATTAAATATTCTGACCTTATTTCTTCTGCAGCTTTCCAAGAAATCTAGACTGGTTTTACTTCTTTAGTTGTCTACTGTTGCAGCAGGAGTCTTTTTCCCCCAACCCATTTCATGTTTGATGCAGTAAATTATTCACTTGTTTAAATTTAAGCAAATGCATTCCACACACAGCTTTGCCATCTCAGTTTTTAAAAGGCTGTATCCAAAGTTTTCTGTCCTGTAGGGCAAGGGCTCTTATGGTAGCAGACAGGTGGGTTTTAATCTTAGGCAATGGAGGAATTGGACTCCACAGCTGTGCTAGCAGAAACTTCTTGTGCAACAGATTGTACAATTTGCTGCACATCAATTTGCTGCTTATGCATTCTCTTGCTGGCAAAAAACATTTTGACATTAGATGCAACCTAATATGTGTAAACTTCACAGAGAAGATGTTACAAGACAAAAATGTAAACTTCAAAGAGAAGAAGTTTTAAATTCAGTTTCTTTTAAAACCAAACAGGCATTGTATGTTTTAGGTACTTCCGTCTCAAGGGACACATTCCTCCTCCTCTCAATACTTCTGATATTCTACAGAAAACGGATGAGAAGAGTAAATATAAATGCGCCCGTTTTCCTTGCTTTGTAATTTGGTCAATTAACAACACCTTAATGGTAAGAAACAGTGGAAAACCGTTACTTAGTGCAGGTGGGGCAACCCCCCACACTAAAACTCAATCCCCATAAAGCTATAGAATGGCTCTTTCTATGCTCCTTTCATTCATTTGCAATACATTCCTTCATATTTAGAGACCTGTTTCTGGTCCTCTCTTGTGCTGGCCAATCATCTCTGGAGATGATAATCATCCCTAAGGTTTCAACCCTGTCGCCATGGGTAAAAAACCAAGTTTTTGAAATAATCAATTCCAGTATGGGTGGCTTACAGAGGGTGGAGGACCCCTCTGAACCTCTATTTTTTATTTCATTTCCCTTTGAATAAACTCTAGCTGGTCAGGATTCCCTCAGAAATGCACTGAAAGTTTCACAGCACTAGAGCAGGACTCCGATCAACCTGAGCCAAATAGATGCATCCATTTGCAAGCTGCTAATGACTCTTCTCTGAGGTGGAGGTACTTTGCCCTCCTTTTGCAAGCACCAGGAAAAAGCAACAGGAAGCACAATCTCCCCATCCCGGCATGGCTATCCAACAAGTTCACTGTTCAGCTTCCAGTTTCATCACTGCCAGATATAGACATAGAGATATACATTTCAGTGGCAGGAATAGTGGCAAATGACTCCAAAAGCATGTTCGGTTGTGTATAATTTGATTAATTCAGGGGTGGTACTGGACCCTTTTTAATGCTAGGGGGGCAGGGAAAGGAGAGGAGATTTGGCTGGCATCATAAAGGGGGAAGGAGAGAATCTTGTTTCTTCATGGGCTGAACTGAGCCTTTTTATGGTTGAGGGATAGAAGTGTCTACAAAAAAAGTTTTCCCGTGACCTGGATTGGGCCTCGTTTATTTATTTATATTTAATGTATTTGAAAATATGATGCAGGCATATGCAAGATCGTTAACTCCCATCAGAAATAACAGCAATAACTTACCGTAATTGCTTCAAATAGAACAAAAAGTATTATCAGTACTTTGAAGAACACTAGATGTTCATCTTGTTTCTCAGCCCCAGACTGCATTAGCAGGGCACACTTGCTCCCACACTTCCAGCTGCAATCTCACTTTGAGCGGAGAGGTGGAATGGTGTATTGACTGGTGGCCAAAAGGGAGAGGAATTCTGAGCTAAACAAATCCCTGCTTTTATAAAACTTTGTGTGAATGTCTGAGTGCCCACAGCAGCAGAGTACTGGAGAAGCTTGTGGAACTTGCTGCTATAGTATTTAGAACTGATCCTATGGTGTGTGGGAGGGGGAGAGAATCATTTTTCTAACATTTTAACTTAAATAAAATGTAATAGTCCTGAACCTAATATTTACTGGAGTGATATACTCTTGTATATGTAGTGGTAAACTATACTGAAGAGGCATGGGTTAGCTGCAGTTACTAACATAATCCCATTCATTTTAATGATGATGATGATGATGATTTATACCTTACTTAGAAGTAAGTCCCATTGTATTCAGTTAAGTGGGCATAAAATTGAACCCTGCTCTTCCAGGTCCAAGTACAACACTCTTAACCATCACATTAATACAACTGCAGGTGTTCATTTAAAATATATGTTTTCTGTTCTTTTTTATTTTTAACTTGAGTTCTTGGCATGGTTTAGGGTTGGCATTGGGGGAGTGCAACCTTTAACCCCTGAGTAGCAGGCAGCAATTATTATGAATGGAAAAGGGCATTGCATGAATTGGAAGTGAACTATTTTGTTCCTTTTCTAAAATGAACATTCCAAGCACTGGTGGTTCATATATTTTATTCAGATAAAATGTCTAACATCTTTTCTACTGCCTACAAATTGTGAGTTTCCAGCAACTCTAACACTCTCTCTCTCGTGTGTATGTGTGTGTGTGTGTGTGTGTGTTTAAAACAGGATTGAGGGAGCATTACCAAATGAGCAGAGATATAAGTTTCTGTTCACTACTGAGGAATTATGACATAACTGCATGTATACTCATTAGAGCGAGCATAAGACTAAATCTCTGTTAAGTGCTAAGTATTAATAAAACTGCAATGTTTAAATGTCCACTGTTTCTTTGCAAAGAAGGAGGACAGAGGGGGGAAACAGAACAGATGGAGGCAGGACGTCTATTCGCAAATCAGAGAAGCAACTGTGACAGCAAGGTCCCCTTTGGAACCAAAGAATTTTTTTTTTACCTGGGGAAGTTACTATTTGCAAAACTGCAGTGCTTAAGTGTCCCCAGTATGTTTCCAAGGGGAGAAGTATGGCAGAAAACCAGAACCTGGCCATGCCCTGTGACCTCATTAGCCACACCATGACATTCTAGCAGCCCCACCAGGTTTAGCGGGCACCAATTTATTTTTAATTTTTAATTAAATATAGCACATATAAGGAGGTGTAGTTACACAAGAAAGCAGAATGAATTTTAATGTTTAAAGTTATATAATCTAAATAATTAGCATCTAAAACTTAATGTGAAGGACCCCATGTGGAGAGCCATATGCTCAGCAGTCCCTTGGAGATGCTGGTGAAGAATCTCAAATGTTCCCACACAGCACCTGGGATAATTAAGTTAGGGCCTCTTTCCTTTAAGTTTCAACATCATCCATTCTAATCTTACTTCACTTCCATTTTTTAAAAAGCACCAGAAACACTTTTCAGCCCTTCACAATTCAGTAACAGTACCTTTTCCTCCTGTTCTTTTCCTAATTCTAAATGCTTAACACATTTTTGGGGTGGGGGTGGGGGTGGGGAGAATCTTCTAATTCTTTTGTTCCTTCTCTTCCAAAGATTGATCCTTGTGCTTCATTGGGAGAGGAAAAAAATCACATAAATATGTAAGTATGTCTCCTTATGCCCATAATAGTTGACTTAATAAGTTTCTCAAATGCCTTGAGAATAAATGTGTTATTAGTATGATACGTTACATCATTTTTCTGACACTAACAAGTGTACTCCCAAACCATCTTGACACATTCCACACAGAATTCACACCTGGAATACACGTTTGGGGTGTGTGGAGGGGTAAATTTAGTTCTCCAGCAACATATAAATGATGGGAAAATGTGATGCACCCACAACTGAAGAAAGGGGTCATGACCCCTACTGAAAAAATTATCAACTCTTTTGATGGTAAAGAAACTATTTCCTAAGAAAGGCTCTTGTTTCAGCATCCAGGTTTGATCATGTTTCGAGGATTTATTTTATTCAAGAATTAACCCAAAACTCATAACCAAATGTGGGAGTTAAAAAAATTGCCTTCAGAGAAGAGTAGCAGAATTATACATTGCTAAAAGCTACTTTACTTTTAAAAATTTGTATATGCCTTCACACATAACACAACATGATGACAGCCTAATAGACTTCACTATTCCATTAGGTATTACATGCTCATATTAATATGTCACAAGAGACCCTACCCATCTCACCTAAGCTTGCCTGTGGAAAATACTAAATGCAAAGTCAGAAATGATTGGATTCAGAACCAAGATGGCAAGCTGAATGTTTAAGTGTGCATCCCTCCTGATCTCTATGGGTAGATTGTTTGCCATGAAAAAAAGAGGACAAAAAAGGAGTGCTTAGATTTCCATATAAACCTTTGCTGCCTATATAATCTTCCTAGCAGCTACTAACAATTCAGAACTATTAAAAGCCAGTTTTGCACCGAATAATTATTCCTGGATAAAAAGCATGTTCCTCAAGCTATGAGAAGTAGCCTATACTCTAAAAAGGGGCTTAATTAAATTATATACTTACAAGTCGTACTGACAAAGTATGGCTGTGGGACAGAACTATAAGAATTGCATTATAAAAAAAGCTTCTGACCAATCTCATCTGTGTATCTAGTAGATCATTCACAACTTAGCATATGCCTCATAATAGAAAGAAAGGGTTTTGTTTTTTATTCGTTAACCTACCATCAGATGTGTGGTGAAGGATGGTAGAAAGATGGCTTTTCTTTTCCAGTACTATTCTGAAGGATTCTCAGGATTATTTCATTGAATAACCAGGAAGTTATCAGCCCCCCCCCCCCAGGTTTGGATTGACATCCTATTTGCTATTGTGACTTTATGTCTGCTGGGTGACATCTTCTGAGATGGTTAAGTTAGGGCATGTGAGATGGCCTCCTCGGTGGTAACCTTCACGCTACGTAATGCCCACCCCTCCAAAATTGTTCAGCTTCTGTTGGCAGGCAAAGATGTAGCTTATTCCCCAGGCTTTAGGAGATGAGGGAGTGTATTGTTATGTGATGCTGTAATGATGTGATGCTGCTTTTATGCTACTACTATTTATTGTGGATTCTGGTACCACCAAATGCACAGGCCCTTTTGGATCAGGAAGAGGACACAATGGGGGTGGAAAGGGGTGGGGCAGGCTTATGTATGCCCTCCCAATGCACACAGTAGCCAGGAAGGGAACCCTGGCACAAAATGGTTGCCGCCTGTACTGCAATTTTGTATTTGACTCAATCACTGTAACCCACCTTGGGTGAAGGGTGGGTAATACATTATGTGTGTGTGTGTGTGTGTGTGTGTGTGTGTGTGTGTAAAATTATATATATAGCTAAACAAAGAACTCCACTTTCACCTTGACTGAACCTTTAGAATATTTCTGATTCTGACTTTCAGAACCATATCAACAAAATCATCTATACTTTTTTTAAAAAAATAAACCTTCTGTTGAGACTTTTTTTCTCCATTGCATGGCTGTCTATTTCCCTGTCTATTAGTACTCTGCTTTCCTAACATCATGGGTGATGTCTGAAATGTTTTAAAAATCTACTAAGGAACAGACATAATTGCATGTAGTTTCATCTGAAACACAAGGATTAAACATGAACAGGGAGCTGAACTAGAAGATTTATCTGACACTAGAAAACAGAATATTTGTATCTTTGGGAGACTGTGTAGAATTATTTTATACTTCTTAAAACAATAGCACATTGCTTAAAGTACATTGCTTCTGACTAGGGAGGGGTGAATCTGTCAATTTCAGTTTCTCATTTTTACAATCTTAAATTTAGTTCTCCATATCAGTTTGAGATTTTTTTTTTAAAGCCCTCATTAAAATTCACCAGCAAATTTGTTTGAATATTCACAATATCTGCAATTTTGCCTAATATACATATTCTGGCAAAGCCATTTGCCCTGATCTGATGCCTTTTAATATTATTTTCACCAGCTTATGCATTTTTATGCACACTTCATCATGGTATATGCATTTTTTTACACACTACTTGGCTGAAGAACTACACTGCAAAATTCAGAGAAATTGGGATTTTAAAGGTTGGTGGTGATTCAGTTCACGGACTATTTTGGCAAGTATGAATTAGACAGGTTCAAATTTAAATGTGAACTGCATTGAATCATTACTAGTTCAGACATAAAATTACTGCCAAGGAAAAATAGACAAATTAAAAGGAAATAAAATCAGGTAATGTTTGCTAGCTTCTCCTCCCCAAAAATGAGGCACACAAATTGGAAAAACAAAACAAAAACCAAGGCTAACTCTATAAAGAGCCCCTGTGGTGCTGGAACCATAGGACAAGGGGGAATTAAGCTGACAACCCTAACATTTACTGTGATCCAATCCCATCTGTTCAAGCTATAGAAAATGTTGAAGATAGTCCTGTACTTCCCAGAAAGGATAAAATTGCTTTTGGATACATACCCATTTGTTTCCTATCAGTATTTTCTTCTTTCTTAAAAGAAAAAAGCTAGAGGGGAAAGTAGCAAAGCAAAGAAAAAAAATTATTAGGGAACTGAATGCTCACTTTATAGCAGGGGAAAGCTAGACGGGAAGAATCTGATAAATCACTACTTAACAAACACTCAGAAACTCCTAGGGTACTTAGCTTGAAATTTACTGTAGAAAGAAGATGACTGAAGTAGAATAAGCGTATCCGAAGGCTGCAGAAGGAGACGGAGCACTCTGAAACACTCCAGAAAAAGAAACATACCATCCATAAATCTTTTAAAAGTTACAATTTGTTTTACAGATGGTAGAAGTTTCACTGTTGCTCTAGATAGCAAGCATGTGAAAAGAGAGCAGAGAATCCCAAAAAAGAAAAGCCGAAAGCTGATCATATGCTTTCACCAAGAGTTTGTTGTGTTTCTCTCACCTTCAGGGTTTTTGCAATGTCGTTGCCAATTATAACAAGACTGGGCCATATGAGGGTTAATACAAGCTATAATACAGTGGTACCTTGGTTCTCGAATGGCTTAGTTGTCGAACAAATTTGCTCCTGAACACTGCAAACCCGGAAGTAAGTGTTCTGGTTTGCGAATGTTTTTCGGCAGCCGAACGTCCAACATGGCTTCTGATTGAGAGCAGGAAGCTCCTGCAGCCAACCAGAAGCTGCGCCTTGGTTTTCGAACAGTTTCAGACGTTGAACAGACTCCCGGAACAGATTAAGTTTGAGAACCAAGGTACCACTGTATATAATATACTGGATTTGACTATGCCTCAGATCCCAAAGTATATCTGTTTCTCTTCACATAGATCTTTCTGTGAGGTAACTTGCAGGTGAAAATAATTTCCAGACCCAAGAAAAACAAAATCTCATATCGCATTAACTCTGAAACCAATTGGCCCACACACGTGATTCAGGTTTGATCAGCTCAACCAGACAAAAGTTGTTGTAATAGAGCCAAAACAAATAAATAAAGTGGAACTGACAGACTCTTTAGCATCTACAATACTTTGCAACAGGGATGGTTAACCTTCACACCTCCAAATGTTACTGAAGTACAATTCCCATCATGTCAGACTATTGGTTATCTTGGATGGGGTTGATGGGCATTGGAGTTGATCATCTAGAGTGCCATGCATTCCCCACTCTTGTTCTACAAGCACATGCATAACTAGAAAGCAGGGAAAGGATGGAAGTAAATTTTCCTACAATTCAGCAAGTTTGGGCTCAGAACTGCAGCTCTTTTCTATCCTAGAATCTTGGTCATTCCAAATTATGAAGGGAAATAGGGAAAATCCAGAAATGGCTTCCGTAAGTTGAAACACATTTCTACTTATGCTATGCGGACCATCAACATTCCTTTGATTACCCTGTCCTGTTGCAGTGTGCTATGTCTTATTTTGCAACACTTCAAAAGAGTCCATTGGCCTATAAAGCACCTTGTGGGGCACAAGGAGAAATAGTGGGGGGCAGAATCCAGAACCCTAACTGAGTCTCTCACTTCCCAAGAGGAAAAAGAAAGGGATGCTACTGGGAAAAGTTCAGGACGTTCCTTTTCTTATTTCTTTATTTATTGGGCTACCTAGAGGAATCTGCTGGTAGGGATTTGCTAGAAATATCCACTCTCTACGTCCCACCTGGCTATGGCACCATCCTTCATTCCCTTCCTGCTAGATTGGAGAGGATAATTTTACCATACCTGTGTTTTTCCACATTGGTAAGGAAGCACTGTAATGTTTTTACATTGCATGGGCAGATACTTCAGAGGAGTGGTTTCCCACATGTATATATGGTACCATTAAATATTTGGTTACTCTCATACCACTTTGATGTCCTGTAAGATAGCACTTTGCATATGTTCTTACATCCTGTCAGTTATAATGAACACACCAAGCTAAATATATATATATTTATATAATTTTTGGTCAGGCTAATTATATTCTTAACATGAACATGCTTCATTCTGCATCCTATATACAGTATACAGTGTTGGTGCATGCATCATGTCACAGGAACATGCAGGGTTCACAAGATGGTGCAAGGGCAAAATAACCAACTCTCTGTGAAAATATTTTTCCTAAAATTAAATCAGTAGTAACACAGATGTTTGAAAGCATTTAAAAGTATATGAAATATGTCTGAAGAGCCTTTGTCACACATTTTGTTAAATCGCAGCCTTAAGTGATAACATTAAGGTAACTGTTCTAGTAATGACAGATGCCACCTACATACAGCTCAGAATTGATCTGTAAAAATGGATGGTCTCAAAATCACCAATTCTCCATGCCCTGGCACACTCCTGGTGCTATTGCTGGGAGTACCATGGGTTCTAGAGTCTTTCCTAAAGCCTGCACTCCACATGTCTCAGATTGTAAAATCCACAAGTTGAGGAATCATGAGGCAGCCCCTGTGACAGATTCATAGCTGTCAACCTTCCCATTTTTTTGCGGGAAATTCCCTTATTCCAGTGCCGTTTCCCGCCGTTTCCCACTGCTATCCCAGATTGTTAGATATCCCGTAGACTGTTCCCGGGACAGGTGAGGCTGCTGATCCCTTATTGTTGAGGCTGCTGATCCCTTATTTTCAAATCTGAAAGTTGACAGCTATGGACAGATTAAGCCTAGCACAAGTCCCAATTTGGTCCATGAGGCTGCTTTCCTCATCAACAGCCACCTTTCCCACACTTGACATCATATGCGATGTCAGGTGCCGGCCGGTAATGACATAGCCTTCAAGTACACTTCCGATTGCTCCTTGGCAAACACAGCTTGCTGTTGCAACAGCAAGTCCCAATTGGGAACTGCATAGTACAGGCAATCCCTGCCCAAAGCACGCTTGCTGTAAGTGAAAATCAGCCGATCAGCACTCACAGCAAGTCGCTTGGGATCAAAGTAGGGCTTGCTATAAGCACAAATATTCATTTGCATTGCCAGCTGGAATTCAAACCAGAAAGGCAAAGGATCTTCCTTTGCAGGCTCAACCCATAACAGAAAAAAATGTTCCTTTGCACCACTGGGTTGAACTGAAGCTGGCAATGAGAATGATCTTTCTCTAAAGGCACAGTTTAAGCTGCAACAGTAAAGCAGAGAGAAAATACTTTGGGCTATCTAGCATTAATTTGATCTCAGGTGATGGGCAGGTGGGTAGTATCTAGCAATAGAGTAGCTCAGAGCAGGAGCATTGATTTCAATGGGTCTATTCATAGTAGGACTTCATTGGATATCACCCATTAGTGCTGATCTGTGATCAATCTGCCAAACACAGATTGCATCAAAGAAAAATAAAGCAGCCAGAACTGTGAAAAAGCAGGTACTTTTTAATGACCGAAGATGAAGAATTACCTTGTGATTAGAGCAGCAACCATGGCACCAACCTATCTTCTTGTTTACACTAACCTTGCTTGCCAAAAAGCCCACCTGCTGCGCTTCAAGCTACAGGGTACTGTAAACTAATTACAACATGTCTATCATATGCATACAGAGTGCAAGCGAACAACTTCACATTCAGCTAACCTAGAGTGGAAAACAGCAGCTTGACACTTCAAGTCTTCCAACTGAAACTACAGTATTTAATATTTTAAGGTATTTTCCCCTGCGGATTAGGAAGCAATGGATATGAACAATGGGTGACATTGGGTAGATCTGACAGCATCTTGCCCCCAAGAGCGCCAAAAACCTGTAGTAGCGTTTTGTAGCAATGACCGCCGTAATTTACAACAGCCAGGATTGTGGTAAGTGCTATATAATGCCATCAGTTCACAAAGTGAGTAAGGCTGCCAAGATGTCTAGATGAACAGCCTGAAAGTGGGAGATGGAGTAAAAAAGGCAAAAGCCCACTTTCCCCTCAACGTACAACCTCTGCCTTCCACAGCAGACACTCACACTTATTTTTGATGTTTACGCATGACAATAGCTGCAAACATTTAGTATTTTAGACTATATAATGTATGCGTTTCCTAGAAATAAAATAATGTAACATTTTTACAATTCCCCACACATTTCTAATTCTGTCCCTTAGGTAAAAAGTAATACATATGCATACTCCAGAGTGGACACATGTGCTACTGTAATACTAGGGATCTTCTCTTCATGTCCTAAAAATAAATATGGCTCCCAGTATGTTTCTGAGCACAATTCAAAGTGTTGGTGCTGAGCTTTAAAGTCCTAAATAGCCTCGGTCCAGTATACCTGAAGGAGCGTCTCCACCCCCATCACTCTGCCCGGACACTGAGGTCCAGCACCGAGGGCCTTCTGGCGGTTGCCTCGCTGTGAGAAGCCAAGTTACAGGGAACCATGCAGAGAGCCTTCTCAGTAGTGGCACCCGTCCTGTGGAATGCCCTCCCACCAGATGTCAAAGAGAAAAACAACTACCAGACTTTTAGAAGACATCTGAAGGCAGCCCTGTTTAGGGAAGCTTTTAATGTTTAATAGACTATTGTCTTTTAATGTTCTGTTGGGAGCCACCCATAGTGGCTGGGAGGCCCAGCCAGATGGGCGGGGTATAAATAATAAATTATTATTATTATGCTAAATGTTTCCCGTATCATTGCTTATTCTGAGAATTATTGATGGAAGCATTATGTAAGTCATGGAATTATTTCAATGACTTACATAATGCAAAAATGTCCCCCAAAGCTGTTCATTTTATCTCTGCTTCCATTAAAAATTATTGATCTTTTACAAGCCAACTTCAGTCATTTGGTTTATGTTTGTCTCACTGACAATACATCAAGATATATATATATATATATATATATATATATAAATTAGTTCCAACTACTACTGAAAATGGTTCCTACTTCCTATATTTATGAGTTACGCAGAATCTACTGCAGCAAGTAGGCCACTAGAATGTTGCATGGATTTGCCACAAAGCTAGTGACACTATACATCTGAAAACCATTTAGAAGACATGCAGAGAAGCCAAATGTCCTATTGTGCTGCGGCTATTGACAGAATTTTAAAAATGCTGTATAAGTAACACTTCTAAGGGTTTTTCTCCCCATTATACACCCATTATGGAACAATCTTTCTGAATTATTTGCAACAACAAAGCTTGCACAATTTATTAAACCGTTTGGCAGTGTGTCATTTCCAAATGTCTCCAGCTAACAACGCAATTCATATTGAATGGGCCAAGACCTGAGCTATAATACTCTCCATTAGTTTTCACTGAGAAAGTCTGAAGGGTGCTGGAAGGCTGTAAACAAAATATTAAAATGCATGAATGCCTAACATGGTAGACCGTATAATCTTGTGATAATTGCATCCATTAAAGATGAGGCATCAAAATTGCCACCTGCTCACCTGCTAAAGACAAGCAAATCAGAACCATGTGGATAAAATTTGAAGCTTGCCCAGCCGATGGACATTTTCAAAACACCCTGTGTCTAATTTTAGCTCTTATTCTCTGATAACTCGATTTCATTCTCCAAATATTCTAATTGCTATTTATTGAGAAGACCAATATTTAAATGTAGGTTAGAATCAAACTATTCCCTAGTTTGCCATAAAAAAAACCACTATGGCATTTAAGCTATATTAAAAATATGTTAAAAATTACATGGGTAACTTTTCTAGTCAATTGCAAGATCCCCCCCCCCTTTACCACATGAGTACTACAAATCTGTATGGGGCCTAAACAGTTCATCAGCTGGAAATATATATGCATGATATATAATGTGGGCCAGTTTTAATGACAGCAGCAGGTCTTTGAGGCTATGAGAAAAGGTACTTATTAAAGTGTGAGCCTCTCAGCCCATTAGCAATCATGGCCAACTTCTTCAGTTTAAGGGACTGTTCAATATCCCTGGCCAAGATGTTCTGTCCATGTCATTAGCACACCCATTCCCATCTGCTGGAATTATTTCGCTCAGGAGTCCTTGGCTTCATAGGCCTAAGAATCTGGCAAGCACATTTTTAACAGGAAATCAGATGTCAGCCCAGAAGCCTTCAAGGCAACCTCTGATTTACTGATGGGAAGAGTGCCTGTCAGATAATACAGTAGTGCTTGCACACTGCTTTTGATCTGGTCAGTGCTGCTTTCCAAGCTGAGAAATTACAATGCCTCTGGGATGACCTGTCATGAAGGGCGCCTGCCATGTAGGAAGGGGGAAAGGGAGGGTTTAAGCAACAGCCAATATCTACCACAACACAGGATGGAACACTACCTTATAAAGAATACAATAATCACAAGTGAGTGGATTCATTTGCAGAGTCCCTTTTCTGGGAATCTCTGCGAGTTATGTGATTTTATTTGGCTCTATGTTTATTCGGGTGTTAAATGGTCGATTTTATGCTTCTCCACTTGCTGAGGAGTTAAAGTATGTCGCTGAGTGATCTATATAATACCCAAGCATTGTACAGATACTGTACTGTTTTGGGAATTTTAAATATTTCGACTACTGTTATTCTCTGTGGTGTTTCTATTTATTGCTTCTATGGTGGCCAGGCTATTAACTGGTCTACTGCTATAATTTCAGGCTTCTAGCTAACTCATAGAATCATAGAGTTGGAAGAGACCACAAGGGCCATCGAGTCCAACCCCCTGCCAAGCATTCCATGGAGCTGCCAAATGTTTGCAGGGGGAGGGGTATTAGATAAAAATCTGCTAAGCTTCCTTTGTCTTTGCCCTTCTTTGCTTGTGAAGTCCAGCTGCCTGCAAGTCAGGCATATATAGGTATATACAGGATTTTGTTTTAGAACCTATGGGAAGCCAGTCTTGACAACCAAGGATGGATTCATGCATACCTTCTTATTGTAAGATGATTTTAAAAAAATATATTATATGGAGATTTAATGTACCCTAGTCTTGGTGAAATAATTCAACATATGTGCATGGCTGGGGTGCAGATGAACGGAGAAAGGTGTCAGATCATGGCTTTCTAAGTCCTATTATCCTATGAATGAAATATATTTTGCACCACCAAACTTTCAGGGAAGTTTGGTGGTGCAAGTATCCTGAATTCATTTGAAAGTCAAATAAGCTATACTAGTGCTTCCCAATTAGCGATCCATGGATGCCAGGGGGTCCACATAAGCCACCCAGAGGGGTCCATGGCAAATAACAAAAATAGAGATATCAAAATTTTCAAAAGTAACAGTCCATGGCTTAGCTTTTGAAAAACAGGGGGTCCGTAGTACATAGTTAATTGGGAACCAGTGATCTATACTATTCTTAATTCTATACGAAATAGAACTGCTAATGTGAAAATTCATCAGCATTTTAATGTGAATTTTTCATAATATACACCTTTTAAGACTACTTTTCCCACTATAGCAAGACCTGCAAATAATTTTCCATAAAATGCATTTTTGTATGTTATTTTCACACGTGTGTGTGTGTGTGTTTCTACACATTATGCCTGGGGAATTGAAAAGTAAAATTCAGAGAAATGCAAATTTGGAAGGATTGTTACACCTTTACGTGTGAGCTGAACCAAATTTCTCCCCCCTTCCAAATTGTCATACATGCAAATCTAGCATTTCAACTCCCCCATCAAAAGTGTATATGGGGACCAATGAGCTTGGGGATCAAGAAGAAACACGAGTCAACGGCACTTGTCAGTGGGTGAATATTCCATAGGCTCAGTGGAAGCCTTATTCTGCCTCACTACAAATGATAATACTCTACAACAGAGATACTTCTATAGTTTCTAAAACTCAAAATGCCACAATGTGTGCAGGTACTCTCATTTAGCTTTCTTCTGACATCACAGTGTCACTCACATTGCTTCTATCTAATCTAAGGCCTGCTGAAACAGGCCAGATTGCCTGCCAGCTCTGAAGAAAGGTGTAGAAGTGAAAAGGCCTGTAATTAACTGCAGCATTAGGTTAAACAAGACTGATCAATATCCTGCCATTGACTTTCAGTGCCACTGCCGGATGCATACACAGCAAGTCTCCTGAAGAAATGCAAAAAGGACCCGACACTTTGCTAAGACCTACATCAAAACCCAACTTAATACATAAATAAGGACAGGGGATGCAGAACAATTAAAGCAGATCTTATGCATATTTTTTGGTATTTGATAATGGCTGCAAAAATAGCAACAGCAAAAATCTGCAAAAGGAGTGCTTTTTTAATTGATTGGGGGGGATGATCTTTTGTGCTAATGACCAAATTGACATATTACAAGTGAATGAACCTAATAATTTTACGGGGAAATGGGTTTTTAATGCATTGGAATAATAAGCATAATTGAAATAATAACCCCATTGTAATATTTATCTCCACAATATAATAACAACAATAACAATAGTCAGTGCTTTATTTTTCTGGGGGGACGCAGGGGTATGCATACCCCTAAACATTCTGTGAATCTAAGTTTGGCCTCATTGAGGGGCAGTATTTCAATATGAGTAGGAAAATGAGAGCACCCCTAAATATATATATTTTTAGAGAGAAAAAGCACTGACAATAGTAAACAAAACATTGCAATCTTCCATTCCCCTTGAACTGTTTGAGTAACGTTTTCCCCCAACCCCCAAAATGGCAAAATGCCCTCCCCACAATGCATCCCCAAGGAACAGAGTGCCAAACTGTGGGAGGAATTGCATTTTGCAGCAACCAAAAAATCTGCAGCTGCCCTAAAGATGCAACATTTTTATTTGGGTAGAAAATGTGGGGTAATGATCCCGGTGGCAAAACACATGTATCTGATTGCTTCAAAACTGCACATCTAGCTAGTTTTAAAGCATGGTTAGCACTGGGTCATTTTAATATCTCAGGGGAACCAAAATGTAGCTAAGTAGCTATGTGGTGTGACAATCAAGATCAGGACTGAAAACATGATTTTTTAACTACTTTCTCCTTGTGCTTTTCCCCCACCAAAAATTGGCACACACAAGCTATATTCCCATAAGGGATTCCTGCATGCGAAAATTGCACATCTAACCATTGGAGTGATGTGGAAATTCTATCCAGACACTAGAGGGAAGCATGTATTGCTGGTTCCCAATGCATCTCTGAATGGATGTTAAAAAACTCATGATAATTTAACAATGTCAAAAAGCAGTGTCGCGGCAAAAAAGTAGAAGATCTTAGTTTATTGTTCCAGAAATCCTAATAAATGTCATTAACAACATTAACGTTTACTTGCTAGAATTAATTTTGAATTAATTAATTTTGAATTACTTTTGAATTAAATATGTAAGCACAGTTGATAAATGACTTGTAGTGATATCTATCGTTGAGGAAGCAACTGAAATTTATCCAAGTTCAGAAAAACAAGAAGAAACAAAACTATGACATGCTTAAATCAATCCAGTAAATAAAGAATGCTGAATTGTAGTTTTTAAAATTTATTAGTTTACAGATTTCTCCACCACACAACTCTTAGAAGATTTGGTGGCTTGCATACTGATCCATGAAAAGAAGGAATTTAATGAAAAGAGATTCTCCCGTCTTCCCCTCCATTCTGTAGCCCACTAAGCCCTCCAAATACTCTCTAGTCTAGAGGGGGACTCCCCCTTTCCAATTCAGCCCCTGCCCCTCAAAACTACTTAAAACGGTTCTACAACCCACCCAAGAGGCTTTTTGGAGGCAGAAGAAGAAGGAATGTGTCCTTTATGTTGACTTTCACCTAGTCACAGAATCCAAGCCGCAATCTCCAACCCAGAGACAAAATGCTGATGCAAATTAGTGAGCTCCTTTCTTATGATATTTGGCACAATTTTTCTATTTGTTTAGTATTAAAAGTACCAGTTTTTCTATTGTGGGACTCTGGCTGACATCCTATAACATCCGTGAGTGGCTTCTATTGAGAATAGGCATGCATAAGGTTGCTTTATCAGAATTCAATTCTATTCCACTAACCTGGGCGCAAGCCTCACTAAAATAAATCGGACTTACTTCTGAGTGGGCATCTCCCATTTGGAGATGAGAAACTGATGTTGAAGCAAAATATCCCTATTCATAGCACAATATAAGAAGGTATTTCAAAATATATAGCTGCTAGAATTTAGTTGAGAACTCTTAATACCCCAAGAAGCGTCCTGACATTTAATACTGCACTGATACATAGTGAACTACAGTAAACGGTGTTTCTGTGCGCTCTGGCACTCGCCAGAAGTGGTTTAGTCCTGCTGGACACATGACCCAGAAAGCTGTCTGCGGACAAAACGCTGGCTCCCTCAGCCTGAAAAGTGAGCTAAGTGCCGCACCCCATAGTTGCCTGGACTTAACCATCCAGGGGTCCTTTACCTTTATGACTTTTAGCATGGGAAACAGAAACATATGATTACTTTCTGAAAGTTTGGAAAACTTTATTATGCTACTGATAAAGAGTTCAGTCCTATAATTTAGCTGTTGCCTGTCCTTAATTAAGCTGCTTTAAATATGTGCATGGTTTAATGACAGAATAAAGTAATATTAGCATAAATCACCTTGCTATTTTAGATACAAGACTAAACCCACCCAACCACATTGCAGAACACTTTCCCCTCAGCATTCATATTTAGTTGTTGGCAGAGTGGCTTTAAAGAATTTAAAAAAAAGAAATTCCTCACTCTCGTAAAAACACAGAAGCTTAGATTTAATACCTACTATATTCATTTAAAGAATTACCCAGAATCTAATTTTCCATTACAGATTATTCTCAGACATGGAGATACTGAGCACAGAATCCATTATAAATTTCTATTGAATTGAGAGCAACTCCAAATGGATATCCTGATTCATTTCAGGGATGAGTGTGTCTATGATCCTGGTCAATTGTGGCTAATGTAGGCACTATTAATGGAAAATCACATCTTATACTTGAAAATAGGAGTTTCCATCTATGATAAACTTGCAGTATTAATACAATGACTTTAGTAAACATATTTGCTGTTCTAGCATCAGTGACTTGCAGCAATGTAAAGACACACAAGACATTGTCAATTTTATACCCTCTTCATATCTAACACAGCCTTAAATCATTTGTATTTTAAACATCTGCCTTTACGGATCTTTCCTGCACTTATATAATTATAGGCATTATGTGGAAATTAAAATGTAACCACCATACTTAAATAGATACTAAACACAGTAGCCTTTTCATTTTCTGTATGGCTGAGTGCATACCGTACTGCCCTAAATTTTTAAAGTAAATCTCAAAAGGAGATATAAAAAGATAAAGAACCAGATGATCGAAATATACACGAACACACACAGTCGTGGGAAACAGGTAGAGAGAAAGTCTTTAGGAGAATAACTGGATATATTTTATCTTCAGTGTGAAAATACATTGATATTCATAATGCAACATAACTGTGGGGCAAAAGCAGTTACTGAAGGAAGGCATCCACAAAAGAAAATAAATAAGCAGATAACAACATTTTTCTGTTTTCATTAGTGTGTATGTGTATGTATGTGTGAAAGAGAGAAATTATTTTACACACACACCCACACCCACACCCACACTCAAAATAGATTGTTAGGTCAGATATTTTTGTTCTTTGGGTTTTTTATTTTTACAGTTTTACTGTAAAATCCATGCCTCCCACAAGCTTGGAATAGGAAACTATTTCAGCATTCGAAATACCATGCAACATATTAACATTTTGATTGACTCATCATTGCTCAAAAGTTAGAGTGCTTACCTGTTTACCATTGCAATTTATAGCCACACAGTTTCAAAAGTAACAGCTGTCAAGCTTACTGCATGCTGCATAGCCTAGCTGAGTAGTAGAGTTAACTTTCAACTTAAGAATTATTAACAGGGGAAAGCAGGGGAAACTTACCTAAATTCTTTTCATTTAATGTATTAAAATAAATATTCAGGTGCATATTCTGAACCAACTTAGATGACAGTTGCAGCCCTGGATTTGGAATGGTCATAATGCCAGTAACATTAAAAAAAAAAAATCTACAGAAAAGGCTATCCCTTCTCCATTGCTTCAAATACTAATACAGAAGACTGAACAGAAACACCTTGTTATTCATAGGTTTGTCAACTGAAACACCTTTGCCTAAAATCAGCTGCATTCAAATCCTAACCATTTAGCATCTTGGAAGTGCATACTGAAATGCAACCAACCCTGACTCAGAAAGGCCAGGCTTAGAGAGTCAAATAATAAGCAATCCAAATGAAATGCAAGTAGGTAGGTGTGCATTTTAGTTATTCATTTATTTGAGTATCTCTATCCTGCCTTTCTAGTGGAGCATTTGAAATACTGGGAAAAAAACCCCAAAACTATTGTCCAGCATACAGGAACAAATGGTAGAAAGCAGTCATTGATAAGACTGATGTTGTGGACCAGATAAAATAGTAGATCTATTCTTTCTTCCTCTTTTATTCATGCCATAGTGATGTACAGAGGAGGAAAGGAGGGTGAGAGTGGCCCCTCCAACACTGAATGTGTTGTCCTCCATGAGTTGGAAGGTGACTGTCTGCAATAGTAACCCTGATCTACCTATGTTGGCTCCCTGTGTGTTCAGAGCCTGAATTTCCCATGGTTCTAAAACCATGAATAGAGAAGATTCCCTGTTACAGACATTCACCCTCCAACTTGTGAAGGCTACCAGAGGGAGTGGGGTATGTATGCTTAGACCAAAGTAATATTCACAATTATATCCCTGTTACAAGTCCCACTGCTATCAATACTGATCAGCACAGTTGTCAAAAGTTTTCTCATCTCATGCAGCATCTCACAGCCCAGCCAATTACTATTCTTTTATTACTTATTTGACTGATGTGTTGGTTCTTCCCACAATCAGTTTCAAAGTGACTCAGAGAAACAGGAAGATAAAAAAATAATGCAACACATAACAAAATAGATCCATTTTTAAAACACACAGAAGGGTCAACAACAAAAATGAGTCACGAAACAGAAGAATCCAGTGACAGGGTAAGCAGCAACTGCTACTAGGGAAAAGCCACAAACCCCAAGTTAAATAAATGCTCCAAAGCCTGGAAGAATAAGAACTTCAGCTGGTGCCAAAAAGATGACAATAGTAGCACCAGGTAAGCCTTCCTAAGGAGAGTGCTCTACCGGTTTGGTGAGGTAGCATTATTCCCATAAGGTCATTCTCAACAAGGAATACTACCAGGTGGCTGTTGCTTATTGCAGTTCTATAACACTCTCCCCCCCCAGGAAAATAAAGACTGCAGCCTTCTGCAACCTTGTATTTTTTCATGGTGAGGCATATTACCCCATATTTTGCCAGCTTTGTCCTCCTTAAAGTCTCAAAAATAAAATAAAATACTTTCTCCCAAACAACACACTTTCATGAAAATTTCTCAGGAAGGAACAGTGTTTTGGCTGGCACTACCAAACATATAGGGTGACCTATAATATTCATAGTTGTTATACGTATATGCTGGGTAGGGATTGAAGGAGCTGTCAGTTTTGTGTCCCTCAGTTCTTAAATTTCCCAAACTTAAATTCAGTTCTCTACATTTGGCAGCAATTTTAGGGTTTTTTTAAAAAAAATCTCATGAAAATTCATCAGTATTTTACATTTTACATTAATGAATACATTTTATATGCAGTTTTGACTAATGTACACATTATGGAAGCATTTCCCCCTAATATCTTCATTTTTAACTTTTTTAGCATTTCCCTAATATCTGCATTTTTGTAAACACCAGTTGGCGAGCTGAATCACAAAATTTGGATAAGTGCAAATTTTGAGAGGTGGTTGTGTTTCAATCCACCTATTGTTTCAGATACAGAAACCTTGATAGATTTGGCTTGAAATGAGTAGTGAATTTAATTTCTCCTCCTTCATTAATGCTGGGGTTGTAATGGGGACAGGAACATACTGGGAAAGAAATTTCATTCTCTTTTTCTTTTAATTGTATGAGTATTTTTAGCACCAAAGATCACGCAAAATGGGAGTGGGCTAGGCTCAACATGGCAGAGGGCATCACTGGATTGTTTTTTAATTACAACTCACTTAATCTCTGTTCATATGCATGCAAATATGGATCAATCCTTACAGTAGAATGCAAATTTAGAACTTCTTCTACGAGTTCTACTTTTAAAAAATAAACAAAAAAAAGCTCCTTACCACTGCAGGTGTTGGGGAGGAATATGTGGCAGCAGAACAGAATCCAGTTCACTACCAGGCTGGCTAGCTCAGCTGACTCCAGAATTTGCAATGATGCTTCAAGCGCACCTTTTCCAGGTGTGATCATGGCATTTGTAGTTTTCTCTGCCCAGAGAAAACAACAAGAAACATGATTTCAGCTTAGGGACCAGCTGGTCTATCAGCTGGCCTGTCTGGTTAGTGAGATGGTGCTCCCTTCTGCCTCTCTTCTTTAAAAAATGAAACATTGTGGAAGCTGGGGGTGGGGCAGAGCATGGGAGGTTTATAAGAGAAATACCAACAATTTAAAAAACAACCCACAGTGACTTTTGAGATGAACTGTGAGAGGGTCACCCACTGGAGTTTATAGTAGTGTGTACACTGTATTATATTGTTTATACGATCGGCTTTCATAACATTTAATGGCAATAGCTTTCACATTTGGGGTGGGCATTGCTTAAAGAAATATAACTCTTCTATATTTTAGTCTAGATCCTTATCATTCTTCATAGCAATAAAAGAGGTAATAAAATGGGCAACATTTCTGCCTCTTAAATAGATTTACTTTCTTGCATCAAGCCAGGAGCTCCTGGGCTGCATCATACTTATAGAGCATGAATGAAGTTTCACTGAGGTCTACAAACCTATTTGGGGATCGTGCTGGGATATTTCTTGTGGGGGGAGGTGGTGGTGGTAACCTCTAAACTTTCTTGTCTTTTCTTCCTCCTGATAAAATTCAGAACAGACAGGTTCTCTCTATACATGACAGGCACTGACCCATTCATCACCTCTTGTTTTCTCATTTGGTCCCCTAAATATTCACAGAGTTACATCTGCATTATCTTCCCTTCCCAAAGTTTAGATATCAGAAGTGTACACACACAACTTTGTCCATAACAAGATTGAACAAAGCCGGTATATATACACAGTTGGAACATCACTTATTGTTATTATATGGTGTAGGAATTCATTAATTACACTCATCTCTCTCTGTGTGTAATCTGCATAGTATTTCTCTGGTCCTTATGTGACCTTTCCATACCCTCTATATACTGTGAGTCACATGGTGATAGCAGTAAAACGCTTGTGCTTCTGTATCTACTGTTTCCACAGACTAAAACAATTAGCTTCTGTGATTTACTTAGCCAGGCTCTGTAGTGCTTCTAAATTGAAACAAATCGGCAGGAGCTGAGTGCAGTTCCCAGAAGCTAGTCTACTGAAAATATTTATTGAGCTGACACATTGCCTAAGACTACAACCAGTCTTCCTGCTCCAGGGTGTCTAAAGCTTAAAAAAAGAAAGAAATATAGGAGCTGGAAAGACACTGGGCAGAGGAAAACAAACATCTTCTATTTTCCTCCTTGTAATGTGATAAACATAAGACAGCCACTTCACCACAATTATTTACAACCATTACTTACACTGATATCAGTGACACAATAACCATATTTCTATGCAAGGCTGATGCTATCTGAAATTGAATTTTAAGGAACTGAGGCAGTATCTAATATCTGTGGAGTAAGTAAGTGCGGGTTTTGGTTTGTTTTGTCTATTACTATTATTACAAATCAAACTGATATTTCACCAGCACTTTCAAAGTTTACAGCAATCACTCCTTGATAATGTATGCATGCTTCTTAAAGGAAAATTCCAAACACTTTCTTAAATTAACCTGAAGTAAATTACTGTTTTGAGCTTGAATTAACCCGTATATGTTAAACTGTCAGCAAAAGAAGTCATAAAGGATAGGACCAAGGTCATGAAGGCCCCTGGAAACACTTCCAGTTGGTGAACAGGTCCACCATGAGGACAGTGGGTATCACCTGCAATTCTTATTTACTAAACAAAGTTTATCAGGAAGCTATCTATTGTTGGCTATTCTGATTCCTTCAGATTTGCCTGGAACTGTTGCGTCAAACAGTTGTCACCACACACTTTCCAGTGCTGTTTTCCTTTTACTTCCTTTCGTGTCAGTTTTCTTTACCTCAAAACTTCCAAGGTTTGTGGGGTTTGTTTCTTTTTATGAAGTGGGAATGTTGATCAAGAGCCACAAATCGACTTCATTATGCAACCTCAATTTGCCCTATGCAATTGAATCCCACTTGGTAAAACAGTGACAGTCTGGAAGCACCCTATATCCTCAAAAGTGAGAGTATATCAAGAAAATAGTGGGTATTCTATACCGTTTGTGGCCTAGAAGAAAATATTTTACAATTTAACCCTGAAGTATTGGTAGCAGTGGAAAGGATTTGTGATACTAGGTCCGGGCTCTGTTACTGACAGTGGATTGATGTTTAAACTAAAATATAATTACTAAATTATATATAAGGCCTTGGGTTTTTTTTAAAAAAAAATGGTGTACAGATTTCCAAATTCAAGGAGGAACTGTTCCATCTAAAATCATACAGGAAAACAGGCATTTCTTTTCAATGTGACATCAACATTCTTGACAAAAGATTAGGTTAACACTGAGCATCCCAGCAAAACAGTTATCCATTTTAGACTGCATAATAATTCATTGTTGTCCTTCACTGTACATTAAATGTCACCCATCATACTGACAGGAATATAAAAATTATTGCACTACAGCCAGAAAGCAGACAAGAGCTGTTAATGTAGGCACTTTGGACATGATCTTTATAACCCAGTTAAATCATCAAAAGAGAAAAAAAAGGAAGAGGAAAAAAGCCACATTTTGAAAACAAGAGTGTGTTTATGGTAGAGTTTCTATGAGAATGAAAGTCAGATGCCCTTCAAGCAAATGAAAGAACTAAGAAGCCCTGTACTAAACTGATGATGTGACCAAACCAACAGCTTAGGCTAATTTTCGATAAATACAGGTGTGCGTATAAGACCCTTACATGAACTTGTGTGATTTCTAGGCTATTTCATTGAATTTTTCACTTCTAGTTATGTGACAACATATTGCACACTAAACCTTGCTAATCCAGTTTGTGAACCATATCCAAATCCCATAACCTTATAGGAGCTGTAGAATGACTCTGAAAGGCATGGCAACTACAGTATATGGAAGTGGCATATTACTTTTACATGTGTTTGGTGAGTCGCTTAACATTGGCTTTAAATTCTCAAAGCCAATCTATGTGTGAAAGTAAATGGGACAGTATGGTTTTTCCCAGTCTCTGAACTGCTAGCAAGGGAGTCTCAAAAATGCTGGAAAAACAACAACATCCTTTCTATAGAAAAGGGGTCCAATAATTTAGAAATAAGCCTTACCAATTTCTACAGAGCCCCCTACTCCAGTTGAACTCTATTACTACAGTACTCTGAGACTATAGTTCTAAACAAATTGTGCTTTCAGAATTGCCAAGCCTGATTCTGCACAGTTTACAACTCACCATTTATACTCCTCACTTAACACTCTAAGTATAAGTGAAAGGACTGGTTTAAAAGTATGAGGCTCAGAGTATGATTACACCAGTATTTCCTGTTGTTAGCTGAAATACCATACTTAGGATGGACTTTGCGTCTTTTTTCCTCTTTTTTCTTTTTGCTTTCTGAACCAGAAAAATAGATGACTGCCTGTGTTTAAGGGGGAAAACCCAGCATAGTTCACATACACTGGATCTTCCTAACTGATTTATATTCAGCAGAGAAGTAATAAGTATGTTTTGCATGTGGGTATTGCAATTCATGAGAAAATGCAACACAAGAAGCAGGGCTGGGAGTTCTGTCAGTCTTTGCTATAGTGAAAAAGTCACAATGGATCCCCTTCTCTACATGGAGGACTTTGATATCTACATTTACAGCCTACATCTAATTAAAGCTGTATTTGAAGCAAGGTGAAAATTCCTCTCATTAACAGCAAATGAAGGGCACCCTTGCAAGGATTTTGACATGATTAACTACTGTCACCTCTACACTAACTGCCTCTTCAGAAGAGAAAGACAGAAGGAAAGATAGAAATAAAAGTAATATGTGAAGGACAAATATGGCTAATTAGAGAAGGGTCTTCAATATACCCCCGCTTTTATGGCTTGATATTATCTTTGCCATGCTCCATAAGCACTATATATATATATATATATATATATATATATATATATATATATTCTTTTAACTGCTCCCATTTTTCTTCCAGACAGGTCTCATTGCTTTCTTCTGTCAGCCCTGAAACCAGAGAATTTTCAGAGTTTTTGGTAGAATTTCATTACAAAGAACTTTCCAAAAACCAGATCATTTAATACAGAAGATTTCACCATCTTCACACTAAAATTCCACTAGAAAGTAATAAGACCCTCATCAAATAAATTGCTGCAGTCTCTGCTGATTTAAAAATGTCTAGCGACATGCTGATGATGGCACTATCTTAGAAGAATGCATTTATGATAGCTGCAAAGCTGCGGGGTAGGAGACACATCCTGCCTACGTGTAGATATGGATCTTATAGCAATACAGAGCTAAAACTGTTTACTGTATTAAGGACAATAAAGTCCTGCTAAAGATTGGAGCTCATTTTATTCTGCTGAGAGCTGAATAGTTCAGAACCTGGAGTGGGGAGTGGGGAACATAGGACTGTCACTTATTTTATTTTTTTAAAAAAACACCAACCCCAGAACACATCCTGAATCCTCCATCAGGCATTTATGCCTCCCACAAAAAAATAAACCTATTTTCTAAAAGCCCTTCCACCTAGCTAGCTTATCGTGTGTGGATTGGGCAAGTACAAAAGATGTGTTTTAAGACACACTGTGAAACAAACATGTTGGCTTACTACAAAGTGCTCTGGAGCTTAGGAGTTCTTGTTCTGCCAAACTTCAGGGAACCCCTGTCCTTTACAGTACCATGATTCTCCACTTTCCCCTTACTTAAATAAAATAAAGTAAACGTTCTGCCCCGTTGCAGTAGCTGCAGGCACTGGTTGGCTTCTCTGCCACCTTCTTGGCACCTTAAGTGTGTCACTTTTCTCTGCACAATGAAGGTTTCACCCTCCCTGTGGGGAAACAAATTTGCAACCTCTCATCTTCTATCTGAAGTGCTAACATGCAATTCTGCTGCCTACATAGAATGGTTCATTTTATCTCAGGATAAGGCAGGCAGACTCAGTCCAGTGCAGATATCAGGACATGATTTAGAAGATAGTCATGTCCTTTTGCAACTTTGGGTCTTTTATATTGCATGATGTATGCATGATCCATGGCTGGAGTAGACTACAAAAATGCCAGTTACTGCTGTTTGTAAATTTCCACTACTTTAATGGCACTTGCACAAAAATGCTTGGGTGCTACTGCATCATGATCATCACCCAGTTCTGGGCTCCAGAATTTAGGGAGGATATTGACAAGTAGGAACATGAGCAGAGGAAGGCAACCAAGGTGGATCAAGGTTCTGGAAACCAAGCCTTAAGAGGAACGGATGAGGGCGTTGGGTATGTTTAGCATGGATAAGAAGAGACTGAGGGGAGATATGATAGCCATCTTCAAATATCAAAACGGCTGTCACTTGGAAAATGGAGCAAGCTTCTTGTCTCCTGCTCCAAACACCAGGACCCAAACCAACGGATTCAAGTTACAAGAAAGGAGATTCCGACTCAACTTCAGGGAGAACTTTCTGACAGCAAGAGCTTTTTGACAGTGGGATGGACTCCCTTGGAAGGTGGTGGACTCTCCTTCATTTCAAGGAGAGGCTGGATGGCCATCTGCCATGGACGCTTTAGTTGCAATTCCTACATTGGAGTGGGTTAGACTAGATGACCCTTGGGACCCTTCAAACTCTACAATTCTATTATTCTATGATCATCATCATACAGGATTTCCCTTTGTGCCAATACACCTGCTGCTGATTTCAAATGACTTTTCAATCCTACACACAGTGTGCCCCTTAGAGGATGAATACTATATATATAGTATCAATCCTCTAAGGGGCACACTTATATATATCCTAATCCTGCCTTATCTACAAAGTCAAGATGGCTAATGAAAGGGAGGAGGAACACAAATACGATAAAAATATTTTGAAAATTCAAATATGACCAAAACAAATCCTAAAAACATTATTGGAATTTTCTTCTCTATTATTATCATAGAACTCTTGGTATGTGTGTGGGAAGAGAGACTCTTTTCTTTCTTTCTTTCTTTCTTTCTTTCTTTCTTTCTTTCTTTCTTTCTTTCTAAAACTAAACCTTGTCTGGAAACAGCAGTGCCTATTCTCATGTTTTGTCCATTGTTGGAGGCAATATGTAAAGAGGAGAGAGAATGAAAATTGTCAGATGCTTTCCATCTGACAGGGTGCAATTTATTCAAATATGCTTTTGGCAACATATTGCTTTGTACAATCACATATGCTCAGCATGGCATACTGATGAATTAGGTTGCTACTGTTGCTGTTACTAAGGATGAGGCAGAGTGCCGCAATGGACATGTAATGAGTGGTTTGACCACAAGAAAGTTGAATGAGCTATCCATGACACTATAAAGACTATGACCTTTAAAATCAGGACATTATCAACAATAGAAAAGGTGGAGGAGAACCACCTTGCTTTTTTAAAATTTTCACATGCAAGGTTTGCACTTATTTCATTCTCAGTGTGGGATGCCTGTGAACCTACTATGAAAATGTACATGGATTCCAACCCACATGCCTAAAAGATATCATAAATAATAATCTGCTTTACCAGATGGTGATACAATTTGATCCAAGAAAACTACTGATCTTGCAAAGGATGCTGCCATAATTTCATACAAGATTGCATCTATGCTAAGGATAACCAATTGAATGTATTTGTCAAAGTGTCAGGTAACTTCAGTATTCCTCACAATGGCAATTCAGGAACTTTGGATTACTATGAATGCCAAGTGTGGGTATTCAAGTAGTGCCTTAATAGAATAAGCAAGCATTCTCATAATTAAAATGGTCTGAAGTTGGGAGGCAGCAGACAGGACTTTATCAGAACTACTGCCCCTCCCCTCTCACAAACTCTAATATTTGGTAAGTGGTGATAGATGGTGACAGAATGTGGAGGAGTAGAAAATTCAATCAATGGTTTTAGAAAAGTACATGAAATATTGGTATGAGTGGGAGGATGAGGACTTTGACATGGCAGGTCCTATTAACTGCCCTGGCCAAAGACCAGATACAAAAGCTATTCATCAACTGAATAAAAAGTATAGATCCTGCACTGTGTTGGATCCTTTGTCTGCATATATGAAAGTATACTGTTACTCTGTTTAAGAAATGTTTACTTGCAAACAGAACTGATGTTAAAAACAAATATTCCAGAAAAACATAAGGAGTGTTTATTTTTAATATTGTTATATAATTTTAAAATTGTTTATGAATTCGGTGGAAGAAAACAGGTTTTTGTTTGAAATAGGAGTATGAAAGATAATGAATTCCTGTATTTGCTGCTACCTTTCATTTCCAAGCTGACACAATCAAGCTATATTGCACTTCTGGATAAAGCTGAACTCTGGATAAACCTGAACTGTTCTCTAAAGAGCAGTAATCACTTCTGCACTAGGAAAGATCAATGTAAGATGGATTAAAAATGAACTAAGAAGTTCTAAAAACAAAAACACACACAAAAACCATCTAGCCCTATTTGCCTAATTGGCTGGATCTGCTTTCCTAATGTAAACCATTGCTATAATTTCCTTAATGGGTGGAATTACTTAAGAACCACCTGCTGGATCAGGCCAAAGGCCCACCTAGTCCAGAGTTCTGTTCCCATAGTGGCCAACCAGACACTTATCGGAAGTGTCTGAAAGCAGGACCTGGGCACAACAGCACTATCCCCTACTTGTGATTCCCAGCAACAAACATTCAGAGGCATACTGTATCTGATAGCACAGATATTGTGGCAAGTAGCTATTGAGAGCCATATTCTCCATGAATCCAGCTTCACTGGTTGTCCATGTTATGAGAGGGCAAAAAGGTTCTCCTTAATTAATTTTCCCCACACCATACAGTGGTACCTCGGGTTACAGACGCTACAGACTCTGCTAACCCAGAAATAGTACCTCGGGTTAAGAACTTTGCTTCAGGATGAGAACAGAAATCGTGCTCCGGGGGGCACGGCAGCAGCGGGAGTTCCCATTAGCTAAAGTGGTACCTCAGGTTAAGAAGTTTCTGGTTAAGAACAGACCTTTGGAACAAATTACGTAAGTTCTTAACCCGAGGTACCACTGTACCCACTTTTATGTACCTGCATCATGTCTGCTCTTATTAGACTTTTCTAAACTGCAAAAGCCCAGATATTTGAACCATTTCTTCATAGTGGAGTTGCTCTTGATCATTTTGGCTGCCCCTTTCTTACCTCTTCTACTTTTACGATATTCTTTTTCAGCGAAGCATACAGGACTGCACACAGTATTCCAAGTGTGGGTGCACTGTAGGTTTGTATAATGGCATGTTTAGAGCAGCTTTTCAATTCCTTTCCAAATGATCTCTACAACTGAATTCACCTTTTTCACAATTGCCACAAACTGGTTTGACATTTATATTGAGGTATCCACAGCATCTCAAAGGTCTTGTTTTAGGTCAGACTAGGCCATTACAGACCTCTTGAGGGTATATGTGAAATTAAATTTTTTTGCCCTAGTGTGCATTACTTTACACTTGTTTACAGTTAATTGCAGCAGCCAATTTACTCCCCATTCACAGAGTTTGGAAAAGGTCCTTTTGGAGTTCTTCCCAGTCTCTTTTTGTTTTAATGATCCTGAGCAATTTGGTATCATCAGCTTACTCTAAGGCATTTATGAATAAGTTAAAATTACCAATTCCCAACACCAATCCTTGGGAGACGTCACTTTCTACTTCTACTGGGATAACTGTCCATTTATTCTGCTCTCTGCTTCCTGCTTCTTAACCAGTTACCTCTCCTCTTATTCTGTGGCAGCTAAACTTATTCAGAAGTCTTTGGTGAGGTACTTTGTTAAAAGCTTTTTGAAAGTCTAAATACAAATTGTCAACTGATTTATTTTTTTTAAAGTGGTGTTACATTGGCCATTGTCCAGTCCTCAGGCATCGAGGATAATCTTTGGGACAAGTTTACATATTTTTGTTAGCCGATCAGCAATTTCACATTTGAATTACTTAAGAATTCTCAGGTGGATGCCAACAGCATCCAGTGATTTGCTCGTTTTTATTTTGTCTATAAGCCCTAGAACTTTGGCTGTCACCACTATTTGCCTCAGTTCCTTATACTGTATTCCTTTCCTGGGAAAGACACAAATAATTTATTCCAACCGTCTTTCAAGCTGGTCTCCGGCTGCTAATGTATGTAAGTTTTTGTTGTTGTTGGTCTTTATGTTTTCCACAACGTGCTTGTCAAATGCTCTTTGAGCATCCCTAATTGTCTGCTTCCATTTCACTTGCCAAAGTTTGCATTCCTTTTTGTTCTCCTAATTTGGACGAGACTTCCATTTTCTAAAGAAAGTCTCATTGCCTGTAATAAGTTACTAACTTATTTGTCCGTTAACCATGCAGGCATCCTCTTGGCTTTGGTAATATTGTGATATACATTCTAGCTCAGCTTCAAATATTGTGGCTGTCTCTTTTAATCATTTTTGGGGGTGTTTCTTCTTTTGAAGTCAAATGTGATCATGTTGTATTTCCTTGGCAATTGTCCATTTACATATACATTGTGTTTGATAGCACTGTCACCACTGTTGCCAATTGGGTCATTTCCTGCAATCCACTGTGCATCTGGTGAAGTTGAGGATCTTCCTCATAATATATTCAACTATCCACTGATACAGAGGACAAGAGAACAACATATGGCTGAGCTGCTAAATATATCTGCTAAATGTCTATTCTACAAAAGACAGACCACTTGATTTTCAATAATGCGTCTAGGATAATGAAAAGTTGCTACTTTTTATTGGCATTAGTCAAGGCACAAACATGATTTATTAAGATAAATGTAATTGATTGCACTACAAATCTATGAGTATTTTTATATCTTCGACTGTGTTTTTAAAATTACCCTCTGAGGTTCCATAATGGCTGCAGGGTAAACAATAAAAATGAAATTGGAATTAAACCTATGAAACTCCTTCCCCACTAGAGACTGCTGAAGTGGGAATCTGATAAATTTCCTTAAGAATGGCTTTTAATAGCCAGGTTTATGAAGTTGTGAGGTGATTTAAAGCCAATATTTTATTCTAGTGTTATGATAGCATTTTACTTACTAGCTTTACTGATCATTGAGTTTTCTGCTGTTACTAGCCCTTGGCTCTTGGGATACACATTCTAGAATTTCCTTCACTGCAATATATTTTCTTCTTATATAGCAGCAACTAGTTTTATGAGCCTCTGCTATCATGCGCAGGAGAAACTTTTACACATATCTTGACATGTTGCAACCAGTTCCTTCCCGCTTTCTGTTTTATAATCACACTACAATATTTTATTTTAAGGGATCATCTGTTAGGAACAGTAGGGTATGGACACCCTTGAGTTGCTGTAGAGAACCCAAAAGATCTGTTTTAATATGAGAGCATAAGAAAAGCCCTGTTGCATCAGGCCAAATGGCCACATATTATCATTACTACTACTACTGCTATTACTACTACTAATTTGATTTATACTCTGATCTTCCTACTGAAGTAGCTGAAGGAAACAGATTCCTCAATGACAAATTATTTTTTTCCAAAAACTAAAAACAGTCTTAAAATGTTTTTAAGAATAGTTAAAACATACTCAACCAGTGATCTCACGGTTGCAAGGAACACTGTCTTTTAGCCCTCAAACGGCTAGGTAAATTATTCATGTTAAGTAAATAACGAGGGAGACAGGTGCACCTCACTAGACAGAGTGTTGCACAAATGGGGAACCACCACTGGAAATAATCTGTCACGTGTCACCACCAACTGGGAAGTCCACAGTTGTGGCACCACCAGCAAGCCTCAGCTGCTGATCATGGGGTCCAAGATGGTTGATATTAGGGAGGCAGCTGGTTTAAATTGTTATAGCTTGCCTGGGATAGAAGGAGGGGCAGGTAATAAGTTAAAATTAATGGTGGCAATAAATAATAATAATAATAATAATAATAATAATAATAATAATATTGTTTGCTAGTGACCTTGCAGGTAGAGGTGGAACGACTCTAAAACATTACCTCCAGCTCCCTAAGTTTCTCCAAAACGCCATAGACAAAGGTGTCAAAAGCTGCTGATAGGTCAAGAAGAACCAACAGGGTCACAGTCCCCTGTTTCTTTTCTGATATCAATCGGGATGACCATAACTGTTTCATTGCCAATATCAAGTCTGAATCCAAACAGGAATGAATATAGATGATCTACTTTCTCCATGCACAACTGCTGGCTAGCCAACACCCTTTCTATCACCTTACCCAAGAAGGAAATATTAGAGACTGGACGATAGTTTTCTAAAAGCTCTGAATGCATGGAAAACCTCTTCACAAGGGCCCATCCAACAGCCTCTTTCAAGGCACTGGGCATGACTCTCTCCTGTAGTGAGGCATTACTGGATCATCCAGTAAATCCCCTTCTACCCAATTTTACCAGCCATGATGTGCAGAGATCAAGAGGGCATGCAGTCTGCCTCACTGCTGCAAACCTCCTGTCCACAGCCTTGGACTGCAACAACTGCAACAGATCCTACATGGTGTAATTCGACGGGCTCAAGGGACTTCCAACATGCATGAACCAACTGTGGCATCAAGTTCAGCACAGATCCAATGAATTTTCCTCTCAAAGTGATTCACAAAATCTTCTGCAGCATACCATTGTGAGGTCCTCTGTTAATGATGCTACACTGGTGGACCAACTGGTTTACCACTCTGAACGATTAGAGTCCTTCAGCCTGCTCTCACAGTGGTCAAACAGTTGCCTATGGGAATTTTGCAAGCAGCATCTAAGTGCAACAAGCTCTCCCCATCTGCAAGGCATACTGCATCCAACAGCGAAGGCTGAAGATAGCCTTATCCTCCACGAAAAGAATTAAACAAAAATAACAATGAAAACATCCAAAGGCCCAGTTGGCAGTGCCCATGTGAATAGCAGCAAGGGGAAATACATTGGAATTAAATATTCTACAAAACATAGCTAGCCAGTACTCACAAGGAAAGTGATACTTTTCCTCAGGCCTGGCACTGTTTCATACTACTTCATACCTAAACAGTAGCTCCCTTGATTTTAGTGAAGCAAAAACTCCCTACTTTGATCTTTCTCTGACCGAGGGTTTAGAAACCAAGATCCTCCACCAGCAAAATTATGCAAGTTGCACCTTGATAATGAATTGTAACCCATAATCCAAAATAACAATTCATTATTCAGACAGAGATAATTTGCAGACATCTTTCAGTACTTTTGAACTGGATGAAGGAACTATTCCTAAAATGGATTCTTTTTAGTGAGAAATTTTAACTTCCCTGAAACAGTCAGAATCAAAATTGGTTTCCAGAACATTGTACTTTATACTGAGGTTGGACATTTTATTACTGAAAATGAAAGCGGCTCCCTTAATAAGTAACCTTCTGTATGTGGGGAAACTGCCAATGAGTGCTGCCTTCCCTGGAAACTCCTTAGTGTTGCAGTATGCCTAGTAGGGGTCAAGGAATAATGTTAAGAAAGACCCTGTTGACTTGTATATATAGAAGAGCAAAAATGTCAAGCACACCGAGACCCTATTTCTCCTAGTAGAAAAATGATCAAATAGAAAGAGCAGGCCTCTCTCACTTTGTTGTGACCTTCCCTTGGCTAAAAGTAGCTTAAATGATTTAGGGCCCATCACAAGGAGCATAGAGGAGCTTAAGGAAGTAATCAGTGGGTGAAGGAGAACACAGAGGTGGCAGGTAATCCAGGCTGAATGACTCTTTATGTGAAAATAAGATTTAGCAGAATAGAATTCCTGAGTGAATCACTTTGATCAGCTAGTTCTACCTGAATTAATAGCATTCTATTGTTTTCCTAACTTTTTATCTCAGTGAAGATCAGGTTTTTTGGGGGGGGCGGACGGAATCTATCGTCGCCCACCATATAATGAAGTAGTACAGGCTTCTAAGCAGTTTACAACTCTAAAAACCAATTGGACAAACATTAAGTATGGTGGATTTCCCCTCCCTCCTTTAATATATACTGGCAAGCAAATATGGAAAAGGAGTAAAATGGCTTTTACCTCCACATGCTGATTCCCCCATCCTCACCCCAGTAGTCTTAGGCAAGCTGGAAACTTTGTGCATGAGTGGTCCCTGAGTTTGGGAGATTTGGGTCAGTTGCCTGTTCTGGGATTGGGTTGCCCTCCATCTAAATGAATAGGCTTGCAATTTGGGAGCGCTCCCCTATTCAGCATTCTCACTGAAGCCTCAAGTGATTCCTATGTCCAAAACTTTTACCAGCCTTAGTTCACCAACTGCAGCTGTTCCTGGACAGGGACAGCTTGGCCACAGTAGTCCACACACTGGTGACTTCTAGGCTTTATTACTGTAATGTGTTGCCTGCGGCCCTGTCCTTGTATTTGGTCTGGAAGCTTGCAGCTGCTGCAAAACACTGTTACCCATTTGCTCTCTGGGAAAACCTGTGAGGAGAACCTGAGCTTACAGGGTTAAACAGCTCAGAGTGTACGCTCTGCCTACTGTTGGGAGGGGGGAACTTCTGCGTCATTTCCGAGAGCCCCAAGTCTTTGTTCTTTCTCTCTACTTTCGCTTTTGAGGAGAGAGGACGTGTTTTCGCGATGCTGTTCGCTGTGATAGATAATGGATCGTCTGCTGTAAATAAAACTGCTTTTAGCTGCTAAGATCCTGAGTGGACTTTATTTAAGCACACTGAAGAATGCACTGGAGTTTTTTGCAGTCTTTCTCTTGCCGCTGCTGATGATCTCTGCTATGCTCAGATATGTGGACTTTGGAATGCAGAGGCCTGCGATGGGAAGCGTGCCGGACGCTTATCTGAGCAATAAATCAATTTCCCCGACAAAACCTACTGCTGAAATTATTGCACTGGCTGCCAATTTGCTACCCAGCTAGATTCAAGGTTTCAATATTGCTGTATAAGGCCCAGTATGGTTCTGGACCAGGGTATCTGGAAAGCTGGCTCTCCATACATTCCACTCTGGTCACCTAAATCTGTGGATGATTCCACAAACCTCTGTGACTTGAGCATGTGCTTTTGGCACTGTGGTACCAGTTCTCTGAAACTCTCTTAGAAGTAAAGCAAGCCCCAACATTGCTATGTCCTCCAAGTATTTCTAAAGTCAATCTATTTTAATTATGCTGTCTTCCATTCTTGATGGTCTTTATGTTGTTTTAAAACTATGTTTTATCTGTACTAGGGTTTATCTGTACTAGGGTTTATAGTACAATCGCAGATAACAATGGCTCTCAAAGTGAGCCATTCACAATGGGATCAGGTATTAAACAGGGTTGTGTTATTGCCCCAACTCTATTCATTATTTTCATTGCCATGATCCTACACTTTGTTGAAGGGAAACTCCCCACCGGAGTAGAAATCATATAATGAACAGATGGAAAGCTCTTCAATCTGAGCAGGCTGAAAACAAAGAGTAAGGTTACCGTAACGTCCGTCATAGAGCTTCAGTATGCTGATGACAACGTGGTGTGCACACGCTCAGAGGATGACCTCCAAACCATGTTAAATATCTTTGCAGAAGCTTACGAAAAGCTTGGCCTATCACTCAACATCCAAAAAACCAAAGTGCTGCACCAACAAGTACAAAATAACCCCTCTGCAGCACCACAAATCCAACTCAGTGGTGTAACATTTGAAAATATTGATCACTTCTCCTACCTAGGCAGTTATCTTTCCACAAGAGCCAACATTGATGCCGAAATCCAGCATGGATTTGGATTGAACTTGGATTGTTTACACATAAAGCTAAGAACCATTTTGTACATCTAACCTGTACATGTATCTGCACATCTAAAGCAGGGCTAGGATAACCTGTGGCCTTCAAGATGTCATTGGACTCCATCTCCCACCAGTCACAGCCAGCATGGTCAACAGTCAGGGGTGATGGGAGTTGGAGTCTACAGGTTTCTCATCCCTATTCTAAAGTTACAGACAAATCAGATGATATAACTTCAATCCAGCTCCCTGTTTTAACAAAATCTATATTCTCATTGGTATGTTTTTAGAATGGTTTACAATCAGGAGGATGCTTTCAACATCTGATAGAATATATCAAGAAATAAATTTTAAAAAAGAAAACACTCAACAATGGCCGTTAAAAACATGGCATTGGTTACTGACAACAAACATCCCACCATGCTCAGTGAGTGAGAACAAGTGAATATTTCTAAACAAAAAAGAAAACTGAAAGAGTGCTTGAATGCTCAGAAAAAAATGTGTTTCCAGCGTAAGAAAACACATTTTCAAGAAGGTGTACACAAAATCCATCAACATATCACTTTATAACATTGGTGAAATCAACCTGTTTTTTGGAATCAACCAGTGCTAAACATTTTTCAACATGCAGGGAAATGTTCTGTAAAGTGGAAAGGTAGAAAGCTGATTTTGCTCTTTCTAGATAGACAGGCAGGTTGTGTATGGTACGACGTGTATTTTTGTTATCGTTTTGGCTAAAACGCTACACACACACACACACACACACACAATCACCTCGGAAATAAGTTTCTACAAAGTTACAATTTATCTGAAATCTACAATAACCTTTATCTGTAAGCTTGTGCTATCTCATTATTCACCATGCTTTAGATAATTTGTGAGGAAACTGAATGCCACTAGCCCTAAAAGACAACATGTCCACACCACATCACTTTATTTTCATTGTATGCATACTATCTACACTTTGCCTACTATCTTGCACCTGGTTACCCATCCACAGGAATGCCTTTTAATCTTAACCAAGTGCAGTGCTTTTTTCTAGAAAAATAGGTGCCAGTACTCACCATGAAGTTGTTATAGTGCCACACTTTTTAAACAAAACACAAAGAGGTGCTGATACTGCGTACCCTTGAGTACCCCCTGGGGGGAGCACTGGCCACATGACTGCAACATTTATTTGGGGGCTAGTGAATAGCTTTCTGAAAATCCAACTATACAGTGTCTTTGAGATACCCATCCACACACTTGTCGGCACCCCTAAAGAACAGTAAAAAGCTGATACTGGAATCAACCAGCAAACTCAATCGTTGGCCAATACAGCATCACATATTTTATGCAGGGGTGAGCCACGACTGTCACTACTTTCAAAAGACTACTATTTCATCAGTGTCCACGGGAATAATACCATCTCTTATAAAATGGAGACAGTAGTATCAAGGAAATAATATATAACAGGCATGTCCATCAGGTAGATCGTGATCTACCGGAAGATCATGGGGTGTTCCTGGTAGATCTTTGGCCCCTCAGAGATCTCTTTCCTCCCCCCAAAAAGGGGGGAGGAAGCTGAACAACTGTGGTTTAAAGCTCAACAACTTTGGCCCATCCAACGACAATGGGTAGATCACTGACAGCTTTTTATACTGTGAGTAGATCGCAGTCTATTGGGAGTTGGACGTCCCTGATATATAATACTGATGACAGTTCTGGCATAAGAGAAGTGGATTAAGTGGATCTCCACAGTGAACAGAGATAAACAGATCATGTAAGGCTGCAGGAATAACTCTGTGCCAAGAAAAAAGGAGAACTAGGTAGATGGACAGACAGACAGACAGACAGACAGACAGAGAGACAGAGGAACACAGTTGTGAGGGAAGCAGCCAACTCTGGTAATCTTAGAAGAGCAGAGCAGTATCACTGCAAATGTGCATTACTCTGACCAATTTGTTACATAAAAAAACCTTTTGCTGCATATTTAAGTTTACAATAAAGGTTTTCAAACTAATGTCTAAATGAACCTTCCTAAGTCGTCAAGTATCCTTAGGTGTAGCTAAATCAAACCAGTGAGTAGGTAGTGTTTTGTTTTGTTTGTTTTATCCTTGTGGCTGGGCCACAAGTTAAAGGCTCCCCATCCCTATTCTAAATCCCACCACCCTCACCACTGTAAGTTAGAACATTGTGTGACCAGGGTTCTAAAACATGGGCAAGACAATGCACATAGAATAGGCTCCTCTCCTCAGATCTTCCCTCAACACATGGAAAGGGTAGAGCTGGCCCAGCAGAAGCTGGGCTAGGAGGATTTAGAGCACCCAAACACTGCACACAAGGGTCAAGAGTTTTGTTTTTAGTTTTCTGATATCCTTATCAATATTCATCTGAATATCTATTTCATTTGAATGTTATGCCAAGTATGATTCAGTTATCTGTTAGTAGGCATACCAGTCTACAGAGGGTTTTGTGACATAACCAGCAGGCGAAAGGCATCATGGGAGTGTAGGACCCTGCAGATCATCATGTGAGCTCTTTGTAGGACTAAGTGGCCCTCTACAGAATGGGTCTCCAAGGTGGTGTCCACAGAGGTCAGAATGCACACCCGTTTATCCCACGGTGCCTGCAAAAGGCCTCAGCAAATACCTACAGTGCCCGAGAGATTCTTTGCAGTTCCTCTTTCCACTAATTCAGCCACAGCTATACTGAACACTCACCCCTAAGCATTGCCACAATTCACTGGATGCTGCACTAGGCTCCCACCCTCCCTTCTGTTATGAAGCAAGGAGTGCTCCAAAAAGCTTTTCTCTGTGAACAAGTGCACCGAATGAGGGACATGCCTACATCATTTTGTCTTCCTCTTTTTCTGCTCTTTTAGATATGGCAGTCTCCATAGTCACCTTTTTAAAAATGCCAGATCTCTCCACACTAGCCATTTTGTGACTGGTGCCCATGACAGTTTTCAAAACTCCAAATGTGCCCACTGGCCCCCAAAAGTTGGAGATTCCTGCCCTACATATCAAAAAAATGAGAACAAGAAAGTAAGGAAGGATTTGTGACTTTTGACAATTATTCTTGAGGGGAAGAAAAGGTAACAATTGCCAAAATACCACAAAGAGGTTTCACATGTTACCTGGCTATGACAAAGAGCACACAACTGACACCCAAGTAAGCCAGCAGAATATACATCCAGATATCAGGGGAGAGAGGATTCAGGAAGGAGAAGACGCCCGGGTTTGTACCATTGGGCTTGCGGTACAATATACTTATTCCGAGAGTCATAAAGGGCTTGGAAAAGTCGATGACCGTCTCTCGAACATACGTAATAGCCAGTGGTGCAACGGCAAGGTCAGCTTTCTGTTTGCAAAGGAAGAAAAGAGAGAAGGAGAGAGGGAGAGGGAGAGAGAAATAGGCCATAAGTCAAAAGCAGCAGACAGAAGCAGGCAATCAAATTAAATAAAACACAGGCTTATACACTTTGAGAGCCCTGTCTCGGTACCAATTAAGCTGAAATTTAAAGCTCTGCTTCTGCTCCTCCTCCTCCAGTAAAGAAGCTGATTTATACTGCTACTCTTCCTCCAAGTGTTTTGAACACTGAGTGTTTACAGATACCATTAAAGATATGGAGAGAAAAAATCTGAAAAGAAGTGACTACTTTTATAAGAATTTTACTTATAACATGCTCTATTTGAAGGTGGTGGGGGTGGGGTTTTCCCTTCAAAATATATACTGGAGGGCTGAATGGATTTTAAGCATTAAAACATTCTCCATTTCATTTAACCTGTTCTGATCAACACGCAACAAGAGAATTAGGCTCACGTTTTAAACCCTTGAACCACAATGAATACAGAGAACCATGCAATTTGATCTGTGCTAAATAGTGGCATCTTTGACTCCCCCTGATTTTTTTATTTTAAAAAATGCAGTTGCGAATACTAACAAGTTTCAAAAGCAATTTGAAAAGCAAAGTCAGAAACTGCTGTTACTCTCTGTTGCCACTCCTAAATTTACCACTGGGAATGCACAGGCACTTTCATATTCTTAGGGGAGCTCTCTGGATCATAGTCATGAAGTCTGATTTTCAAGTTCAGTTTAACATGTTCATTTCCCCCCTTAGCAATGTAAAAACTTTGTATTCAAATCAACTCCCCCCCCCTTTCTGATTCTTGAAAGAAAAGGGTTTGTCACTGACTTCAGAAGCATCAACGATACTGCCATACAGTTGCTCAAACACAGGCGCTCCATTTTCAAATGGGTTAATTATTTTCATTCAATTTATTTATTATATTTTTAATCCTGCCCTCCCTTCCAAAGGACCCTAGGGTGGCAAACACACCTGTTACAGAATGTAGTGGTTATTCAGTTTGACTCCACAGCCCTATTTGTATGCAGTGCTTGCATGTAAATGCTACACACAACCAGGGAGAGTAGAGACACTAAAGCTCTGGGCTGCTCCTACTATTCCCATCCCCCTAAAAAAAAACAGCATTCTAACTCATGTAGGAAGCCTCCGTAAGCAGAGGAGCTTCCCTGCTTCAGGCTCAACTTTCCATTGCCTTGAGGTTTACAGGCACAGCAACACTAAGGGGAAGAGTTGAGCACATTTGTCCATGCTCCCTAAGCTCATCTGTAGCACATTTACATGTGAGCAGCATGCTCTAAAAGAACTTATAAATAACTCTCATACATGGTATGAAGTAGCCTGTTCCCCCAAAAGAACAAAGATTCTTGTGGCACCTTTGAGAACATCATAGGAGGTGCCACTGAAGGAGAAATCAGCAAAAAAAGGCATCTTGCTGGTTGGAGCGGCCTAAGAAGAACTCCACTCAGGGAACGCTACCATCAATTGTAGCACACTCTGGCTACTACTGCTTCTGTTTATCAGCTGGTTAGCCAAACACAAACAAATAGGCCCTTTCACACAGATTTGGAGAGTGGGAGTCCTACAACTAGCTTAATATACTGTACCTTAATTTCATTATATTGAAGAGCATTTATGGAAGACCAAAGATTGATTGCCTAACTTGAAGAGGTGAACTTTGCCATGCTTTCCCCCCATGCTAACTTGACAACTCCTCCACAAACTATAGTTTCTGCTGTATTTATTGTTTTTTATTAGATGCAATATGCCCTGCTGTGTTAAACAGATTTTGTGGTGTATTAAAAGTTCAGAGGATCAAGCTTAAGAGCATCACTTCCAACCTCCATAGAGAACCACAACATTAACATGATGATCATTACTCCAAAGAGAATGTCTAAGTTATGCAAAATACGGTTATACCTTCAGCTCTGTGTATCACCACACATTTTTATTGTATCTCTCTTTCCAATTACAGGGCAAAGCAGCCAACTGAGATAATAAAACACACTTATGGTTGACACTCATGAAGATCTCATGTCATCACTCTGCAAACACCTACATCTCCATAACAAATGAGATCTTTTGCATTTTAGCCTTTCAACTCTATTTGATAGAACAAAATATTATGGGTAAAAGGCTTTTACCATAGCCCTATATTTGGTGAACTTGCTACAGTAGATAAAGGTTTATTTACAGGCTGCTTTTCAACCAACACAGTTATAATGCAAAAATAACTACAACAATCAAAATTTAAAGCAAAACCCACATATTTATATGCATTTCTGAATCTGCAACTAAAACTCACAGAGAGTTCATGAGTATCACAACTGGGCAAAGTCACGCATAAAACCACACCCAACTAATAAAAGCGGAAACCTGATATTATTTAACTATGAAGTTTCAAGAGCTTCAAAACTTTTCAATGCCTGAAAAAACTAACTTGTAGAGTGTGGCAACTTTGAGCTGGTCACTCCTTCAACAGTGGAGCCAGTAGGTTGTATTGAGGCTAGCTATGGTGCTCACCTCTGCCAACAAAAGCATATATTTAAGCAAGTCCATATATCACAACTATCACAAAGAAAACCCTATATAAGAAAACTGCTCAAAGAGTTGTCCATACAACATATAAGTGGCTGGTTATGCTGGTCTCTACTAGACTGGAAAATTTCACTTCATTTTGTATTTGTAACCCACATTCCTATCCCAAAGAAAACCCAACAAAGTAGCTAAGAGGAAAGCCAAGTCTGCAATCTGTTAATAAACATGAACAGAACATCAAAGGAAATATCAATAGTGCAATAAACTTACCAGGCTAAGAAGAGACTCATCCATGACCATGCCAGAAATATCTGTAAACCATGGATCATCAAACAGCACCTGCACCTGTAGAGACCCCTCCCACAGCTGCAATGAAGCTTCAAAGAAGCATTCCAGCCAATAGAACCCCCCTTAAGCCTAATTGCAATGTGGACCATGCTTTTGGAAAGGGATAGTTAACTAGCCCTCACACCTGTGACTTCTTACCAACTAATCCCCTCCCTGCTCCCATGCTGGAAACAGGCTTTAGCAAGAGTTTATTGGCTTCAATGGGAGGCTTCTTTGAAACCTAATTATAACAGAGGAGAGGTGTTTGTGAGGGAAGTTGCCTCTTGGGGAGGAAAGATTATCCCTTGCTTTCCAGTGGTGCCCTTCCCATGCTGAAAATGCCTTTCCTTCCCACAATCAGTGTTTTTTGGAGAGGGGCTATGGCAGTGATGGCCAAACTTGGCCCTCCAGCTGTTTGGGGACTACAATTTCCATCATCCCTGACCACTGGTCATGTTGGCTAGGGATGATGGGAGTTGTAGTCCCAAAACAGCTGGGGGGGCCAAGTGTGGCCATCACTGGGCTATGGGGTATGGGTCAGTATTACCCCCTTCTGTTCCCAACTGTTGAATATACCCTGACATTTCTATCCCACAAACAGGTTTGAAATAAAGCTTTCTATTGGCCCCAACAGATAGTAAAAATCAGTGGCATGCGGTCATTGGACTAAGGGGGCCAGGCTAGCCCCCTTAGGCTAGTCCCCTCCCCAATCCCCCTCACAAGCTGGCACCTCTGGCCCTAACTATTCTCCTATGAAAAATTTCGCTGCACGCCAAATATAGTTTTAGTAAAAGTAGTTTAGGAAATATAAAGGCTGTCCACCTGCAAGGGCTGCCTCACAGCAAACGAGTTTTAAAAGCTCAGCTGCTGTTCCTAACAGCTTTTGTTTTATGAAGTAGAGACAACATTCTGCTTACAGTTTCAACAGGCGTTCGCCAAGGGTGCAATCAATGGCATTGTTTTTAACTGGAGGGTGACTTATATCTCCACAGAACAACCCAGAGTTTATGTACTTATGAAGGCAGAGGGAAGCACTTATTGGATTTTAACACTGTACTTATTTGTTACATTTCTTTCCTGCCTTTCTGCTAAAGAGCTTTCAGCAGATTACACTGTGCTTAACATTGGCTTCCTATACAGACATTGTCCAGGTCCAACATTGCTTCACTTAAGGATTTGCACATGTCTTAGGCAAGCCCCTATCAAACTAATGGCACCTCCATTTACTGCAATTCAAAATGTACATGGCTTTAGTTACCAGTTAATCTCACATTCAACTCCCCTATTTGAAAAGAGTTTGTATGACACTGAGCTATCCCAGTCTGACTTCAGGAAGAAGAACACACTATTATAATAATTTCTTGGAATGTTTAGCAGTGCAATCCTACACAGAAGCAATTCTATAGAGTTCAATTAGACTTTTCCCCAGATATGTAAATAGTACAGAACTGGAGCACAAGGTTGGTTTGGTTTTGGCTCTATATTTACCTTTCATGTTTTACATGTCTTTTTCATAATGTACATGAGTTTAATTAATCGTCCACGTATTTTCAATTAGTTGCTAGCTGTCTAACTTTTAAAAATTTTAATGATAAATTGATGCCACAAAAGACACAGACCGTGCTTTTATATATCCACTGCTAGTTTGCTTGCATTAAAGTCTACAGTACAAATGCTAGCCTGTAGTCATAGTATGTTAGCGCTCTTGTTTGCCTGAATGTGTTTTTTAATAAGTGCTTTATTAAATTTTATCTGGGTTGCAGGCAATGTACAAATATTAAAAGCATAAATATTAGAAAAAATGAATGAAATGAAAACTGCAGAAGTCTATATTCCATAAAGAGTTTATCTTGGTCTAGACAAAGTTTCTGGGCCAGATCACACTGCTATCAACCAGCAAAATGCTCACAGTTTTGATAAGCGCAGGGTGGGGAGGCCTGTGTTTTACAAAGAACTCCTGTGGGCTGCAGTACATTTGTTTGAGCTCGGTTTTCTTTACTGAACATTCAAATCATGTTTGATTTCCAAGAAAAGGAAGAGAATCTGTACCAGCACAGATAGCCACCACTCTCCCCAGTCTTCTAAAAACAACATAAAAGAAATACCATTTAAAATAACACCACACACCTAAAACAGCTCCCATCCTCGAGAGCTTCCCAATTCTTTGGAGCATTTGGGGGGGGGGGTAAATGCACAGGGAATGGAAAGCCAAGGTTTGAAACTGCCCTTTTCTTCGAAATCTGGATCTAAGTAATTGATTTCCAGAATTTGCCTATGCTCCTGAAATTTAGATTTTCACAAGATATTTCATTTTACTAAGAACCTGGATAGGAGGAGATGGGATGGGATGGAGAGATGGGTGAGGAACATAGCTGTCAACTTTTCCCTTTTCTTGTGAGGAATCCTATTCGGAATAAGAGAATTTCCCTTTAAAAAAGGGAAAAGTTGACAGCTATGGTGAGGAAATGAGCATCAGATATTCACCAGTGAGATCAAGAGCACAGATTATAGAAAACAGCAAAGGATAAAAAATTGTATGGAGCTGCGTGGAGCCCCAGAAAACACATTAACACATTTCTCCCTTTTAATTTTAATTTGGGTTTGCTGAAGCCTCCCAATCCGGTTAAAAATAGAGGCAAAGTCTGCAAGCTAAACTGGAAGGGATGAATGAGAAATTTGACTCAGTACACATTTAAAGCTAATATTAAATTCACAATACACAGCTATTATTTGAAATTTTCACTTTTCTGAATTCCAATGAGTGCAAGGATTGCTTTGAAATGGTTGAGTGGTGACTGAAACTTCCCAGTAAAAATAAGTAAATTTTAAAGGACCCAGAGGGAAAATCACATTTACCATTTTAGATTAATCCTGAAAGCATTTACTGTAGTGAAAGCACTTGTTCACAGTGGCATCACATGTTCACAAGACTATTCCAGGAAGAGATGTCCAGCTGGAAGCTGGCTGCCAAGTGCCCCATATCACTGTGAGTGTGAAGGCAGATTTTCAAAACTTTTGAGAACATCAAACTCTATCCTGATAAACCTTAGCATGAAATCTCTCAAAAACAGCTGCAGAATGAGTCAACATTTTCATGCGCCAGGGGCTGATCCAAGACCACTCTGATCAGTTTGTTACAAGAATCTACCATGCATATGTGTGCTTGCTGGTTGCTTTTTAGCAAGAAGACTTAATTGGCTCAAACTATGAAGTTACAAATTTCTGATACTCTATATCCATAGACTTCTTTTCAGACAAGGAGCATTTATTATTCTCTCTCTTTTTTAAAAAAATGCTTTTTAGTGATTTTTCAAAACAAAAATAAATAAAACATATACTTAATAATACTCAATAATATATATATATTTATTATTCTCTATGGCTCACTTAAATGAGTAAAATGATGATCTTGAAGAAGAAGAAGAAGAAGAAGAAGAAGAATTTGTATACCCACTTCATTAATAATAATAATAATAATAATAATAATAATAATAATTTATTATTTATACCCCGCCCATCTGGCTGGGCTTCCCCGGCCACTCTGGGCGGCTTCCAAAAGAATATTAAAATACTATAATACATCAAACATTAAAAGCTTCCCGAAACAGGGCTGCCTTCAGATGTCTTCTAAAAGCCTGGTAGTTGTTGTTCTCTTTGACATCTGGTGGGAGGGTGTTCCACAGGGAAGGCGTCACTACTGAGAAGGCCCTCTGCCTGGTTCCCTGTAACTTGGCTTCTCGCAGTGAGGGAACCGCCAGAAGGCCCTCGGTGCTGGACCTCAGTGTCCGGGTAGAACGATGGGGGTGGAGACACTCCTTCAGGTATACTGGACCGAAGCCGTTTAGGGCTTTAAAGTTCAGCACCAACACTTTGAATTGTGCTAGGAAACATAGTGGGAGCCAATGTAGGTCTTTCAGGACTGGTGTTATATGGTCTTGGCAGCCATCCCCAGTCACCAGTCTAGCTGCCGCATTCTGGATTAGTTGTAGTTTCCGGGTCACCTTCAAAGGTAGCCCTACGTAGAGTAGTCCAAGCATGAAATAACTAGAGCATGCACCACTCTGCCGAGACAGCCCATGGGCAGGTAGGGTCTTAGCCTGCCTACCAGGTGGAGCTGGTAGACAGCTGCCCTGGACACAGAATAAACCTGCGCCTCCATGGACAGCTGTGAGTCCAAAATGACTCCCAGGCTGCGCACCTGGTTTGTCATTGCTTGACATGCTAATGTGTACCTGGCATTAAAAAATTCTAAGTGTTCATCTATGTACTACAAGTTTACTTATAGACGGTTGGGTTTGGATGTATATATTTCAAATCTTGTGCCCCCATCCTCTCTCTTCAAGGAGTCCTTCCTTTCTCATTGCACCACAATTAACCTAGGATGATGATAATAATAATAATAATAATAATAATAATAATAATAATAATATAGTATTTGTACCCCGCCCATCTGGCTGGGTTTCCCCAGCCACTCTGGATGGCTTCCAACAAAGATTAAAAATACATGAAAATGTCACACATTAAAACCTTCCCTGAATAGGGCTGCCTTCAGATGTCTTCCGAATGTCAGGTAGCTGTTTATCTCTTTGACATCTGATGGGAGGGCATTCCACAGGGCGGGCACCACTACCGAGAAGGCCCTCTGCCTGGTTCCCTGTAGCTTAGCTTCTCGCAGTGAGGGAACCACCAGAAGGCCCTTGGCACTGGACTTCAGTGTCCGGGCAGAACAATAGGGGTGGAGACACTCCTTCAGATATACTGGACCAAGGCCGTTTAGGGCTTTAAAGGTCAGCACCAACACTTTGAATTGTGCTCGGAAACGTACTGGGAGCCAATGTAGGTCTTTCAAGACTGGTGTTATGTGGTCTCTGCGGCCGCTCCCAGTCACCAGTCTAGCTGCCGCGTTCTGGATTAGTTGTAGTTTCCGGGTCACCTTCAAAGGTAGCCCCACGTAGATCGCATTGCAGTAATCCAAGCGGGAGATAACCAGAGCATGCACCACTCTGGCGAGGCAGTCCACAGGCAGATAGGGTCTCAGCCTGCGTACCAGATGGAGCTGGAAAACAGCTGCCCTGGACACAGATTTGACCTGTGCCTCCATGGACAGCTGTGAGTCCAAAATGACTCCCAGGCTGCGCACCTGGTCCTTCAGGGGCACAGTTACCCCATTCAGGACCAGGGAATCCTCCACACCTGCCCGCCTCCTGTCCCCAAAAAACAGTACTTCTGTCTTGTCAGGATTCAACCTCAATCTGTTAGCTGCCATCCAACCTCCAACCGCCTCCAGGCATTCACACAGGACCTTCACTGCCTTCACTGGTTCTGATTTGAAAGAGAGGTAGAGCTGGGTATCATCCGCATACTGATGAACACCCAGCCCAAATCCCCTGATGATCTCTCCCAGCGGCTTCATGTAGATGTTGAAAAGCATGGGGGAGAGGACAGAACCCTGAGGCACCCCACAAGTGAGGGCCCAGGGGTCTGAACACCCATCCCCCACCACCACTTTCTGAACACGGCCCAGGAAGAAGGAGCGGAACCACTGTATAACAGTGCCCCCAGCTCCCAGCCCCTCAAGACGGTCCAGAAGGATGTTATGGTCAATGGTATCAAACGCCGCTGAGAGATCCAGCAGAACTAGGAAACAGCTCTCACCTTTGTCCCTAGCCCGCCGGAGATCATCAACCAGTGCGACCAAGGCAGTTTCAGTCCCATGATGAGGCCTGAATCCCGACTGGAAGGGATCCAAATGGTCCGCTTCTTCCAGGCGTGCCTGGAGTTGTTCAGCAACCACTCGCTCAATCACCTTGCCCAAGAATGGAAGATTTGAAACTGGGCGATAGTTTGCTATCGTGGCCACATCTAAAAATGGTTTTTTAAGAAGCGGTTTAATAACCGCCTCTTTCAGCGGGTCTGGGAAGGCTCCCTCACGGAGGGAAGCATTCACCACCCCACGAAGCCCATCGCCCAGTCCTTCCCGGCTAGCTTTTATAAGCCAGGATGGGCAAGGATCAAGGAGGCAAGTGGTTGGTTTCACTCGTCCAAGCAGCCTGTCCACATCCTCGGGGGTAACAGATTGGAATTGATCCCACACAGCTTGATTAGACAGGACTCTAGCACTCTCCCGCCCCGGCCCTGCTCCCACGGTGGAGTCTACCTCTTCTCGAATCTGAGCGACTTTATCTGCAAAAAACTTTGCAAAGTCATTGCAGGAGATCATGTGGCCCCTACTGGGCCCTGATGGAGCAGGTGGTTCCGCTAAATTGCGAACCACCTGAAAGAGTCTCCTGCTGCTGTTTTCCGCAGATGCAATAGAGGCGGTGAAGAAAGTCTTCTTCGCCGTCGCTATCGCCACTTGGTAGGCTCGACATTGAGCTCTAACCTGTGTCCGGTCAGATTCAGAATGGGTTATCCGCCACCGGCGCTCTAGCCGTCTCAACGATTGTTTCATTGCCCTCAGATCTGTGGAAAACCACGGGGCTGTCCGGACTCCATGCAATCGGAGAGGGCGCTTTGGAGCCAAACAGTCAATAGCCCTGGTTAACTCCACATTCCAGCGGGCCACCAGGGAATCAGCTGAAAGGCCATCAACATGGGATAAAACATCCCCTACCACTCTCTGGAAACCATTTGGATCCATTAAGTGGCGGGGGCGGACCATCTGAATCGGTCCCGCCTCCCTGCAGAGGGGAAGGGTCACGGAGAAGTCCAGTTGCACCAGGAAGTGATCTGACCATGGCACTTCTTTGGTTTCGCTTTTACTTAGTGTCAGATCACCAACATCCATAGAGGTGAACACCAGGTCTAAGGCATGCCCATGGCTATGAGTTGGACCAGACTTATTCAGGGACAGCCCCATGGAGGCCATGCTTTCCACGAAGTCCCGAGCGGCCCCTTGTAAGGTCGTGTCGGCATGGATGTTAAAATCCCCTAGGACAACCAAACTAGGTGTCTCCAGGAGGACATCCGCCACGACCTGAAGCAGCTCGGGCAGGGAATCCTTGGTGCAGTGGGGAGGTCGGTACACCAATAGGAATCCTGTACTGCCCCTATTGCCCAACTTCCAGAACATGCACTCAGAGAACTGGGTCTTTCCAATAGGACGCCTGGTGTAAACTAATGACTTCCTAAAAATCACTGCAACCCCCCCTCCCCGCCCACAAGGCCTGGGTTGCTGTGCGTAAGAGAAACCTGGTGGACAAGCAGCAGCAAGGATGGGCCCATCTGCTTCATCCAACCAGGTCTCTGTCACACATGCCAGGTCAAATCCTCCATCCACAATCAGGTCGTGGATGGCAGAGGTTTTATTCATCATTGACCTGGCATTGCACAGCAACACTTTCAGGTCATGTGGATTTCCCTTGTTGATTCCAGTATCCTTCCGGTTAGGACCAGACCTGGAGGCAGGGATAGTCCTCAAACAACGACTAAGCCTGCTTCCTCGGTAATGACATGGTCTGGTCTTAGCGTAACTCCTCCTCCTACCCGTGATCACTGAGATCGGTTGTCCGAGTGCGCACACACCCCCCCCCCCGTGGAACCTGCCCCAGCCATTTTGTTTGCTGGGACCCACTCCCAGGCAGCCCTGACCCCTCCCCTTAAAATCAAATTAAAGCCTATACAAAAAACAAACTAACAGAACAATAAAACTATAAAAACAAAAAACAAAGTTACAAACACAACATAATTAAATTAAACAAATTCCCACACCCAACTAAACACCCACCCCACCCCACATAGATCTCAGGGCAGTCACAACATAAAAATACATGATAAAAACCATAAAATACATAATAGAAGCAAGAACAGAAACAAAAAATAAGCCCTCGCCCCATGCACGTACATAAAAGTTGGTCCAACAGATTGTGTGTTATCTAGTTGTTCAGGCTGACATGAATGATTCAAGCAAGCAATAGTACAGATTTGTTATCTTCTTCTCATCTTTAGCATGTATTGCTTTGTACAGCAGCTTATGCTCTAAATCTACCGTAGCTTAACTGAACATCAGTGCATGAAATAAAAAAAGGAAGTGAAAGTCGTGTATTTCAGCAAAATACATTCTAAGTAGTTTTCTCTCCCATTTTACTATGCCATTTTCTGTACAGAAATAAATTGCTGCCTTGCCGTTTTTATTTCTGCTTTACATAAAGACGCAAGCAGACAAATGGGTTTCCACTAGCTGAATGAGATTATCTGGGTTTTGCTGCCAGAATCTTGGTGCAAGAGGGCAGTTTCACGTTTGAAATATATGACAAAATGTAAACTAATCATTAAGATGTGATTCAGCATAGACAAAATAGGGACAGAAATAAGCCCACCTGCTTCCTGACAAGACTCTGACCTCACTTTATTTGGGGGAAATGTAAAATTATGCCTGTTTTAACACTCTGTGCAAAACTGAGATGGTGAAATAGGACATACCCATTCCACTTAAAAACATTTCAGTGAAAATCCCTCATGTGTAAATACGTTAAATATTACTAGAAAGGCAGAGGTTTTATGTTCTTGTAGAAGACACAAAAATATATGATACTAAGTCACACCAACACATTCCTCTCACACAGGAAAAAGGCTACTGTGAGCTGGCCTAAACACTTCATAGCTCAGTCAGTAGAGCATGACTCTTAATCTTAGAGTCGTGGGTTTGAGCCCCACGTTCGGCAAAAGATTCCTGCATTGCAGGGAATTTGGGCTAGATGGCCCTTGTGGTTCGTTCCAACTCTACAATTCTATGATTCTATGTGGGAAAATGAAGGCACTTGGGGAATGTGCGGCCAAAATCATGGAAATGGCTTAAAGATCACACTAGCCTTTATCCACACAACTGTGTGTTACTGTATACATACCAGAGCTTGGAAGACTTGGACAGTCTAAACTTGCTCTTTGTCAGGGATTAACCAGATGATTAGAGAGGGGACCACACAAGTTGACTGAACTGATGACATGGGAACATGTCTAATCAACCTGCAGCATTGTGATCTGTTTTCAGAATTTCAAAAGTAACCACTCCTCTTGCTTACATGTGACTCACTATAATGTATTTATTTTATTTATTTCTACAAGTTATATACATCTTAATTATAATTGTCTCTAAGCAGTGTTCCAAAAACTCAGTACAATGAAAATCAGTTAAAATTATACATTTTAATGAAATTATTTAAAAATTCTAATTATTTTCCCATTAGTTTAATTGTCTTCATTAGTGTTGGGGGGGATCCAAATGGTGCACGGATTATCCAAGTAGCACAGTGTACGCAATGTTGGACCTGTAATGTTAGCATCATATGGCATTATATTTCATTTAGCATTTTTTTCAAATCAGAATTTAAGTCTAATACGACTGGATTTTATATAACATTTTGTCACAGTAATTATATATTACAAGAGAAAGAATAGAATCTTAAAAGGATATGATTATTTCCCACTTCAAGTTAGTAACCAAGGTCAGCACTTTAATAGGAGGCTGTCAAGGAAAATTCTGAATAGGAAACTGCAGACAGTTGGTTTTATGGCTATAATAATGCATTGCTTCACTGAAGAGATGCAAGTACTTATTGCATGAGTAACAAGATTAAAGTTATAGCCATTCACAGCAACTGGATCCTCAACAGCCAATACAGGCAATCGCACAGTGAATTCATTAGTCTGCAGTACTTAACTCTGGTGTGGGGTACAAATCATGCTGTTTGTGCAAGGGCTTCCAGTTGTACATGGGAGCGCCACTCTACCCCTTTGCCCATGTGCTCCCCAAAAATCTGCTACAGAATAGATTTGGGAGAGTGGGAGGGAGAGAGAGAGAGAGAGAGAGAGAGAGAGAGAGGGAGAGAGAGAGAGGTGTTCTGTTGTGCAAACAGGTTGACCTCATCAGATACAACCCATCATTTTCAAATTGTCATTCATTACTATTGCTGTGATAAACTCAATTCAGACTTTGCACCAAACCATGGTTAGTGTTAAGCAAGGTTAAAAAGAACCTATCTTAGTGGACTGGAGTTTCCAACTCTAGAACAGGCAAACCATAGTTTAGAGCTGTTTGCTTTTGTTTCCCATATGCTCAGTGATAAGCTTTATAAATTCAACATCCTAGTTTGCTGATCCTTTATCCTTTCCAAACATTGGTTTACAAGCTGATATCGATCTAACCGAGACAAAGATCATACAGTGCTGTGTAGCATAGCATGTAAATGAAGTCTAGTGTGACATTGCAACTTTTCAGTGTATCTTCTCTTTCAGCTGTCCTGGAAATGGTATTACTGAGGGTGAGAGGATAAATGAATTCTCTAAATAAACAAACTGCCAACCCAGTGGTACTATCCAGAAAACCTGGTACAGTGGTACCTCTGGTTACAAATGGAATCTGTTCCGGAGGTCTGTTCGTAACTGGAAACCGCTCGTAACATGAGGCACGCTTTCACTAATGGCGCCTCCCACTGTGTGCGCACCTCCAGTGCACGATTTCCACTCGCATCCTGGGGCAAAGTTCACAACCAGGAGCGGCTACGTCTGGGTTAGCAGAGCTCATAACCCCGAGTGTGCACAACCAGAGGTGTTCACAACCAAAGGTACCACTGTATTCCTGAGGAGCCCACCAGCCCCTTGAATTCAAATTGACCAATTGTTGGTCAGAAGACAGTGCTTAGGTGATGAACCAGAGTGTTCAAGCATCAGCCCTCCACCTGGAGGCTAAGAATAGATATACACCCACTGCCTGGGCCAAAGCCTACCTACAAGTATAATCAATAACATTTTCAAATGTTATGTGGCCCATTTTCAAATCCCAGAACATTGTCTTGTACAGTTTGTTACACCTAACAAGGTCTAGGCCTTTTGTCCCTGGGGTGGGGGGTCACTGCAAGTGAGTCCACAAGTGTTTATACTTTATATGCCACCCAGAGTCTCTGTGACAACCCAGTCAGATGGGCGGGGCACTATTATTATTATTATTATTATTATTATTATTATTATTATTAAACATATGAATTGAGTATGCGGGTGGCTGGGTATTTGAGAACAGGCACTCTGAACACACTTCGTTGCTGCACTTTATTATGCACATAGCTTTAATACGTGTGAACGATACTCCTAAGAAAGGTGTGCATCACAAGATCTTGCAGCATGCATGTACATCCTTACATTGAGACAGGGTCTCAATCAAAAAGACACACACCCAGAGGCATGGCCAGTGGGAAGGCCCCCGCTTCAACTGTAATGCAAAGCAGTCTGAACAAGGCTACACACACCTTTCAGACTTGGCATTATGCATGGCTGTTCACAATGAATAAGAGCCAAGCCCATTTTAAATTACTTTGACGTGTTCTTCTGCAATTGCACTTACAATGTAACTTTAGGGAGGAGCTGTTTTTGTGCACTTGAAGAATTTATTAATCAGTTCTCCAAAAAGAGCCAAAGAACAACGTGCCAATTTCCTTAATACAATGAGTAAAGCCATGTGGTGGGCACCTTTGCCAGCAGCACGTCAAGCTTTGAAGTTCGGTTTGAAATACAGCTGCAATTTGGGAAATGCCTTGTGAATGACTGGTAATGATCCTAAGAGCTGTACACTTCCCAGTGTTTGGTGATTTAGAGGATAGCTTAAATGTTTATCACAGTTACACTTAGTGCAGCTCAGGAGCTCAAATCAATAGTAATGTATGTACAGGGAAGTTTAAAATGTTTGATGTTCTATTATGTTTTTATATCTGTTACTTTATGCTAATGTGTGTTGTTGTTGTTTAGTCGTTTAGTCGTGTCCGACTCTTCGTGACCCCATGGACCAGAGCATGCCAGGCACTCCTGTCTTCCACTGCCTCCCGCAGTTTGGTCAAACTCATGCTGGTAGCTTCGAGAACACCATCCAACCATCTCATCCTCTGTCGTCCCTTCTCCTTGTGCCCTCCATCTTTCCCAACATCAGGGTCTTTTCCAGGGAGTCTTCTCTTCTCATGAGGTGGCCAAAGTATTGGAGCCTCAGCTTCACGATTTGTCCTTCCAGTGAGCACTCAGTGCTGATTTCCTTAAGAATGGAGAGGTTTGATCTTCTTGCAGTCCATGGGACTCTCAAGAGTCTCCTCCAGCACCATAATTCAAAAGCATCAATTCTTCGGCGATCAGCCTTTTTGATGGTCCAGCTCTCACTTCCATACATCACTACTGGGAAAACCATAGCTTTAACTATACAGACCTTTGTTGGCAAGGTGATGTCTCTACTTTTTAAAATGCTGTCTAGGTTTGTCATTGCTTGACATGCTAATGTGTACCTGGCATTAAAAAATTCTAAGTGTTCATCTATGTACTACAAGTTTACTTATAGACGGTTGGGTTTGGATGTATATATTTCAAATCTTGTGCCCCCACCCTCTGTCTTCAAGGAGTCCTTCCTTTCTCATTGCACCACAATTAACCTAGGATGATGATGATGATGATAATAATAATAATAATAATATAGTATTTGTACCCCGCCCATCTGGCTGGGTTTCCCCAGCCACTCTGGATGGCTTCCAACAAAGATTAAAAATACATGAAAATGTCACACATTAAAACCTTCCCTGAATAGGGCTGCCTTCAGATGTCTTCCGAATGTCAGGTAGTTGTTTATCTCTTTGACATCTGATGGGAGGGCATTCCACAGGGCGGGCACCACTACCGAGAAGGCCCTCTGCCTGGTTCCCTGTAGCTTAGCTTCTCGCAGTGCGGGAACCACCAGAAGGCCCTTGGCGCTGGACCTCAGTGTCCGGGCAGAACAATAGGGGTGGAGACACTCCTTCAGGTATACTGGACCGAAGCCGTTTAGGGCTTTAAAGTTCAGCACCAACACTTTGAATTGTGCTAGGAAACATAGTGGGAGGCAATGTAGGTCTTTCAGGACTGGTGTTATATGGTCTTGGCAGCCATCCCCAGTCACCAGTCTAGCTCCCGCATTCTGGATTAGTTGTAGTTTCCGGGTCACCTTCAAAGGTAGCCCTACATAGAGTAGTCCAAGCATGAGATAACTAGAGCATGCACCACTCTGCTGAGACAGTCCATGGGCAGGTAGGGTCTTAGCCTGCGTACCAGGTGGAGCTGGTAGACAGCTGCCCTGGACACAGAATTAACCTGCGCCTCCATGGACAGGTGTGAGTCCAAAATGACTCCCAGGCTGCACACCTGGTCCTTCAGGGGCACAGTTACCCCATCCAAGACCAGGGAATCCCCCACACCCGCCCGCCCCGTCCCCCAAAAACAGTACTTCTGTCTTGTCAGGATTTAACCTCAATCTGTTAGCCGCCATCCATCCTCTAACCGCCTCCAGGCACTCACACAGGACCTTCACCGCCTTCACTGGTTCTGATTTAAAGGAGAGGTAGAGCTGGGTGTCATCTGCATACTGATGAACACCCAGCCCAAACCCCCTGATGATCTCTCCCAGCGGCTTCATGTAGATGTTAAAAAGCATGGGGGAGAGGACAGAACCCTGGGGCACCCCACAAGTGAGGAGCCAGGGGTCTGAACACTCATCCCCCACCACCACTTTCTGGACATGGCCCAGGAGGAAGGAGCGGAACCACTGTATAACAGTGCCCCCAGCTCCCAGCTCCTCTAGACAGTCCAGAAGGATGTTATGGTAGATTGTATTAAAGGCCACTGAGAGATCCAGCAGAACTAGGAAACAGCTCTCACCTTTGTCCCTAACCCGCCAGAGATCATCAACCAGTGCGACCAAGGCAGTTTCAGTCCCATGATGAGGCCTGAATCCCGAATGGAAGGGATCAAAATGGTCCACATCCTCCAGGAGTGCCTGGAGCTGTTCTGCAACCACCCACTCAATCAACTTGCCCAAGAATGGAAGATTTGAGACTGGGCAATAGTTGGCTATACTGGCCAGGTCTAAAGATGTTTTTTTAAGAAGCAGTTTAATGACCGCCTCTTTCAGCGGGTCTGGGAATGCTCCCTCACAAAGGGAAGCATTCGCCACCTTGCAGAGCCCATCACCCAGCCGTTCCCGGCTTGCTTTTATTAGCCAGGGTGGACAAGGATCAAGGAGACAGGTGGTTGGTTTCACGCGTCCAAGCAGCCTGTCCACACCCTCGGGGGTAACGGATTGAAATTGATTCCATGCAGGGCTCTAGCACTCTCCTGCCCCCTGCCCTGCCCCCATGGTGGTGCCTACCTCCTTCCGAATATGAGCGACTGCTCATATCTGCAAAAAAACTTTGCAAAAATGTTGCAGGAGATCTTGGGGTCTTTACAATGCCCCGATGGTAAAGGTGGTTCTGTTAAATTGTGAACCACCTGAAAGAGTCTCCTGCTACTATTTTCTGCAGATGCAATAGAGGCAGTGAAGAAAGTCTTCTTCGCTGTTGCTGTTGCTGTTGCTGTTGCCACTTGGTAGGCTCAACGTTGAGCTCTAACCTGTGTCCGGTCCGATTCAGAATGAGTTTTCTACCACCGGCGCTCTAGCTGTCTCAGCGAATGTTTCCTCACTCTCAGCTCTGAAGAAAACCACAGGGTTCTCCATGCAATCGGAGAGGGTGCTTCGGAGCCAGAGAGTCGATAGCCCTCGTTAACTCCGCATTCCAGCAGGCCACCAGGGAATCAGCTGAAAGATCATCAGCATGGGATAAAGCATCCCCTACCACTCTCTGGAAACCATTTTGATCCATTAAGTGGTAGGGGCAGACCATCCAAATTGGTCCCGCCTCCCTGCAGAGGGAAAGGGTCACAGAGAAGTCCAATTACACCAGGATCTGACCATGGCACTTTTTGTTTCACTTTTACTTAATGTCAGATCACGCACGTCACTAGAAGTGAACACCAGGTCTAAGGCGTGTCTGTGACTATGAGTTGGGCTAAACTTATTCAGGGACAGCCCCATGGAGGCCATGCTTTCCACGAAGTCCCGAGCAGCCCCTTGTAAGGTTGTGTCGGCATGGATGTTAAAATCCCCTAAGGCAACCAAACTAGGTGTGTCCAGGAGAACATCTGCCACGACTTAAAGCAGCTCGGGTAGGGAATCCTTGGTGCAGCGGGGAGGTCGGTACACGAAAAGGAATCCTGTACTGCCCTTATTGCCCAACTTCCAGAACATGCGCTCAGAGAACTGGGTCTTCCCAGTAGGACACCTGATGCAAGCTAGGTAAAGGTAAAGGGACCCCTGACCATTAGGTTCAGTCGTGGCCGACTCTGGGGTTGCGGCGCTCATCTCGCTTTATTGGCCAAGGGAGCTGGCGTACAGCTTCCGGGTCATGTGGCCAGCATGAAAAAGCCGCTTCTGGCGAACCAGAGCAGCGCACAGAAACATTGTTTACCTTCCTGCCAGAGCGGTACCTATTTATCTACTTGCACTTTGACATGCTTTCGAACTGCTAGGTTGGCAGGAGCAGGGACCGAGCAACGGGAGCTCACCCCGTCACAGGGATTCGAACCGCCAACCCTCTGATCAGCAAGTCCTAGGCTCTGTGGTTTAACCCACAGCACCACCCGTGTCCCCTGATGCAAGCTAGTGACTTCCTTAAAAACCACTGCAACCCCCCTCCCAGCCCACATGACCTGGGTTGCTGTGTGTAAGAGAAAGCTGGTGGACAAGTAGCAGCTAAGACAGGCCCAGGATGTATTCAGTGGACCATAATTTCCTATTATTTCTGTACCTGGAAACTATGATAACCTGGATGAGAGCAAGCTAGGATCTTAAACCCACTTCAAACCACTGTTTGAGGTTTGGATTTGCTGGATCTAAATTGGGCATACGTCATCAGTACAAGGTTATGAAGCTAAACAATCTACGGCTTTTGGGAGAATTGCTTTTTGCTATTTTGTTACATATTTTCTGTTTTTATTTTGTACTTTTCTGTTGCAAACTGCCCTGTGATCTTCGGATGAAGGGAGGTATATACATTTAGTAAATAATAATAATAATAATTAATAAAATTAGGTGAAGGGAGAGGGCCAAATGGTTCTTTGGACAGAACACTAAGGATCGTCGTTGTGTGGCTCCTCTTTGCACAGCATCTAGTGAGTAGCTACTAGACTATATTTGGATTTCAGCTGATGATAAAACACTGGGCTGGTACTGATGTGTCAACCAGCAAGTTTTGATACATGTCGTGATTACTTGAGGGTCCCTTTGAGAACAGTAAGGAAGCACAAAAGTTCAAAGACAAAAATAAAACATACTTTTCACTAGAGTTACATTGGCGCTGTTTAAAGGAAGCTTAATAGCTGAGTGTTGCAGCAGAAGATGGATTCAGCTTGTCAGAAGCAAAACCAGGGTGATAAGGGCAAAACAAAGAAGTCATGCTTGATGTGCTCATTTGGGTCACAGCTAATAGCATTGGAAATAAAAAGGTCAGAGCGTTTAGTGCAAAGTCTCATGGGTTCAGCAATTAGACCAAACAATGCAGAAGTCAGAGTGGTCTCTACTGGCATATAACAGATTTTCACAATAAATTATCTTGTGGATGGCCAAGAGGAGCGAGAGAGGATAGGGGATAGAAAAGGGATAGCATGCTGTAATCATTTGAAAAAAGAAAATAAAAACATGAGAATCTAGCAGTTAAGCTGCTGGGGCAAAAGAGAAAGAAAAAGGTGCACTAACCTAGTATGATATTCAGTGTTAGGCACAGTCTGAATAGACCCATGGAATAAACACAAGTCCATTGAATTCAGCTGAATTCTGAATGTGACCTGTACACTTTGATATGAAGCAATGTTGGTACTAACCAATATTTATTTGTTAAGCAGTGACCAAGACTGAACAAATAGAAGGGAAATAAATTATGTGCATCTAATATGATTAAATATTGTGAATCCGTATGTATGGCTCCAGAAAGGCTAGCTCTGGAGGTATGCCAAAAAAGCTTAATCAAATGTAATTGATAATGATTAACGGAAATTACTTTAAGTGAAGAGAAATGGTTCAGGCATAAAACAATAATGCTTAATCTACATGCTAAATAAATGTATGCCACAAAATAAAAATGCAGTCTGAACAGATGGTCTTCAAAGGGCTAAAAACATAAATCAGGGAAGAGCTAAATTAGAACATCCCTGTGCTGTTTAAAAACAAACAACAAATGAAGAAATAAATAAGAAAATAAAGACACAAAAACAAGCACAAATCTGAGAACAATGTGAAAACACAATACTGAACAGGACTCTGGAAATGCCTTTAAAAGCTTATCATCTAATAAATTAGAGATTTCAGTTATTTCTCTCACTCTGTCCTTCATGTGCCAGGTAACAACTATTCACAGAACCATTTAAATGCCCTTGAAAGAGTTTGTAGAGAGACCTGAACTGAGTGAGACCTGGCTTTCATGTAAGTGGTGTGTTGTTGTTTTTTTGTGTTTGCTTTTTAAAGAAACCATCTAGAAAACTGGCTGTCGAAGGAAAGTGTTCTAGAAATATATTCAAATTTTTTTGCTCCCTCCCCCAAATCTACAGTCTGAAGTGGTACAGGCACAGGTATACTATCTCAACAGGTCTTAAGACAAAGCTTTGAATGTCTTATGCAACCTGAACAGCCCTGTTGCATCTATTTTTCCACTTTTAGGAACCTGTGTGGATCGAGACCTTCCACTTGACTACTTACTTGTGTCTAATCATATTCTCATCTATTCCAAGACTCAGGGAAGGAGGTAGCTTACAATATGATGGTCACACCCATCATATCCATGCCACACATTTAAATCACATTTATAGCTCTATAACAGTTATGTCTGTTTTATTGTTGTAATCTGCCCTGGGATCTTGTGAACGGCAGGTAAGAAATATAAATAAATAAATGTCTAGTGCAGGCAAACATCCACTCAATCACATGGGTCACCACCACCAATTCTGTTTTTAATTTGGGTACTGGTTTAGCTTCTTAGTCCCTACTAGAGCTTCCAGACACTATCCCTGTCTGTTGTTGCCACTATCATTGTAATAGTGACAACAGCCTATTACAGACAGTTGGATGATTGGTCCCTGCAATAGTTTAGAATAGTGCAAAGTAGCCACCCTGTTTTCCAGTTCCTCCAAGCATCTAAGAGGGTTGCTGACAAAGCCATGAGAATCAACATGATCACATCTTCCATTTCTGTCTTAGGGTCATGTAACCTCAGGCAGAAATGGAAATCAGCCTTATCTATGAATGCCTGGAGTTGTTTGGCCACCACACACTTAAACTTAATCATATCGACCCAAAATGGCAAGCTCCTTCTTTTTAAGGTACTAAGGTACTTTCTATCAAAGGATTTACTCAAGGTACTGAGGATTACAACATAAGGATTAACAAAAGTCCCTGCATACATAACTGAAAATGGATGGAGTATTAGGAATTTTGTCTGTTTACCTAAACTGCAACTTATTTAATAGAAGTTGCTCTGAGAACAAAATGTATGATGTGCCATGATCAGTGCATTTTGCCTCTGATCTGAGCACAGATGTATTTGTCAAATGTCCAAATGTTTACTTCAGTGAACCAGCTTGAATATAACATCCTGAGAGAACACCTCATTACTGCTCTACCAGAGAGAGTGTACAGTCAGCAATGTCATGCTTGACACATTGCCCAGCATATGTGTAACAATGCTCAGGGGCTTCACAAGACCTGCAGGTGTGACAGAGTCAAGGCAACACATGCTGTGCTTGGACGAGACGACAGGCTATTGGAAAAAGTCAGAGAAGTTTTTCAAATTAATCATGGGAGCACCCTAGGAAGCAAGCAACCTATATAAATAGTACTCATTTACCAAAAACCGAATAGGAGTCCAGTTTGGGTGAGGCAAGTATTCCAAACCATGTGATTTTTCTCAAGAAGTTTTAAAAACACCCTTTGTGTGCGATAACCAGCTTCATATAACCAACATGCTTAAGTCTAATTAATGCATGAAGGGGTTAATTCCATAGAGTAAGCTGTCCTGCCAGACTTAACTAGGTCACTCTTCCTCACCTTGGGAGGGACTAGGTAATCAAACTTTTGTTCCTTCAGTCGACCTGAGAAGCTGAGTGTGTAAAGAGACTTGATTTGGTTGCTCCACACTCAAGTGGTCTTTTCCTATAGTACAGGAAAAGGGGAACTTCAGAAAAAAATTAGAAAGGCATATTTTGAAGACCCAACAGCTTATATTTCCACACTTTATTTTGCCGCATATTTTGTGTTTTTAAATCTCTGCTGGGTGGGGTTCTCCCACTGAAGAATACTTGCCCCAAACCTGGGTCTTGGCATCTAGGGGATTCTCTTTTTTACCACTTTGTAACTTTTGATTTAAATTTCTCTCAATATTTGTGCAAACACACGTTTTCTCCAGGTTTGTCCAAATGCAGTGCTCTCTTATTATGAAAAGCCTCAATAAAACTTAAAAAAACAAAACAAATGCAGTGATACTCTTGGGCTAAGATTTCCATCTTAAAAAAAATATTGTTGTTTTATTCCCTTTACAAAACACCTAACCTAGCTATTTTGCAAGATTCTACACTGAAAAGAGGGGACCCTGTCAAACAGCACAGTCTGTTCTTTTTAATGAGGAATGAAGTACAATAGCTAGTCTGTTCAAAAGGAATGCAAAACAACAATTTGGGAATGGTAAAAACATTCCTACTGCAGGAATTCTATTTTGTTTTCACATATAAGCATTCTGAAGATGAGATACAAGACAGAAATTCAGCAAGACAGAAATAAATGAAAAGGCTTTGCACCTTTCCATTTCTAAAACACAACCCTAAAACTCAACATACAGTGGCAGGTGTGTGGGTGCATGTTGTCCTGGCATAGCAACTGTTAAAATGTCTAACAAGTTAAGTATACAGATTACACACAATAGGAAAATAAATAATCATAAACACTAGTTTAAAAAATAAATTATTCAGGTAAACCTCCTTATCTGGTAGCACTCCCCACTCTCTTTATTTAAAAGGATTATTCCTGGACTATATATTACAATTCTTAAGAGTTTGTTTAATTGAAGAATGATAAAATGTGTCTGTATACGCGCGCACACACACACACACACACACACACACAGTTTGGAATGTCATAGGGAAGCGAAAGGGGCGAATAAAAAATGAAAACTGGAATGGAGACAAATAGAAACAGATTGCTTGCTAGCTAGGCACAGAGGCTCAGAAGGCTATACTGATGACCATCTTCATTAATCAATCCCTTGACTTAAAGCAACCACTTCAGGGCTAGATATAAATCAATTGGATTACTTGTGTAAGTGCTCACCAATGTGAGAAATTGGTTGCACAGTCTAGCCCTTCAGCTGAGTTGTATATATCTTTTAACTAAAGAGAGGCTCCTTTAAGGCAACCTATATTTCCTTGTCTCCTGGTTGTGTGAAAGAGAGGAAAATAAACCTTGTGCAAGGGAGCAAGACAGAAAGAAGGACAACAGGTGTATAGAATGTGCTGCTGCCCAGCAGGGCTGCCTTTCTTTAGAAATAGACTCCTGGCACTTCAGGTAAAGTCAAACACGAACAGCTTTATTTCAGTACAGTGGACAGGAAGCCCTGCTTAATCCTCAGCCTCCACGCCGGCACTGCAATCCTGCTCTCACTCACCTGTACAGGATATTCCCTCTTCAGGTACTTCCCCTTGACTTGGGAAATATTTACACATATAAGATACTAAGAAGTCCTCAAGTTCCCCTTCCCCTGCAAAATGTGTCTAAACTAAGGGTCATCAGTTTTGATTATTTCAGTCTATTTTCAGGAGGGAAAAGAATGGTAAGATACACTAGGTCAGCATAATCTGAACAGAAATAGTGGGACTCTGCTATGGAAGAGGATGCAACAGGTACAGGAAAGATACAAGAGATATAGGCTCATGCCATACAACAGAATATAATTCGGGCCTCAGCACTTTGGGGCCATAATCCAAAAGAGTATGATGGTAACTCTCTCTCTCTCTCTCTCTCTCTCTCTCTCTCTCTCTGTGTGTGTGTGTACAGTACTTTCTTTAACAGCAACTGCATGACAAGAAGGTACTTTTGAAACTTGCAAGGAATTCTAAAAGCAATCTGCAATATAACATGTTGTTACTGCTTAAACTGGGCAGGGTGAGAGATCCTTAATGGGTGGGTGTACACATTCATTGAAGGGGACACCTCAATGAGCTTTCATAGATTTATGCACAAATGGAGTATGTCTCAAAATGGGGAATCTATTCTGGAAGATGGGCCCTTTTGGCAAAACCCAGAGAAACAAATCACTAGCAACACTTGAGCTAGAGAGAATGGGGACACAATATTGTAAGTTATGTTCTAATTCCTCAGGGCCATCAATGCAGTTTGTTAATGCTAAATATTATTTTAATTTTTTCTAATATATAATCTGTGGTTTTGAACATAACTGCTTGACCCTATTTAGGATATTAAGGTACATATATCTGCCAGGGGAGCTGCTTATGGGAGCCACATTACTGCTAGGCTTCTTTCTTGGTTTCAGTTTCAGTATTTGGCGATGAGGGACATCAATAATGTTTAATATTTAAGGAAGGACAAGGCAACGTGAAGCATAAGGAGACAGGTCTCAAACTCCATTACACAGAGAGAGTCTGGAAGATCTGCAAACCCTTAGACTAGAGTTCTGAGATCTGAGGTCCTTTAGGTGTTGTTGGAATACAACTTCCATAAACCCCAGCCAGTATGGTATGGAGTCAGAAATTATGCGAACTCAAGAACATCTGAAGGGCCACAGGTTCCACATCCTTGCCTTAGGTATATAGTTGACTGCCCTGCCCCAATAATAAACTGCTTTTACTCAAGGTAAAAAAAAAAAAAAAAAGGTAAGGAACCCCTGGACGGTTAAGTCCAGTCAAAGGTGACTATGGGATTGCGGCACTCATCTCGCTTTCAGGCTGAGGGAGCCAGTGTTTGTCCACAAACAGCTTTCTAGGTCATGTGGCCAACTGCTTCTGGCACAACTGGACACGATGACGAGTGCCAGAGAGCATGGAAATGCTGTTTATCTTCCCGCTGCAGTAGTACCTATTTATCTACTTGCACTGGAGTGCTTTCAAACTGCTAGGTTGGCAGGAGCTGGGACAGAGCAACGGGAACTCACCCCTTTGCAAGGATTTGAACTGCTGACCTTCCGATCGGCAAGCCCAAGAGGCTCATTGATTTAGACCACAGCACCACCCGAGTTACTCAAGGTTCTCCATTCTTACCAACTAAGAAGTACAGTCATGAATGACAGAACAGTCTCCCTTTCTTGTTGCGTTAAATGGCAGCAGGCCTCAGAATACTTGCTTTATTACAAGTGGCTTTGATCAGATGTCTTGCTATTGAGCGGTTTGCCAAAATAAATGCAAATTTGACAAAACACAAAGAAGCCAGAGACAATTGCATAATTTTCAAAGAGACTAAACTCCATTTCCAGGAGACCAAATTCAATTGGCACCACCTACTGAGAGAGTATGTTTTAAAAGCTATAAAATGAAGGGATGTCTGACTTAGTCAATTATAAACAATTGCCTGTAATGATATCTGTTTTGACTCACATTGAATTACCCTGCTGTTTTAGCATGCATTGATATTTCTGTCTTGCTGTCTAAGACTTCCTAGCTGATACTTTAAACGGACAAGACAGGGCTCTTCTCAGTATATGCTAATGGAAGATAATACTACATATTTTAAAGGTTATATATGGATTCCTTTGAGATGTAAAATCAAGTCTGGTATCACAATGAGGGTTTTGATTGCTCCTGAGCTTCCATCTACAGGTTCACTGTGTATACCATATGCGTTCATGCACTTTAACACCAGAGAGACTTAAATGTAGTATGAAATGTAAAAGATTTTTTCAGCATTTACTATTCCACTCTTCATACAAACAATGATTCTCAGCACACCTTGCAGAAAAATAAAATAACCCCTCCCCCCAAAAAAATAGGAACATAGCAAGAAAAAATACCACATAAGACAGACTTAAAACTGTGAGATCTAAAATACCTGGGGAAATTAAAAGAGCTTTACCTAGTACCAAAAAGTTATCAAATTTGGAATGTACGTGTCAGAAAGAAGATGTCTAATGCAGTTTTCTTTGTGGTGTATGTGTGTGTTTGTGTTTGTGTGTGTTTCATTTGGATCAAACATGCACAACTCCCATTCTACACACACACACACACACACACACACACACACACACATACACACGAAGTAGTGAATTCCAGAATAGTATTTTCCAAATATTCTTCCATTTATATACATTACTTTATTTCCAATTAATCATTCTTACTCTTGATGGAAGAGGAGGTTAGGGAGAGAGGTGATAAGTCTGCTACCTTTGTCTAATTTATCTGAAATAGCAAATAATACTCACTAAACAACTCAGTGGCAATTGGTACTAGTAAATATCACCTTTTTATTTGGGGTGAGCTTCCACAAGTCTCCTGACAAGCTCTACTGAGACAAAATGAAAATGTGGTCATTTGTGATGATGAAACTCTTAAGTAGCAACTTACATGATCAATCAGTTCACGAACCATTCCATTCCATTGTCCGCTGGCATCATCCCGGGCTCCGTATTTTCCATCTTCCACCAGCCTTATCTCATAGGTAAATCCAAGGAAAGTTGATAGTTCCCTGAGGAGGTCGATGCAATATCCCTCAAACCTATCATTCCCATACAAAGGTTTATCAGACTTCTTGAACATCACATATGGCTCTTCCTGGAAAAAAATGAATGTAGAGAGGGAGGGAGACCCTTCAGTCACTGCAGTTCAGAACAAATGAATTGCTAATACATTTTAAAGATATAATTCTAAATCTGGAAAGATTGATTTGATCATGTTATATGGATACTATCATTGCATACACACAATAATTCATTTTTAAAGTAAGTAGATATAGCTGTAGTAGTTTCAGCTAAAATGGATTTCTTTCATCAATTAGTTATTGACACCAGTTGTATGGTTTGGCAATCAGCACTGGTTGAGGAGGACGAGTGCGGGGGGAGCGCACTGCCCTGGCAGTGCGATCCCGGTGGGGTGGCATCACGGCTGCCCCCTTGTCCGCGCTGGGAGTGCCACACCCCCAGGACACATGCCACGCCCCTGTAGGAAGCGCCAGCCCCGCCCCCGCATGCTCTCTGCCCCCCGGTGCCAGAGCATGAAGCTCTGCCACTGGCAATCAGCATTAACTGGTTCAAGATGAGAACATATTAACACAATGATTACTCTGAAATTGAGTGATGATGTTGTTATTCAAGACCCCATAATTGGAAAAAATGCACGCCAGTGGGTTCCTTTGTGGTTCACCGTCATAAATACCATTGCAGGAGCCAATGGGTCAATTCTGCAAAAATTTACCATTATCCCTAAGTTCCATTCTACAGGAACTTAGTCATGTGACTATCTGAGTATAGTTTGCTGGATAATGCTCAAGACATTTTAGTCTGTATTTACCGTGGCAAGAGCCATTGCTCAGTGGTAGAGCACATGTTTGGGGGAAGGGCCATAGCTCAATGTTAGATCCCTTCTTTGCATGCATAAAGTTTCAGGTTTAATCTTTGGTTTCTCTTGGTAGAGCTGGAACGACTTCTCTATGAAAATCTGGAGAACCGCTACCAGTTGGTGTAGACAGCCCTATGTTATATGGACACTGACATGACTTGGTATAAGACAGTTTCCCAGGTACCTATATTCTATTACAACAGAGCCTAGAATCATCTTAAATATGATCACTGATCCCCCTTAAAACGTTGCTTACATTCTTAAAGCTGTGAATGCCAGTGCTTTTTCAAATTATTTCAGAATACTGAAAAAACCTTCAGTTCTCCCACTGTCTTTCATGCACACAATTTTCTGCTCTGCACCATCAGTTTACGCTTCATCATTATATGAAAAAAGAAGCCTATGGACAAATTAAACTGAGGATCACACACAACCCAGTATTTTAATCTCTTTGAATTTCCAGAAGAAGCTTATGATGCATTTGCAGCTCTCCAGAGAAATATTTAGTCCATTAAGTAATGCATGAAATGGCAAACACATCCAACAATTGGCAGATCATTAGTAATTTGTTTCATAAGCACTGAGAATGTAAAACAAATACAGAATTTCTGATGATTTTCCAGGACTGTTTTCAATAAATACAGTGTTCCGAGGCATTGAAGAATATAATCCTGATTCCAAATGTTGGTCAGCAATAACTTTTAATGGGGCAACCACTTTAAGAAGAGGAGGTCCAATGCATCCATCCTGTCCCACACAGATTTTATACTTTTATTTGAACTCGGAGAAGCTTTGCAAACATTTCTGTCAATCTGCTGTTCTCTCGACAATCAGGTGTCTGCAACACACCCCCAGTTCTAGTCTAGAAGTATACCTATGGTAAAGAGGTCTCTCCCCTGTGTCTCTGTGCAGAAAAAAAATGTGAAAATTAAGTAACAGGGCTGCTAGCTTTCCAGCCCAGTTGAGAACATTTCTCTTCCTTGAAGAGCAGTCCGAGCATACTCACAGCTGTTCTCTTAAGGCCACACCGTAGAGCACATTCCCCTATCCTGCCAGGAAAGGGGTGTGGCTACCACTTTGAGCAGCTTCCTTTTTCAAATTAATATTCAATAAGAGAGAACCACAGTAGGCAGATAGTGTGATCATATTTCTATAATATCTATTTTTTACTTAATCATTTATATTTATATGAATGTGAAAGGGAGATTGGGAGGAGAAATGGTGAGTTGCTTCTGTGTGCTGCAACTTTCAGTACTTGTGTTTGATTGGAAACGTAGGGTTTGTGTGTGCCTTTTAGATGTGAAAGAAGTGAGGATGTTTTGCATTCCTGTTCTTTAGAAGTGTGTGTTTGTTTGGCTACAATGAAAACAGGATGCTGGACTAGATGAGCCTTTGGCACGATCCAGCAGAGTCTAGGGTTGCCATATTTCAAAAAATATAGCAAACCCCCAAAATTGTTGAGCCTTTTTTTTAGACACACCCCAAAGTTGTCCGGGAAAATCCAGATGTATGGCAGCCCTAGCAGAATCTTCTACTGTGATGATTATTAAAACACAAGCAGAAGTTCCTCATAGGGAAGGAAGGTCACTATTGAATGCTCATGCCATTTATTTCTGCAGCTTATAGTTCTTAATCATATATCTTCTACTCAAGTCTGTGAGAGTAAGCTGTGGTTTGCAAGGAGGTGGTGCTAACAGTTAACCCCCCCACCAAGCTTCATAATACTTTGAATAGAATATTGCCTGCACAGTTTTTCTTCCTCAATAAGCCGATTGGCAAGAATATCCTTGTCAGTTTATACCTTTAAAAACAAGCATACCAGACGATCTGGAGATTTAACTTTAAATTCCTCCTCTGACACTGGCTCATTTTGTGGGGTTGGGTACATTACCCTGGTATCCTTTCAATCAAAGGGGTATTGAACTAGCCATAGCTAAAAGCAGAAATGAAACAATACTCAAGGAGCAGGTTAGATGCAAAGGAAATATATTATGTCATAACAAATTTGTTTTTATAAATAATTTTTGTTGATTTTTCCATTTTACATGTCAAAACAACTGAACATGCTACTACATAAAGTAGGGCAGTGTAGAGGATGGTTCAGATGAGAACTCAACTGTGCAGGGCTTCTATGTAGTACAGTGGTACCTCGTGTTAAGTACTTAATTCGTTCCGGAGGTCCGTTCTTAACCTGAAACTGTTCTTAACCTGAAGCACCACTTTAGCTAATGGAGCCTCCTGCTGCCGCCGCGCCGCCGGAGCACGATTTCTGTTCTCATCCTGAAGCAAAGTTATTAACCCGAGGTACTATTTCTGGGTTAGCGGAGTCTGTAACCTGAAGCGTATGTAACTTGAAGCGTATGTAACCCGAGGTACCACTGTACAGGATCATGGGTTGCGCTCTGCCTGCACACCCCACCTAGGCAAGCTTCTCCCAGCAGACAGCCACACATTGGGTTTTGCTGAAGACCCACTTGCAAAGCCCAATATTTATAGGCCTGGGTATCCTGATTGTGACCTTGATTCAGTACAACCAGCAGCAGGCTGGCCTCACCAGGAGGTCCAGGTTACATGTCTCACACTCACCCAGCCGTTGCTCTTTTTCACAGGGCCCACTTTGCAAACTGCTCAAGATCCAAACTGCAACTATTCTTGTAACTTAGCTAATTCCTTTCTTTTCCTGCTTGCCTTGCCAGAATTATAAACCCCACTGGCTATAAATCTCATGGAGTTTTACTCTTTTGCATAAATATAAGCCATGAAGCAAGCAAGCAAACAGACAAAAAGTGAAGAATTCACTGGGAGCAAAATCCCTGCTCCAACGCAAAGATTTCAAGAGTCTTGAAAAATGGCCTATAGCCCAATACAATATAAAACATGGTGCTCTAAGGCAAAGATGAGATGTGTGGAGAGCCGGTAATATACCAAGCCAGGAATGCTTCATACACAAACACCCTCCAGTACTTCAGAAAAGATAAATTATTTAGAACTCCTAGTCATGTCAGCTCATATTGACTTTGTCTCCCAGTGGAGTTGCACAGAGACCAGAAGCAATCCCAGATCAGCTCACTCGCAAGTGTTATGTCTGACCACATTTCTTTGAAAAAGTCATTAGAGTCACAGAACCTACTTCAGAATAACTTCCAAAGCATTCATTCATATTAAAAGCTGACAATGCTCCAAGCAACCAACTTTATCTATTTATAGGTTACCTCAACGTTTAAACCCTGAAGATGTTTTAATCCTATAGAATTAATCGTGCTGCATGTGTGAAAAGTTGAATCCACTAAGATCATAGCACACAAGACTTGATCAACTTAACATTCTGTAAATAGTTTTCTTTATCATTTCATATCAACTTTTTTTTAAAAAAAGTGAACTCTAAACAGAATTTGTTCTCTGCTATTGTCAGCCACATTACTCTTGATCAATGGCATGCCACACTAGCGTGATTCCTTATGGCCTACTTCTTGTTTACATTATAGTTTTAATACAGCCAAAGGTTCTCTGGTTTCTTCAAATTAATATAGTAGCATCTCTACCCAATAATCCAAATAGATTGAATTTTATGCATACTGAAGGTAAGAGATCTATAAATAGATACACAGATACACCCACACATTTCCCATAGATACTTTTAAGTTGGTGTTTATCTTCACTAATTACATTTCCTTTTCTCTGCCTGCCTCTGCACTGTGTTGTTCCTGGTTTTGTGGAACAAAGACAGAAACTTCCATAAGCAAACCACAGATGTTCGCTGAGCTTTTGATACAAGAGACCTCAAACACAAAAGCTTTGCAGCTTCTGCTGTTCTGTAGTTGGCCACACCTCTTCACTTCTTAACTGCAGGGCTAAAAGCAACAAGGAACCTTACTCTCACATGCCCCTTTTCTTTGTCTGCTCACATTGAACTTGGGTAACTGGGTTAATTCTTATAATAAGCAGGAGACATGTTCCCCATACTGGATTTTCCAGCAGTGACCTGGGGAGGCTCCCAGTTGAATGTCCCTGATCAGGAGTAAAAATTACTCTCATTAGTATAAGGCAGCTTCCCATGTTCCTATGTCACACCATTAGTCCATCTAACCCAGTACTGTCTACACACTGACCATTAGTGGCTCTTTGGGTTTTCAGAAAGGGTCTCTCCCAGCTCTACCTAGAGTGGCTGGGCATTCAACCTGGAACCTGCTTGTGAAGCAGCTGGTCACATTTAGGGTTTACTTTAGGCTTTCTTTTTAATGTGATAATCAAATTGATTATTAGTATCTAGTAAGTATGGAATTTCTAAACAGACCATGACTCACTAAATATACAGTGGTACCTCAGGTTACATATGCTTCAGGTTACATACGCTTCAGGTTACATACTCCGCTAACCCAGAAATAGTACCTCAGGATAAGAACTTTGCTTCAGGATGAGAACAGAAATCGTGCTCCGGCGGCACGGCAGCAGCAGGAGGCCCCACTAGCTAAAGTGGTGCTTCAGGTTAAGAAGCGTTTCAGGTTAAGAACGGACCCCCGGAACGAATTAAGTACTTAACCCGAGGTATCACTGTATTTTCTTATTGCAGACATTCTGCAGTGTTTTTATTCCATTTTAAGTGTGGAAATGTGGTACTGTTAAAAAAGAAAAAAAGAAAGATGGTCATATTTGAAGCACAATTATAGCCATGTTTGTTCAGAACTTACCCTTACGTTAGCCATGGATATCAGGATTACAATCTTAGAGAAAGAAATCTACTGCTCACTATGGCTTTGAGAATTTAAAAGGGCTGCCATATCTAATTAACATTTATGTCAGATATGAAGAGTACACAAAGGGCTTTTACATTTAGCAGTTTGGACTTCAGAAAGATAGAGACCTAAAGTTGTCCAAAAACCCATACAGTCAGTCAAAACAATTTAATGTCTTACTCTGACATGCTGCTAGCCACTTGACAAGAGTCTCAGGCCAGGGGCAGACCTAAAGCAAGATGAACTGCTCATACACACTTAGTCTCTCATTGCCATGGGTCTAATTAAACAACTGTGGCTACAATTAGCAGGTTAAGCACTTTTAAGTCCCATTGATTTCAGTATGACAGATGTGTGCTCATGTTTACTGAAATCAAAGCAACTTAAATGTGTTTTTCTAGGGTTAGGCTGTGCTGCTGCTGCTTCTTCTTTTAATGAAATCCATCTAGAAGCAGTAACATGAACAGTCTCACCAAGTATGGCTAACACTGTGTGTGGATATTGGCACCTAAAGGGTAGGACAAATTAGAAAGGACTGAGATGTGTGCACTATAAAAACTATGTGCAATATGAAACGCAAGCCAAATAAAATGGAAAGGTCAAATAATCTGAGTACATTTAGATTTCAGTTGAAGACAGATTTTGGTTGATAACTAGGAGAAACTACTTAATGGTTAAAAAAAATAAATCTTATGGGAACTTAAAGATGAAAAAGTCTACTGCAGCACACATTTTCATGGGCTCTAATTCACTTTATGAAAGTGAAATGACACAAGAAGTCATTCAAAGATTGACCAGAGGTTTAGGTGCTCCTTGGTTGCCTTGACGCAACCTTTCTCAACCCTGGGTTCCTAGATATTGTTGGACTACAACTCCCATTATCCCTAACTGCTTGGCCCTTCTCACTAGGGACTATTGAGAAGAGGGCTCTGGTGTATTGGGGTTGACCCTTCCTGGTATAGAACTCATTCCTTTTCTATTGTGGATGTTACCACAGCAGTGCTATCTAGGGTTAGTGTGGATGACATCAAGGCATTGAGGTGATGGAGGTCTGAGGCTTATATGTGTAGTGGAGGGGAAGCCTGATTCTTTATTTGGTTGGTTGTTTTTTGCTCTGTTTTTAGAGCTGCATAGAGGATGTGTGGATGCTTGGAGGTGTTAGTTTGTTGATACAGTCAGAGGACATCGAGATCAAGACATGGCATCCAGTTGGGGTTCTCCCAGTATGCTACTAATCCATGTTTCTGACCAGGAACTCTGTAGTGCAGCAAATGCCAGTGGGCTTGCTGTCACAGCCTATCAAACGAGCTGTGCTGACAGAAAGCCTCCCTTGCCAAAGAACAATCAAGAGCAATTTAAGGCTCTTGATTGTTCCTTGGCAGCCACATTTCTACCACTTACCATACTTTAGATCACGTTTGAAACCAGATGTACTATAGTTGGGCATGGAAAATGGCCTCATGCGACACAGTAGGGGCCATGCTGCAGGCTGAGGTGTCCTCATTAGTCCTGCAGGCTGAGGTAAATAATGTAAGGTAAAGGGACCCCTGGCAGTTAAGTCCAGTCGCGGACAACTCTGGGGTTGCGGCGCTCATCTCGCTTTACGGGCCGAGGAAGCCGGCGTTTGTCCACAGAAAGCTTCCGAGTCATGTGGCCAGCATGACTAATCTGCTTCTGGCGAACCAGAGCAGCACACGGAAACACCGTTTACCTTCCCGCCAGAGTGGTGCCTATTTATCTACTTGCACTTTGATGTGCTTTTGAACTGCTAGGTTGGCAGGAGCTGGGACCGAGCAATGGGAGTTCACCCCATAGTGGGGATTCGAACCGGCGACCTTCCGATCAGCAAGCCCTAGGCTCAGTGGTTTAGACCACAGCAATGTAGCACCTAGCAAAGAGCACTACTGATGATCTTCATTCGCATGCATCTGGAATGCCAGCTGCATGATGTTCCATATGATCCTTGACTTCTCCAGTTGGCAGGCTGCATTTATAGCATGCTGCTCTTCAAGGGTTATATTTTTGTTTGATAGTACCCCAGTGAAACTGGCTAAAGCAGAAACAGCAGAAATAAAAATAATAACCCTTGCAATCCTCTGTACCCTTTTGGTTACTTTGCAATGGGTCCTGTGGTGTCTGAAAAGGATCTAACTAGAAAAGCGGTGAGTATTAGCTGAAACACATTTGATTTGAGGTTACCCACCCCCCAACCCAGTTATCCTAGAGAGCTTTATTCTGGGCGGTCAGAATACAGAACTGAGCTCCTCTGTCAATGCTTTTCTAAATTAGAAAGCACTGTAGAATGAAAAATGAAGGGGTGTTCCATTTTACGCTGCTCAGCAAAGATGATAGAAGTGAAGCTATTAGTAGTTTAGCAACAATTGAAAGCCATGATTCAGAGCCAGAAGAATGCCATCTCGTGCACACAGTTTTCCCTTCATTGTCATCATATGAGCCTCCACCCTGCCAAAACTCTTTAGCAAACAACAACAAAATGCAAAGAACTTTGCACAGAGCTCACTTCCTCAGACGCTTCATGATTTATGATGCTGAAGAGCCTTTTGTGGTTCCCTATTTATCTGCCAAAGTGGGCTGGACTCTGTCTTATGCTCCTACTGTAGTATTTCTTTTTTTAAGGATTGTGCTGGAAAAGCTAATCTAGCAAAGTATTGAGATGCAAGAGACATGTCTAAGATATTTCATGCTGATAATTAAACCTTCTGTTCTCAAATAGACATATTGCATTACTTTATCCCTGCCCTGAGGGCAATTAAAAGTATCAGGACTAAGAAGCTTTACTGATACAAGCTTACTGTTTATTATTATTATTATTATTATTTGATTAAAATGAGAGCTAAAATGGGGGGAGTTCAGCATTCTTCTTTTTTTTTAAGGGAGTTATAATGAGTATGGGGTTGCTCGTGCGTAAGTTGCCGCCTCTCCTGGCTATGTTGCCTTGTTAAACCTTTCTGTCTGGACAGCCCTTCAATTCGTGGCTGCCTCAGTCGCTAGCAGAATCCGTCAGTGGGCGTTTCTTAAACCTCTTCCAACATAAAAGTTGTTTGATGCCCAATCTCCTCCTACTCTCCCTGCGTTGAAGTCTTCTGCGCAGGGAGGGCGTGGGAGGCGGAGGACCCGTGCTCTCCCCACTGGTGTCCAGTGAAGAGTCCTGGAGCCCTCTCGCCGATTCCCCCATCTGCCCCCCTTTATCCCTGGTGTAACGTTGATTTGCTTCCCCCTCTGCTGAACTGCCTCTCTCCCTGCTTGGCCCTTCTCTAGCATCATTTGAGAGCCTTCCCTCCGCCTCAGGCTCCGATGTCAGTTCCCTGACAGGAGTAATGGGCATTTTCCCCACAATGGAAAAGAGCACATATGGGGGGGAAATTAATCATACAGGTTATATAGGATGATGCTGAAAAGTCTCACTATTGCTTTTGGAAAGAATATCCTGGTGATGAATTGATTTTAAGTTCAGTCTAAACCATGCATTCTCTCTCTCTCTCTCTCTCTCTCTCTCTCTCTCTCTCTCTCACACACACACACACACACACACACACACACACACAATGTATATATTACTTTCTCCAAACCGACAATGGTAGCTTTTGTCTAAACTTTAAAATGTTAAGGAACCATAAGAACGCTAAATGATTAGTCAGCTGAGATCATAGCACTTAAAATGAATTGCCATTATCATAAAAATCCCATAACTAAATTAACATTTCAGATCATTCATTATACAGTAATTGCCAAATAAATGTAAAAGACATTTGCATACTGGTCATTGCTTTGTAAGTAATATGACTTTTCTTCACAGTTTTAACGTTCAGCTGAATTTCTAGAAAACAATTGCACATATGATTACTTACCAAGATGGTGGTTACAGTTAGGGAACGATTAGATAAGGAATCAGTAATGTTTGCTGGTTTTCCTTTCTGGTTCTCGGTCATGTTAAGTCCACTTGCAGGATCCCAAGTTCCAATCTATAAAACAGCATGTGCACTTATATGAGTTCTTTTCAGGCCACTAGGACAGAACAATATAAGATAAAAGTGAAATCTGCTAACACTTATAATTCACCTCTGGTCCAATATCTGCTACCATTTGTGAAAAAGCAGCTTGCTTAAAATATTATTCACTGTGCTTCAAAATGTGTCTCACAAAGTAAAAAATGGTGTTCAGAGTATTGAGTGCTTAATTTTCCACCCAAACATCTATCCTCCAAGAAAAGTACACATCTGCAGACTGATAGCTCACTGAACGTATATTTACAATGCACCTGCTTTCCTCTGCTTTAAATGGATCCGTCCTTTTCTCTTCCAATACTATGAAATTTCCATTGTTATATAGCAAATACATGTTGCATTCTACAAGCACAGTTAACATTTTCAGAGGTCAGTGGAAACATCATGGCCATTTCCCAAATTCAAGGAAGTTTTTTTTCAAGTAGGAACTCCTATACCTCTCTGTCATGTTACAACGATGGATTGTTCCAAGCATAGATAGATTCCTGGCTGCCACATCTGATCCGCACCAGGAATTAACTAGATAACAAGTTAAAAGAAATTGCTAGCTTTTAGTATTTTAACTAGTGAAAATTTTCAACTGTCAGTCTTTAATTTTTGAAATCTGGCTTCCACAGGGTTTTCTAATACAGCTCACCTCTAGAATTCTGCACGGAGCAACAATAATTGTTTGTTGATGCTCTAGGACAGCCTTTGCTAACCTGGAGTGCTCCAGATGTTGGGAATCAAATTCCCATTACCCCTGCCCATTAGCAATGCTAGCTGGAGCTGATCAAAGTTGCTATCCAACAACATCTGGCCAGCACCAGATTGGAGAGGGGTGCTTTAGGACTTCTTGTTTGAGGGACAGAGAGCAGCATGTCTTCCTATGAAACATTGTCACTTAAGAACTGCAGTTCCCAGAGTTTCTCAGTTCACATTGGCATTGACAGGGCAGCCAAGCTGGCTACGGCATAGCTATCAACTTACAGATTTGAAAATAAGGGACCAGCAACCTTGAAAATAAGGGACCAGCAGCCAAAATAAGGGACCTGCAGCCTCACCTGTTCCAGGCACTCCAGTCTTCCTGTCCTCCTGCAGTCTGGTCAAACTCATGCTGGGTAGCTTTGAGAACACTGTCCAACCAACTTTGTAACCAGAGGTTCAAATGAATAGAATCTGAATCACATGCACTACAAGGCCTATGCAGCCTCAATTTAAGATGGCTCCCTGGCATGGCTTTGCACTGCAAAGTTTGCAGCAGCACGTGCAACAAAATGGCGTCCAGCATTCAAAACCCCCCCTCAGCTTGCATTAACTAGCCACACACAAGGCATGCAAGCTCCATCCCCCAGTCGTTCTTAGACTTCCTATTGGGTGAGCAACACAGCCAAGCAACACAGTTGGAGCATCCCACCTCCCTGGCCGGCAGGGAGGGAGGGAGAGGAGCTGCTTCCTTTGAAATTTAAGGGACATCATTTAAGGGACATTTAAGGGACATCCATCAATAAGGGACAGCAGCGGGACATGGAGCTGGAATAAGGGACTGTCCCTTCAAATAAGGGACACTTGACAGCTATGGGCTACAGGAAAGGGAACAAGCACAAAGAAAGAAAGACACTGATCCCAGTAAGAGTGGCAGTCATATATGCTGATAAAAAATGTACAGGCCCCAGAAGATTAAGTAAGAGTAAATAAGATATCCTTAATGTAAACAGTTATAAGCCTATCAAGGGATTTATGCCATTGGGATTTTGTGATAAAAATTATTTCCGAATTCTGGACATTTTGAAAGTAGTGCTATGGTTCTTGATCTAACACAGGTTTGGCAAATCATTATTCTGAAAACTGTATGACAAATTTAACTGTTTTTAAGCAAAGCAGGGCAAGGTCTCAGTAAACAGAGTACAGTACCTTTGTGGGTTTATGGCAAACTTGCCCATTGCAATTGAAAATGAAAATTCAGCAAGATTTATAAATTTTCACAAATCAACTTCATTTATAACTAGTTATTCTCTTTTTAATTTGTAATTGAAAATGGAAATGTTTAACTTTTCACTTAACTTCAGCAGGGTGAACAAATGAGCAGAGCTAGCATACTCATCCCTGCTGTTTATTATACACTGTTACAGAATGCTAGGAGAGGGCTACTGTTGGTAATAAATAAATGAAATACTAATGGTTTCAAAGTAGTATAATTAAAATATGTTTCCTTTGCTTTATAACTGGGTGTGCTGAATTTTATTTGCTTAGGCCCATAAGGTCTGAGGATTTTTAAAAAAACAGAAATCACTTACTTTAATTAACTGGTATCCATTAGTATGTGTTATTTGACTTTTTAAAATGGTTTAAGAAGTCTTTTCAGAAGAGCACATACATGTGCTTGGCAGGTGTGCTACTGAGCACATTATCTCTTGATGTTCCAGGAGAGGTGTGAGGGGAGCTCCAGCATATTATGCCATGGATCCTAATTCACCGCTATTGTTAACCAGTAAGGCAGCATAATAATGTTCCACTAAAAGCTATTTCTCCATGAATGAAAGTTTAAGTGTAAGATTAACCTTGACACCAAATCTGCTGCAGTTAATTTGCCCGGCACAAATGTTTTTATTCTAAAGCTGCTTTAAAAAAACCTGAATAGGTTTGATAATATGTGCTCAACTGGAAGCTAGAAAACAAGTCCCTCTAGCCAAAACATGTGCTGCGATCAAACCCATGTACTAGCTCAAAGCTTAACAGCCTCCAACATTTCATAGATGAAAAACATTCCAGAACATGGGTGGTGAGACTAGGAAAAGACATTGGCAGAAACAATGGCAGAGTATTGGACAAACGTAGAGTGAACTAAATGCATATATATCACAAAGAAAAAGCAGGAACTAGAAGTACAAGGAAGCAGATAATTCTAGATTACAACAGTATACAGCAGGTTCCCTCAACCTCGGCCCTCCAGATATATTGAGACGACAATTCCCATCATCCCTGACCACTGGTCCTGCTAGCTAGGGATCATGGGAGTTGTAGGCCAAAAACATCTGGAGGGCCAAGGTTGAGGAAGCCTGGTATAGAAGCAAGCTTCATGCTACATAGCATGAAGACCATCTTGTCTGGGGGACTTACTCCCTGCCCTGCAGGCCTCTTTCACCTTCTCCTTACCATCTGTGAATATGTAGCACAGATCACATTCTATCATTCTTCTACACAACATGGAGAATATAAGCCAATAGCTACCACCAGGAATGAGTAGAAAGTGAAAGAATCACACAGTCATCCAAATAGCATATTATTGGCGAGAAGACACCAGGCAAAGGCCATCACCATTTCTAAATGAAACATGTGCCTTTGTTTTTTAAGATCAAATCCCCATTTCTTCTTGCTTGAAGTGGTTCTTTGTTCAAACACACGGCGCGCGCGCACACACACACACACACACACACACGAGTATGGCTTGTTGTTTGATTTATGGCATATGCTGCCTTAGGTACAAAGAGCTATTACAGGGACTCGTCAGAGATTTCAGTGTGCCCAATGGATGTTTTTTTAAATCTTTACGGGTGATATCCAATTTACATTACATGCCCATTGAGTTCCATGGATCTCCTCTGAGTATCACTAATCTTGAATATCACCCTAAAATTCTGAACAGAAGTTTCTCATACTTTATCACATGCTGCTATTGTAACTCTCGTCAGTTTCAAAAGAGGTTCGCCAGGTGACCAGGAGACCTATTCTCATTAACCACATTAAAGGTTTCCTCGGGTAAGTGAAAAAAGTAACAGAATACTTTGGATCCAAGTCTTTATTATAGCACCAGGAAGCAAACAAACCAAGCAGACCAATAATAACAACATCCTACAAAAAAAGCATACTCAATTATTAGAATAAACCAAATGTTAAAGCTATACTTTGCATTTGGGCATCAGTCATAGCGGTTGTATTAAACTAAGTTATACTCAGAGTAGACCCATTGAAATTAATGATGCTAAGTTAGTCATATCTAGTCATTTCAATGGCTCTATTCTGAGTAGAACATTACAACCCCATAGAAGTAAATGATTTTTGTGATGTTCTTTATTAAAGCTAAGTCCAATATTCTGTCACACTCAATGTAGTTCAAACTTAGCTCAAATTGATTCTACCACTAAGTATAAATGGACAAGAGTAGTATTTTGAAATGATATATCAGTTATAAGTAAATAGTATCTTAAGTACCTTTTCAAGGCCTTCCTCCTTCAAGCTAATTACATCTAAGTCAAAATCTGTCCTTAAGCCATTGGTTTTGTTGAAGGTTATCCTGCCAGTGAGGCCTTCCCAGTGAGCCTATGAAAACAGAAAAATAATAATAAATTTCATATGTAAGCAGTAAGAGAGAGGGAAGGAATGAATGAATAAATTAATGTCTGCCAAAATGGAAATATTAATTATTCATTAAGTTTAAATGATTTTCCTTGTGGCCAGAGGTTTTTTTTTAGCATATTTCTTGGATTCCCAGCATTCTTTTGATAATTAAACAAACTTTTCCTTAATCTCTACATACAATTTCTTAATTGCCTTCCTTTTCCACACACACAAAATTCATCTTGCTAGGTTGATAAAAGGCTGACATTTAATTTTTTTAAATTTTCTCTTTAGGAGGTACAGATTTTTGTTTCACCTTTGCTATTTTGCAATGTGCAGCCAATATGTGTCTCCCAGAGATTGTTGGACTATAACTCCCATCATCTCTAACCTTCTGGCCGTGCTGGCTATGGCTGATGGGAGTTGTAGTCCAAGAACACTTGCAGGGCACCATGTTGTCTATCCTGACACTGACAATTCCACAATGTTATTTGCTAAGAAATCAAGAGCATTTACCTTTACATTATCCAAATATGTTCTTTTTACACAATTAAAATAAAAAAGACTTATTAAGTATAACATGAGAAGAAACTAATAGGTTCATAAAATGTGAATGTCACTAAAGTATAGCAAATCCTTTGGTAAAGCAGAGAGCATACTATGGACATAGCTGATCTAGTGAAAAGGATTTCACAAAATTTGGCATGAAAGGAGTGTAGGCCATCCTAAAAATACAGCACATAGTTCTTATATTTTAAATTGTTATGATCATTTACCCAGCAGAACAGAGGATGTTGCCTAGCAAAATGATTCATTTTATTTGTTTATTATTCGGATCATTGTACCTCTTCCCCACGTTAAACATTTCAGTGCATATTGTTAGCAAAAGGTGTATTTGACTAGAATTTCAAAGCCAAAGGACCTTCAGGTCTGAACTTTTGCAGAGGGAAGACAGGGGGAGGCAAGACGAGACACATTTGGTTAGTGACGTACCTCTTTAATGAGATTCATGAAGCGCGTCCCAAAGCGCCACGGTTTGTGCCGATTACACTGCAACGAACTGACAGTCATCTGTGGGAACTGCTGGACAGCCACCGACACCACATGAACGGCATCATACATCAAAGCTGCGTCCGTCTGCAATGAGAGCACAAACCCCACTGTGAAAACAGCCCAGCTGAAGGTGTGTGACAGTCAACAGACAAAGAAAGAGGAAGACACACATTCTCCCACCTCTGTTTCGAGGCAACAACAACAATGGCTTATTGAACAAAAGCTGCAGACACACCATATACTGAGAGCGCCTTTAAAACACGCCCCCCCTCCCCGGGGAAAAAGAACACTGGGAACAATAGTTTGTTAAGAGCACTGGCAACTGTAGCTCTGTGAGGGGCAAATTACAACACACATACCGTTCTCTGTTACTGTGTAAAAGAACAGGTTTTTTTATATATAAAAATGCTCAGGACAGAAATGAACAATGCTTCATTCAACTACTTTCATCACCCAAAGTTGACATAATCAATTTCTCCTCTAAATTACAACACAAAGTATCCATATTTATTTCAGCCTACCACTTCCCAAATAAAAGAGTGTGCATATATAAAGTCCCAAGTTAGTACAGTGGTACCTTGGGTTACAGACGCTTCAGGTTACAGACTCTGCTAACCTGGAAGTAGTACCTCGGGTTAAGAACTTTACCTCAGGATGAGAACAGAAATCGCACGGTGGTGGCACAGCGGCAGCAGGAGGTCCCATTAGCTAAAGTGGTACCTCAGGTTAAGAACTGTTTCAGGTTAAAAACGGACCTCCAGAACGAATTAAGTTCTTAACCCGAGGTACCACTGTATAGTAGAGCATCCGTTTCTGCTGCACACACGTTATTATAATGTAATAAGGCAAGCATTTTTCGACAGCCAGTCTGGCAGTGTAATATACCCATTGCCTCATGCTAGAAAAGCTCAAAATGGTGATCCAGTGGGCCCTACACATCTGAAGCAATACGTGTACATAAACGTTAGGAGTGTGCACAACACCACAAGGAACCATCCATGCCTACTTTCATGCATCTTCTGAAAACTGTCCTGTTTAGACAGGCCTTCACAATAATGAACTAGTATCTATGGAAGTTTTAAATTATTGCTTCCTCCTTTAGTGTTTTGTGGGCAATGGTTGGAAAACTGCAGACATGAGAGAGGTGCCACTGAACAAGAAGACAACAACAGGTGAGTAGAGGGGCTTTGTGTTAGCCAACTTTAAAGTTGATTGGGGGAGCGGAATAATTTCTAACCAATGAAACTGTGAATTATAGATTGGAATAAGAAAACTTGCGGAAGGGAAGGACGGAAGTCAGCGGCTCTATGGAGCATAAAGTAGGATATTTGTAATATGTAATAAGATTTGATGTTTTTGTTGGTCGGTGTTGGTGTTCTTAAATCTCAATAAAAAGCATTTGGGGGGGAAATAAAGTTGATTGGGGGAGGAAGAACTAAAGAGGTTTTATTTTCAGGATAAATTATGATTTTTTTCTCCCTGATTACAAGCTTATGACTGGTCACCATTAAGTGTTCCTTCTCCTCTCTTCCCAACTCTCTCCCCCCATCAGTCCACTCTAAAGTTATGGCATTATGGAAATCTTAAAGCCATTATTTCTGCTTTCAGCAGACAGTTGTCTGCAGCATTTTAAAGAAACATGTCTAAAGATTGCCTGCTAAAGATTCAAGCTGTCTTGCAGAGGTCTTGCTGTGCCTCTGACAAGCCCAAAATAGCTCCAGAGCATCTCAGTTCACCTCAGGAGTCATCCAAATCCAATGTGTATCCCTAATAAACAAATATTCACATGTACAAATTGTTTGTGAATACTCCGGGGTATACACTGTAAACAGAATTAACTATACTTATAAGAAACCTTTTACTTCAACAGATGACAGGAAGCCTCTATCCATAAGTTGTTTTAAACTGTTCTTAATAACGTTTTAACCTGCCCTGGGACCTTAGGGTGAAGGGTGGGAAATAAATAAATAAATAAATAAATAAATAAATAATAGGCTTGGGTTAATATTAAAAAAATATATATAGTGGTACCTCGGGTTAAGTACTCAATTCGTTCCGGAGGTTCATTCTTAAGCTGAAATTGTTCTTAACCTGAAGCACCACTTTAGCTAATGGGGCCTCCTGCTGTTGCCGCGCCGCTGGAGCACGATTTCTGTTCTCATCCTGAAGCAAAGTTCTTAACCTGAAGCACTATTTCTGGGTTAGCAGAGTCTGTAACCTGAAGCGTATGTAACCCGAGGTACCACTGTATGTTGAAGTGTTTAATGGATTTCTGAGTTTGGGTGTGGGAGAAGAACTATTTTTTTCCTAAAGGACACAACTCATATGGGATTTACTCCCACAAGATGTCATGATGGCGACCAACTTGGATGGCTTTAAAAGAAAGATTATACAAATTAAAGCTACCATTGATGGAGACAGTATGCCTCTGAATACCAGTTTCAGGAAAATCCCATGAGGAGAATGCTGTTGTACTCAGGTCCTGTTTGTGAACTTCTGTTAGACCGGCCGGCTGGCAAGGCACTGCCCATTTAGCGGGGCCTCTGATTGGCCTATTTGAAGCTGGTATTTTGGTGGGGGATCCCCACTCCTTGATTCTGCTGGCAGGCTAGTTTCCCTAATGGCTGGCAAGACATGTGGGCCCTAGCTGCCAGGGGGATGGCGAACAGAGGTGAAGTCCTCAACCATCGCCCACCAGAGAAGAAGCAAGCAACCACTGTGAGCTTCCAACAGGCATCCGAGAACAGAATGCTGGACAAGATGAGCTCTTGTCCTTATCTAGGAGAGCTCTTCTTGTGTTCTTATAAGAAGGCAGCTTTGCAGACTAGGTGAGAAGATATGAACTCCAAACCAGTTGTTCGGAAAACGGGCTTGTTGTGCCGCCTCATGGACAAACTTAGTGAGCTGTGAAATAAGTTCATTAACAACACGGAGCCTAGTGATGGCTGCATTTGTCATAACGCAACACAATACAGAATGAATGTCTATAGTTCCTTTCATGCAGATGAATCCCAAACTCAGCTTACAATAAAACAAAACATAAAAATGCAAAAGTGTTCTCTATTGTTATAGACCGTAAGTTGATGCTAAAGAAAGAATTTAAGTTTGGATGTAAATGAGCTTCCTGCAGTGGCATTTCAAAACCAAAAAGGTGATAAATCTCAGGCTTGAAATAGCTTGTAGAACAGCATCACGTAGTGTCTAAGGCATCTAGTGCTGTGCTCAGGTTTTAACTTCAGTCAAAACATCAGAGTTCCCAAATTGTTCTCTGACTTATAACTCAAAGTGCTTTTAAGGCTAATTTGATACCTTTGTGGGAGCCTATACATCTCCTGAAACCTGGCATGACATGTTGAAGCTGTTTTGTAGAAGTTAAGATTCTGGCAACAGCATTTCATGCAAGTTAAAGCCTAGGCAGCACTCTTTTCCCAGAGAAGCCATAAAACAAAAAGCAGAGCATACCTGTCTGACAGAAAGGCACAAAAAGGAATGTTCCAGGACCATCCCATAAATCTGTATCATCACCTGATTTCTAACTACTTTCCTAAGCTGTATGTTCTAACAATTCCAGGTAACCAATAGAAACCAATATTCAAGGATATGTACAGTGTATGCTAAAAAAAAAATTTGTTTAAATTCCGGGCAAGAAAATCTGAGTTCTAAAACTGGTATAGATGATGCAAATCAAACCATTGTGCTTTTAATCTATTATTATTATTAGGCTTGTTAGTCATGGGAAAGAACAATGAAGTACACTGAAATATTGAGCAGAAATATTATTCATGCATACCCTCCCATGACTTCGCTTTTTAAATCTTCTTAAACATAAGGACTACAAAACTGATTCTTTAAATCAACGTAAGATTCCCAGAATTTTGTGGCTAATACTACATTCCATACCCAATTAGAATTGAAGAATACTCACATTCCTACTAATTGTCTGAAGAGCTATAGCAAAGCTACTACCTAATGTTCATTTTAGTCTCGTGATCATACCAGAAGTCATCACACAGTCCTTGACTCCTCTTGATTCCAAAAGATTTGACTCAATTTTTTGTTCTAAATAGCCCACAATTAATAAATAACTATTTGAGATTTTAAGGAGAACAAAGAATTGCACCTTTTTGGAGAATGATAAAGGCCAGAAATAAAGGAAATTATGCAAAATGAAAGTACTGTAACTGTAACAATTGCATAAGAAGTCTCCAGAAAACCCGAGTATTAACAAGTTCTCATCACATCTTTCAACTGTTTAATGAAAAAGAAACAACAATATTCAGCACAACATTTATTTTTATTCTGAAACAGAAATAAAACACCACCAACTAAAGTCAAATTCCATTAAACCAAAGGTCTAATTCACAATTCAACTAAACATTGTACCTGTTTTCAAACAAAGCTAATAAAATTAGGCACAGAAATGGAAATGAATTTAGCAAGGAAGAGGTTTCTGTGTTTTGTGCTTCTTTCTTTGTTTCTTTGTTTTGTAGATACTGAATTAAATGTAGAACATGGACTGGTATCCCATTCAAATTGTTTAAAAGCAAAAAGACTGATGTATGAGTTATGGTAGAGAAAGTGAAGTGCTGCCACATTTGATAGGCTCCCAAGCAAGATGACTTCCATTCGTCCCTGCTGCTGTTCAGCTCTTCTTTATTTCCTTTTTAAAACAAATATTGATAGTAGTGCTCGTTTCCTTCTTTCCTGACTGGCTAGAGAAGCGTACAAGGCTAGACCACAGTATGCACTGCAGAGTTCATCAGCTGACTCCATCCCCTAGGCCCTAGCCGCCTGCACTTTAATTTAAATAAATTCTACCTCAGGGCAAGTTTGGCACTCAGCGGCTCAGCCAATCAGACACTAATTTCGGAGAAGCAGTACCAGACAGGGTGCTTGAATAGCAAAGTGGCTGGCCAAGAGCTCAGTCTAGCCCAGTGGATCCCAAAGTGGGTGTTACTGCTCTCTGGGGCTGGTGAAATTACCTTAGGGGGCACTAAGAAGCAAGGAGGTGGCAGGTGGCAGGCTTTGAGAAGCTGGCATCAGTGGCTCAAGTTCATTGATATTGTTGAATCAATTAAACTATATAGTTTTAACTGGATTTTAAACAAATGTGGAATCAATTGTTGCTGTTTTGAATTTTATTGTGTTATTATCTTCCTTAGTGGGTCATTCAAATTGCTATTTTGAACAATGCTTTTTTACTGAGTAGGGTAGAGAGCACTGGGGATGAATTTATGGAACCAAGGGATGGTGGGCTGAAAAGGTTTGGGAACCACTAGTCCAACCCAATCATTTCTGGGGCCCTCATTGGTTCTCTCACCTCTTAAAAAAGTGACATCTGATTAGATTACTTTGCTGCCACTCTCACCAGAAAAGAGCCGGTTTCAAACAGACCCTGTATTTTAAAGCCTCATCCAGGCATTATTACTTTCCCCCATTAGCTAAATAACTCTGCAGTTGATTCCTTGTGTTTCCAAAGATGTGAAGTGTCAATGCTGTTCAAAAATGCTGGAAATGTATACTGGGTTTTGAGATTTCTATTGAAAATATCCAAAAAATCTGTGCATGACATTAATTTAGGATGAACACTTCTTTCAAGCTAAAATCTTTTCTTCTTTTAATACTTCAAAAGAAATGCTATTCATCAGAGAGAAAATCCTACTTTAGCTCTCACCATCACAAATCCCAGATTCTTTCAAACCGTAATGATTAAGAAATAGCTGGAATGCAGGTTCAAAACCCCCCTATCAGTTTTCAATTAAAATGTGAATAGGCAAATGTGATTATTTTAGTTAATTAATATTTTCATTAATCAAACTCTCCTGAGACGCATGGTCATCAGTATAAAAGATGGTCCCATGGCCTATTTATAGCCATCAGGGTAATAATTTAACAAAGCTTGTGGTTAAACTCTTCTGTCAGTGGGATAGATGACTTCAATAATTTAGGGTCTCCTTAGCATTTATGTTTATTAATCCAATATTGATTCCCAAGAATCAAGCCATTCTGGTACTGATAATCTGCACAACAAAGCAGATTATTCATCTGTGCGCAAAAAGATTTTGGAAGGTTTGGGATTTCACAGATTTTGGCTGGTCTTGACAGTGAAGCCAAAACTTGTGTTTTGTGCAATTCTATGCATATCAGTTTGCTCTCCAGTGGACCTTATTCCAGGTGTACGTAAATAGGTTTGAAACCAGCTCTTCCAGAGCAAAAAGGGAAGAATTACATTGGAACTTGTCTTAACACTGTCTGCAGAAGCATTCTGAGGGCCTCCATCACAAAGCACCAGAACAGCACTTGGATTCTTCCATTCCTGCATGGAGCAGGAGGGCGGGTGGGGATGTTTCCCATATTAGTGTTGCACCCTCAGATATTCAGCACAACTGAAAGGGATGAATCTTGCCTTCTCCTGATTCCAAGATCAAGAAGTAAGTGAGGAGCAGATCAACTAAACATCTCCCTCAACACTTAAAGCAGGAGTGGGAAATAGGGTGTCTTCCTCATACTGTTGAATCACAACTCCCATCAGCCCCAGCCCGTTACAGCCAATTGCCAGGGTTTAAAGGAGCATCTTGAGGATGGTGGCTTCATGTATAAATAATCCCTAGAAAGCATGATTGTATCTTCTTATTGTAAGATATATATATAAAAACGGTGGCCTTGCTGGAAACTAAAAATGTTGATATAACAAAAAGATTGCAATTCCTTTCATTGGTAGTTGGCAAATAAAGTAATTTGGGATATATATAATCTGGAGTAGGGGAATTCAGAGAAACATCAGCTGAAGAGGATGAGAGGAGCTCCCAGCCTATGTCCGGTGACCTGGGTGACCTGGCAGAAGGTGCTGAAAGTAAAAAAAAAAAAAAAACAACCCAAAATCAAGCAGAGGCACAGTCTGTTCATTATTATGGTATTTTTATTGCAAGGGACAGAGAGAGGGACACTTGGGAGATTTTCTGCCTCACATACCAAGATAACTTGATATACTCAAACTTAGAGAGGGGGGTGATAATTTGCTCCTATGCCTCCAGCAGCAAAATATATTGTGCTAAATCTAAATTTACAGAGATAAATCTATAAATATGTTAACATACACTGACTTTGTGTGATTGGCATGAACACTCCATTTATTTATTCTGCATTCATCTAAGACTGGTTCTATCTAGCACTATAGTCTTTTTATAGTACTATTTATAGTGCTATCTAATACTATAGTCTGAGCCCGAATGGTTGGCCTGAAAATGAGTCAAGGGCACTCCCATATAATCAGGAAATAGTTTGGTTGTTTCAATGTCAATCTAGTTTTGGAAATAAAGGGCAACAACAGCATAAAGCAGAATACTTTTCTGCTTCATATTAAGAACAGTTCAAGAACAGTTTAATTATCCAACACTGCAGTGATTCAGTCTCATCACAAGTAGACACCATATTAAAAAACCCCTCAAAAAAGTACCAAAAACATAATAACCCATGATTCCAATATGTTATGACACTGAGGAAGACAAAATAGTTGTGTGAATCCACTTCTATATTCTTTGATAAGAACCACTGACATTAGTATCCTCAAGAATATGAATGAAGCATTTTAATCATAACTTAACCGACAGGTTGACAATTTAGCAGGAAATGATGTGTTAAAAAATGAAGTATGAATGTATAGAAAGCAGCAAACTTGGAACAAAGTACAGTGGTACCTCGGGTTAAGAACTTAATTCGTTCTGGAGGTCTGTTCTTAACCTGAAACTGTTCTTAACCTGAAGCACCACTTTAGCTAATGGGGCATCCCACTGCCACCGCGCCGCTGCTGCGCGATTTCTGTTCTCACCCTGAAGCAAAGTTCTTAACCTGAAGTAATATTTCTGGGTTAGCGGAGTCTGTAACCTGAAGTGTATGTAACCTGAAGCGTATGTAAAGATTAAAAGCTAAACACTGTCGAGGGAAAAGGCATAGTTAAC